GAAACTTTGGAACCGATCGAATGTCTACGCTCAGAGCTCTGACGATTACATCACAACAAGCTTTAGATCTGACAAGAGGACAGGTCACTACTCCTACAGCAGGATTTACATTATATTGATCCCTTATCAGATGTTGCGTTCACACTTACCGGTTAGAAGCCAAGTCGATCGTCCTCTCCCTCTCCCTCTCTCTCTCTCTCTCTCTCTCTATCTCTCTCTCTCGGGACCACAGAGTGCTCTTTGTTGCTTGTTTGGTGATGTTTAGTCCTCCCTCAAATGCACAAGCAATGGGAGCCTTATATTACATCCATGTGATGTCACAGCACATTTGACTAACACAATCAGGGGGAGATCAGGCTCGCAGCGGGACTTTTTGCAGTCTTGGACGGGTCATCTGGAAGCTTCTCCGTCTCTTTGAGTGCGATGGGTCAGGCTCATTGGAAATCTGCTTCTTCAAGTTGAAATGAAATTGGGTGTGGCAACAAAAAGTGAGAGAGTAAGGAATTGGAAATCGGAAAAATGCCCTTTTTCTGCATGAGCTTGTCTCGTTGTTTTCTAGTCTTCTGACGACTCAAAGCTCTTTCACACTGCAGGTCACACCGACACATTCACACACTGATGGTAGAGGCTGCTGTGGAAAGTGACCATTCATACACATTCACACACTGATGGTAGAGGCTGCTGTGGAAAGTGACCATTCATACACATTCACACACTGTCGAAAAAGCAGCAGGAGCCACTTGGGGTTAAGTGTCTTTCCCAAGGACACATCGGACATGTGGCTGCAGGAGCTGGGGATCAAACCCCCAACCTTCCAGGTTAAGAGACGACCGACTCTACCACTGAGCCACAGCCGGATAAGCTTTTGAGTGTTGTCACCTCTTACATGCAGTATTTCATTTCTCTTTTCCTTTATTCTTTTTACGGCTCCTAATCCATTCATCTGTTCCTAGTTCCTCCTCTGATGTCCTATTTTTACCTTATTTAATACTTTTATTTATATTTACTGTCTCATATGTTTTAAATTCTCTTTCCTTTGATGTGATGTCGTCCTTTTATTATCGTTTTTTTATGTTTTTAGTGCTTTGATTCTCTTCGGAGATCTGCCTGTTTACCACTTTTATTTGCATTTTGTCTTCTTGTTTTTTTGTTTTTGCCTTGTTGCTGAATTAGTGACCGACGCTCTGTTTGGTCTGAATGTTGACTCTGTCATCTTCCTGAGTTCCTGTTACATAAAATGAAATAAAAATCAGGTAAAAGTCAGAGAGAAACGAACGTCTTGATGTTTACTTTTTAAATGATTGCCACTTTGTGCTGCCCCCTCAGATCTTCTGCTTCGTCTTCGTTTTTGTTCCCACTTTTATAACAATAAAAAGATCACTTCCAGAAGACCTGAGGGTTCTTGCAGGCTTGTAGTATAAAAACATATTTGATAAACTGGTGGGAGCAAGACCATTTAGCGCTTTTTTAAACCATTGTAAGAGTTTATTTTTAAACCTCCAAGTCAAAGACAGATAACGAGAGGAAACAAGAAGTTACCTGAACAAATAGTTTATTTACATTCAAGTTTCAATAGGAAAACAAACATTACGAGAATCTGAGTGTGTATTGATGAGTGAAGGAAAGGTGAGTGAGGTGTTGTGTGGAGAAATAAGGAGGCTAAGTGGGGAGCAGGGTCTCTTGTCTCTCCTTCTTCCTCCCAACAATGAGGAGGCGGGGCTTGCTCTTATGGATTGGGAACACCTGGCCCGGTGTTCTGAATCCATGACGACCCAGCAACACCTACCAGCACCTGAACAAACAGAATGCAGGGACCATACCTTCATAATCTGACTGTTTAACTGGCACCCATCTACAGGTATGTGATGTCATTAAAATATGTATAAAATCATTAAACATTTTGATTTTGGAGGAAACGAGAAAAAGGAATGTCCAATTATTTTTGTCTCCTTTAACCCAACGCTGTTTGCATGCCAGAGTCCGGGCAGCAGAAACACTCCCTCAGTCCAGGAGTGAAGATAAGAAGGAGATCCAGCCAGCCTGGTGAGAGAAGTCATCTGAAAAACAGCTCAGGCCTCTGTCTTTTGTTTCTCTCCGTCTCCATGGTAACGCCCAAAACAGGAAACATCCTCTGATAATAAAACAAAAGTGGAGGTACGGCGGCCAAGAATTCACCGGCAGAATTAATGGAAGAGGGTTCAGCCCACACCCAGAGGCTGAGGGTGAGACAGACAGACAGACAGACAGACAGACAGACAGACAGACAGACACACAGACACACACACAGACAGACAGACACACACACACACACACACACACACACACAGACAGACACACAGACAGACAGACAGACACACAGACACACACACACACACACACACACACACACACACACACACAGACAGACACACACACACACACACACACACACACACACAGACAGACAGACAGACAGACAGACACACACACACACACACACACACACACACACACACACACACACACAGACAGACAGACACACACAGACAGACAGACAGACAGACAGACAGACACACACACACACACACACACACACACACACACACACACACACACACACAGACACACAGACAGACAGACACACACACACACACACACAGACAGACAGACAGACAGACAGACAGACAGACAGACAGACAGACAGACACACACACACACACACACACACACACACACACACACACACACACACAGACAGACAGACACACAGACAGACAGACAGACAGACAGACAGACAGACAGACAGATAGACACACAGACACACAGACACACAGAAAGACAGACAGACAGACAGACAGACAGACAGACAGACAGTTTGTATGTTTGGAGAGTGTAACAGGTCACAGTAAGTCTCGTCTAGACAAAAGCCAATCTGGCTTTAATTTAAGATCGTCATTAATTCAAGACGTGCTCCGCAGGCTTCTTGGCACGCTGCTGATGAGAGTGACGAAGCTTCTTTTTTAGTCTCTCTGCGGTTTGAAACGTTTACAAGACTACAGCAGTCACACATAAAGCTCTGAAATCTTACAGCTACAAGTACATGCTTAGGGAAAAACAGAAAATAAAATGCTCTCTTCTAGTGTCAAGTTGTCTCAATATCAACCACACCCTCAAACTTTGATGGAATAATAATAAAAATCAAAGTATATCGATCCCTGTTTCCATACCATGGCAACAAAAACAGAAACAAGGCCGCCAAAATTTGAGAATTTCTTGTTTTTAATTTCCAAACAATTCCAACAAAACCATGCAAACAAAGTCCTAGGCCCTCTTTTATTTGGCGACTTTCTTGTTTATAATGAAACAATATTTGTAGGCTCCCTCCTGCACAAGGACTGAAGTGTTGCCGATGTATTCGTGCCATTTATTCAGGGTCACCTCCTCCGCTCCCTGTCTGTGTGAAAGAGACATAAATGTCACTTTTTTTAAGGTTTATTTTTGGGCTTTTTGGGCCTTCATTGGAGAGACAGGACAGTGGATAGAATCGGAAATCAGGGAGAGAGAGAGTTGGGAATGACATGCGGGAAAAGGAGCCACAGGTCGGACTCGAACCCGGGCTGCCCGCTCGAAGGACCACAGCCTCCACACACGGGAGAATTATTTGTATCTTAATAAGACGGCAAAAGGACCTGGTGAACATCAGTGTTTGCTGACCTGTGAATTTAAACGGATCACCTCTGCTCTCTCTCTCTAATTTTTAAAATCTCCTCACAGAGGCATTAAAAACATTAAATAACCGCCTCAATGCTCTACTGTACTCCACACACACACCCACACACACACACACACACACACACACACAGGAGCAACAGGAGCGTGTAACTTAAGTATTTCACTGATGTCATGCAAACAGTGACGGGAAGCCAAATGTTATATAACCTGGCTGTTAGAAAGCGTCTCTCCTGCCAAAGTATACAGATGGGGGCATGATGATGTAATTTCAGGATACAGGCACACACACTCACTCTCACACACACACACACACACACACAATCCCATTAAAGTCACAGATATTAAGTCATGCCTGGGATATTTTACCCATTCAGGAAGGTTTTCATCACAGCGTCAGTCACACTCAGACTGTTTTTGATTTCTGAACGTTTTGTAAAACCGGTGGTTTGTGTTTCAGTTCGTCCCACGACCTGAAAAAAATACTTAATTTCAAGGCTGGGTTGGTCATTTCCTCCAGATCCAGATGTTGGTTGAAATTGTCTTTAGGTCGTGACAGACATTAATAACTCATCAAGAAAATCCATCATCTGTAGCAGTTCTAAATCTGAGGTACCAATCTGATGAACCAATCAGACGCCTCCCTGCTCGTTCTCTACCCCTCATGCTCACTCGCTCATACTCAGAGTCTAGTGGCTATTCTTAAGTCTGTTGGGGCCTGAATCAAGACATATTAAAAAACCTGCATTTTTCACCATTATGTCTGCCATTGTCCCCTCACTTACTTCACTTCCTCTTTCTTCCTTTGTTGACTTCCTTGAGTGCTGTCAAATGGGACCCCCTTAGGGAGGTTTCATACTGTCTTTGCAAAATTTGCACATTTTGGGTGGCTGCCTTGGTTTAAAGTTTGTGAGCCCTCAGGGGCCACTTTACTGGTCTGGGGCCCTAAGCAATTGCCTGCGTTGCCTGTTGACAAGCAGCGCCTCTGACAGAGTTTATACTGTGAGTTAGTCGTTGGCCGTTGTGAGTAGTGAAATAATCTGTATGTATTATGATAAAGTTTAGTGTTTACTTATCGCTGAATGACGACGTCGTTTCTACACGATGTAAGAGATGAGATGAGGTCCACTTCTGGAGCGACGTGCATGTAAGTGAGGGGGCGTGGCTTTTGAGGGAGCACAGAGGGGAAGGGGATGCAGACGGAGCACTGAGGGAATGCTACTTTCAAAATCATGCTAGTTTTCTAAAAGTACCAGCCCTGCCTTGACTGGAAGAAGAAGCGAGGTCAGAGATGTTTCTTGTAAAAGAAATGTTTATTTCCATAATGAACACATACAGTACATTATTCTGACCAACATAAAAAGTGCAATATGCATTCAAACTACAGCAATGTACAGTACAAAAAGTTACTGCATACTTAAATATAAAAAGAAAAAAAAAAAAAAGGTTACAAACGGTGAAGTAACCTGTCGTGTGATCGTTGGTCACGTCAGCGTGGCGTGACCGATGATATGAGCGTGAAAAAGCTTAACAGCTATGAGCCCGAGGACTTCGCTGAGTCGCTTCCCCAAAAAGGTGCAAAAAAGACGTGACAGCATTTCTTTGAATACGAACATGATTGAAATGATGGGTCACATGTTTAGTACAGCTTCGGTGGTGTTTTTCCGATTTCGTCGAGAACAGCCGAACAACTTTGGTCTTTCACATTTCAAGAAGCACGAGTTCAACGTGTTGGCAACCCGTCGAGGATGAGCTCCTTGGAAGGTAAAGAAGGTCTGGAAGTTTCGTTTCTAAACTTTAGCGTGGGAACAAACCTCACTTCCATCACACGTTTCCGTCACACTGAGGCGTCTGAAGGTTTCTAGCCATGCAGCGTGACTCCTCGCTCGTCTCTCCCAGCGACACAGACGGGGAATGATGAGGTCAATAACATTACACTAATGTTATTTTGGAAGATAGCTTGTGTGTACCGGTATTCACTCGATAAAAAAACAGTGCAAAGTAAGAACAAACTCAAATGTTTTGTTCTGTTTGTTGAAAACAGTGAAAAAGTCACAGCCTCCTCCTCCTCTCTCTCTTTTGTTTCGTCCCATTCACTCGCTCACAAACTCGCACAAAGTTACACGTTAATGCATAAACACAAACACCTCTGCTTTAAAGTGAGTTTCCTTAAATGCAGTAAACTGAAGTGTAGCCAGGTGTTCATCTGGTGATGAGGTAACCGTCTGATTTACAACCCTCGAGTATCTACAAACCCCCGATCCTAAAAGTCGGGACGGGCGTCGTGTAAAATGTAAAAAAAACTAAAACAGATGGTGATGATTTGAAAAACACTGAAAGATGATATTGAATTGAAAACGGCACAAAGACAACAAATCAAATGCTGAAACTGAGAAATGTCATATCTATATAAAACTATACAGTACGCCCATTTATGAATGTGATGCCAACAGACTGGAAAAGAAATCACCTGACGGGACTTCTCACAGTTAATAAGGTTAACTGGCGACAGGTCAGAAACATGACCATCACAGAGAGGCAGACAGAATCTGTGGAGTTCATCGTCATAAGTAAAAAAGAATATCATTTAAAGATCCAGAGAATCTGAAGGAATCTCTGCATGTAGGAGACAAGTGAAGTCCAAATATGGAGACTGTGTGGCTGTGACCTTTGACCCTCAGACGGTCCTGCATTAAAAAACAGATGTGACTCTGTAGTGGGCGTCACAGCATGATCTCAGGAACACTTCCAACACTGTTATGTGTGAGCACAGGTCATCAGAGCATTCACTAACGTGTAAAAATGTACCGCAGCCTCTGTGATGTGTATGAGGGAGCACTAGTGGGTCGGCTGCACGTTTGTGAAGGCTCCGTTAACGCTGAATCATTAATACAGCAGGTACTGGAGCAGCGTATGCTTGCAGAAAGGAGGCTTCTTTCTGCAGGGAAGGCTGTGATTATTTCAGGAAGAGAAAGCCACACCACATTCTGAACGTGTGACAACAGCTTGGCTCCAAAGTAAAAGAGTCGAGCCTTCCTGCCGCCCTGACTCGTCAACCATTGAAAGTGTTTAGAGCTTTATGAAGCATAAAATAAGACATGGGAGACTTCTAAAATGAGAGAAACTGTTCTCCTCAGTTCATAAAATAACGCTTAAAAAGTGTTAAAAGAAAAAGTGATGCATAGAGAGGTAAACAGGATCCTGTCAGCAACTCTTTGCTCAAAGTGTTGCTGACATCAGATTCAAGATGGGAAAATAATTATCTTAAAAAACCCTCTCACTGTTTTTCTGAACGTTTGACATGTCGTCTTGGTGTTATAATATATTTAGAAAATCATCACATTCTGTTTTTATTTTACATTTTTACACAACGTCCCGACTTTTCAGGGATTAGGTTTGTAAAACGTAAACTGTGTGGTCAACAACTTTACATTTCGTAACTTTGCTTTCTGTCAAAGCTTTGATGAAGAACTCATGTTGATCCTTTCACACCTCCACTTTGGAGCAGACAGGTAAAAATAATCTAAGTGCCATCAGGTACCATCTACAGGTACGTTTCAGGTACGAGTGGCTGTGTGGGGTTAAAGGTTTTAGAGGGTCTTGTGCCGTCTCATCCCCGCAGTCTAACACACAGCTCTGTGCCTCTGGTCTCATTCGTAAGGCACTTGTTTTGTCCATGAATCAAACCAAGTTAGAGGTGAACGGATGGCTTACACAGATACAGCAATAAGACGATCATCACTGTGAACAGCAGTTTGAAGAACAATGTGGCAAAGGAGAGAGAGAGAGCCCTCCTTGGAACAACTATTGGCATTGTTTTTTTAGATTTTCATTTGTTTCTTTAGACTCAGCTCTCTGGCCCCACAGGGTGATGGAGCCGGGGATGGGTGGAGTGTATAAGTGGCCTCTTCTCGGTGTGTCAGCTTCTGGGCTCACCTGGTAGCGCTCTCTCTGGAGTGTGCAGGTCCTTGCAGGGCCGGGGCGGAGCAAATGTGCTGGGGGAGTCCCATTCGGGGCCGGGGTCGGGCTCTGGGGACAGCGAGAGGAGCAGCAGCGTCCCTGCGTCGGACGAGCAGGCTGAGTACAGATCCTCCGAGGAGAAGTTGAGGCTGCCCAACTTGGCCAGCGAGTTGGACCGCTTCAGCCTGGAGGGCACGGTGAGGCCCGCCAGGCGCATGCGGGTCTCGATCTCCTGCGCCCTCTGACGCACGAGGCCGGGTTTCCCCCTCACGCTGCGCAGACTGTCGCTGCTCGAGCTGCGGGTCAGGGTGGAGCCATGAGGCGAGTTGGTGGGTGTAAGCAACCCGGACCCCACCACCCCCAACAAGGCTTCATTGGTCAGTGGCACCACCAGTGGCTCTAACCGCACTTGGCATGGTGTGGAAGATTTCGGGAATTCCCCAGGGATGCGGGAGAACTCCTCCTCCTCCCCCTCCCCCTCCTCCTCCTCTTCCTCCTCGGGGTGGCTGTTCTTGGACTTTTGGCAAGCTTGCAAAGGCGTCAGGAAGTGCAAGCTCTCCTTGGATAAACCTGAAAGTCTCTCGAGTCTCTCTGCTCGGCGGCGGACCAGCCCAGACCGCTGCAGCTGAGAAAGCGTCTCCGGTTGTTGGCCGATGTAGCACGCCACACCTTGTTGCTCCCCCTCCATGTCCATGCTCACCAGCTCGGGGACCGCCTCAGAGGCAGCAGCAGGTTTACTTCTTTGACTGTCGCTCTCTACTTTGACTAAATCACCATCGTCCTTCAGCTCCATTAGCTGCGGCGGGTCTCCTGGCTGCTCGTCGAGGGGAGCTTCAGGTGGGGAGGCAGCACAGTTGGCACAGGGGTGTAGCACTACAACTGAAGACGTTAGGCATTCAGCAGAGGTATGGGGCAGTTTGAATGAAGCACTTGGGACTTCAGAGGGACTGGGGTTAAGGCAAAGCTTAGAAACGAGGGGTGGAGAGTCGTCTTTTAGCTTGGACTTGGAAGGAGGGACAGAGGCAACTTTCTCCTGAATGAAAAGATGGAAGAATTAGAGTCAGAAGGAAGGTGATGATTTAAGAAATAAACCAGATTCTTCAAATTTAAAACATTTTCAAACTTACATGAAAGTTCTGTGGAGTGCTGATATGGTTGTTATTGTTGGAGTTTTCATTCAGGGTTGCCAGGTCCATCCCATTACCCTCTGCATCCCCCTCCACCTCGACATCTTGCGTTTCCTGTCCTCCGCCTGCTCCCCCGCCCCCTCCATCATCTGGCTGCATGAGCACCTCCATCTCTGCCTCCTCCTTCTGCACCTCCTCCTCATCCTCCTCCTCCACTGTGCTGAACTCCAGCCTCAGACGCAGCTCCTCCAGGGGCTCCGGTCCCCGAGAGGATGTCTGTGCAGCGGCCCCCTCTGCTGTTGGTCCAAAGGGAGGCGGAGGGAGTCCTTCCTGCCCATCGAAGGCCTCGTCATCCAGCAGGGCGTCTCGCTCCACATCCTCGATTTCAATGAAGACTTTCTCCATGCCGACGAGGGGAGGGCCGCGCACTGGAGTCGATGGTTCGCTGTCCAGCGCCGAGTCAGAAAGCCGGCGGAAGTAGTAGTTGTTGTAGGCAGGGTCGATCTCCAGCGCCACAGCCCTACGGGGGGAGGGACAGGTGGCCCCCTTATCAGAGAGCGCCTCCTCACAGCAGGGAGACATCCCCGGCTCGGGAGTCGGGTGGTCTCCCTCCTCTCCTCCACAACACTGCAACCCCTGCTGCCCCTCCGACATCTCACAGTCTGCGTCGGGATGCCACAGCTTGTTGTGACGCTGTTTACTGGAGACAAACACAGAGTGCAGAGGACACGGGTCACAATCTAAGAGGTCATCCACTGAGGTCAACATTATCAATATTTTGAGTGTGCTTTAAAACGCTACAATCTACATAATGTCTATCTTCATTATAATCTAAATGTATTAAAGCTTATGAAAAAAACTAATCTTCAGTCATATTTTCAACTTAAAAAGCTCCACAAGTTAAAGAGCGAGAGCAGTACTCGCCGAGTCGGGAGCTGAACAGTTTGCAGACCTTTCTCTCATTTTTCTGGATATTTAAAACAGGAAGTGTTCAAACACTGGGTGCGTAGGACCGATCATTTTGTTACCATGGCGTCAAAGCGAGTGTGAGTATAGTTTATATTTTATTGGTATCATATCAAAGTTTAAATTCTGCTATCCTCCACCCCCTGTGTGTGACGGGCTGTACCTGGCGTCCAGGATGCCCTCGTACTCAGCCAGCTGCCTCATGAAGCCGGCGTTGGGTCGCGTGATGGTCCTCTTCTGCTTGACAAAGTTGTAAGCCTTCTCCAGCGACCACCCGAACTCCTTCATGGCGTAGGCGATGACGGTGGAGGCCGACCGGCTGACGCCCATCTTGCAGTGGACGAGACACTTTGAGTGGTTCTTTCTGTGGGGGACGAAACAACGTGGATTTAAAGAAAACTCCAGGGGCCTTTAGCTTCTTATCAGATCGATTATAGACAAGAAAGATGCTCCAACATGAAAGAATGGTCTCGGCTGTTATTCATATGATAAGAGAATCTTTACAAACTGATATTAACATGAGCAGCTTGTTCCCCCATGTCCCCCTCCACTCACTTTGCTTTCACTATGAAGTTGTACGTGTCGTTCCAGTGAGCCAGGAGGTCGGTGGCGTCCTCATCGTAGACGCGTATGTTGTGATAACTGAAGGTGCCTGGAAAGAAGTTGTCTATCTCCCGGGTAACGTTGAGGATATAGCCCACCCTGGGGAGGAAAGATAACGTACACTCGTCAACAACATTCCTTCTCGCTCGAATCATTATGAAAATGTTGTTTTATGCGAGGTTATCTCGGTTCCTCCGTATTATAAAATAAATCACCCCGTCTCCTGCAGCTCCTCCAAATTAGACGCATTCCACTCTGATCCCTACAAACAAATGAAGCAAAACACTGTTTAGACGGTTTCTTCTTTCTCTAAAAACAGGACAGCAGTCTTCCTCTCAGACCAAAGAAAAGCCTTTTATCCCCGAGTTATTCACATTGAACGACTGATTGTAACGCGTGTTTGAGTGTAAAGAGACGGGGTCGCTCGTCTCACCAGGTAGACGTGGTCAAAGATGAGCGTGGCTTTGTCCATCTGGCCCAGGATCAGCAGCATCTCATTGTCGATGAACTCCTTGTACTCCTTCAGGTTACAGCTCATGTGTTGTTCTAACTCTGTGCGGATCTGAAAACGGAAAGCGACACGGTTTACGTTTACGTGTCAATCAAATATTCAGTATGCAGGATTTTTATGTCCCTGCGACGTTTGTCATCAATGTGAGAGTCACTGAGGCGTAAGAGGGGGATGAAGTGATCCCCCCTCTGTACCGTCTCTGGAGGTGGTAACAGAAACGTTACAGAGGGAAACAGGATCGGCAGAGCCAGCGAGGGAGCACAGCGCTGTGTGTGTGTGCATTTTAATTCAGTGTGTGTTTATCAAGTTAAAGTTTATAGTTTCATGTTTCACATTCACAACAACCTCAGCTGGCCAAAGTTCTGTACGGGTTTAAAACACAAAATAAACACAATCTAAAAGGGCACAGTTTGTGTGTGTTGTGTTGTATACGAACCTGTTTGCAGGTGACGTTCTCGAGGTCCTGGCACGTCATGATGCTTCTGAGTTTGGCTTTGATAAGGCACTCTGTCCTCTCTCTCTCTGAAGGCCTGCGGAGGAGAAAGTCCGATCAAAACCTCAGCGTTCACACAACAGCTGCTCACGAAGCGTCAAACTAACAGTAACTTTACAGGCTTTAAATACAGAATATGTTGTTGTGTGTTCAGTGTTTCCCACAGAGACTCAGTTTTGATGGCAGCTCAATCGGAGCATTTTCAAGAGGGATGTACGGAGAGTTGACAGTTAAAAATAAAAACTTGGGGAAAAAAATAAACTTGGGGAGTCTGCGCAGGTATCGTCTATGTGTGGGGAAACACTGATGTTTTTTAAATTTTTGGTCAACAGGTTTACTTACTTGTCCACAAACATGGTGGGCGAGTCGGGCCGGGTGGTCTCCAAGTCCTTCATGGCGTTCCACTCGTTGATGCAGCTCTGTTCTGAGGCGATGCAGCTATCATAGTAGCCCGTCCAGGTGAGAGCCATGCCTCCAGGGAAGTAGTTATACCTGCGTGACACCTCACACACCTTGTGCAGCACCTGCAGGGCTGACCTACATTGTGGTTTTAAAAAACAGACCACAGTTTCAGACAGTTTACAGTCACTGCATTTCTCTGCACATGCATCTTTATGTCAGCAGGGGGCAGAGTGGGTCAGCGCTGCCTCGCTGCAGCACAGTGGCACATGTGTTTAACAGCAGATTTATTGTGCTGTGTCATGAAGCTATTTTTTTTTTTGTAGACGGGCGCCGTGGCTCCTGAGGTCGTTTGTTACTCACCACATAGCCTGCACCGACACGGGTTTGAAGACATGAGTCCGACCCGCCGTGTTCACAGTGAAGCCCCTGAGGAGCAAACAAAAACAGATGGTCATTGGCTGACTACCACGTAGCGCTGACTTTATGGTGCTCAACGTTAAAGTGTGAGGCGTCGATGCAGTGTGAGGCAGAGGTAGAGGCACATCACCGCGCTGAAAGCTGCAGCTGTGTCTGAAGAGCAGGGGGGGTCACACTGACAGCAAGGACTCACCCGTCTCCATCCAGATGGATCTTTGTGTCACTCCACAGAGGTAGCACCATGCCGATCGAACAGCTTTTGCTGGAACAGATGAAGGAGAACTTAATACCTTGTGGGGTTGTCAGAATACCAGAATGTTAAATTCTGTTTTGATACTAGTAAAAATCAAACAATGTTTTTGTATATTTCAATACCTAGGCAACAAAGATATACTATTGAGTCATTTCTTGTCAGCAAATTGCACAAACATGATTTTCAGAATTGAAACGCTGTCACCTCCTCTGCTCTCTGTTTTCTTTTCAAGGGACATAAACGTAACTTTTTCCTCTTTATGAGACACCAAAAGGACTTAAAGAAAACATCAGAATTTGCAGATATTTTCATTTGAATGGACAGCTGCTACTTTCTCTCTCTCTCTCGTTCTCTTGCAGCTGCTTTTGATTAAATGCATGACTGATGAGCTGGAGGGGATTTTTTTAAATTCTGATACTTTCTAAATTATGGATCATTAAAACAACGGACCTCGTATCATTCTAATGCACATGGTATCAAAGAGGAACAAGGTATTGACAATTTTGACAACCTTCATACCAAGCAAATGAGGGACAAAGCGCTCTTTTGTTGACTAATCCTGCATTTCGTTGCTGCAATAGCTAAATTAAATTAATAGAGATAAATCTTAACAATGCTTCTTGTGTTATGATCTTAATATCAAGCTGATAAATCATGTGGGATTCACTGATAACAGGCACTTTATTAAATGACATAATGTGTCATCACTTATAAGATGTTCAGCATTTGTTTCATTTAGCAGCTCCAGTTTGAGGCAGAGCTCTGTTCACATTTATAAATATAGATTTGCCTTTCCCGAACAGTTCATCAAATGTAACAACCTCTACTAATTAAAACCTTTATTTTAAACCTCTGGATGTTCTTTCCTGTGGTTTAGCGACTCATGGACATAACTCTTCAAACCGAGTGCTGCCCTGTCCTAAAACACTCTGGAGAGAGAGACACAGATACGGAAATGTAAGGCAGAAAAAAAGGAGGGAGTGTAAGGAGGGTGTAAACTTTATCACCCATTTTTGGGGAAACCTGGAGACCAGACAGAATAGCCCGAAATATGACTTTGTAGCAGGGTGCTGATGCTATAGCGGTTAGGTCCCCGCCCCATTTGGAAAGGATATAGTCCTCCAAGTGGGCAACCCAGGTCCAAGTGTGACCTGTTGCTCCTTCCCCACATGTCATTCCCATCTCTCTGTCCCAGTTTCCTACTTTTGTGCTCCCTGAATGAAGGAAAAATCCCAAATATAAAATATAAAAAAATAAAAGTGGCTATGCAGTGATAAAGGTCACGGTTGTCATGGCTGCTTGAGTGAAACTCAGATTAAAGAAAATAAAAGTCATTAAAGGAATTTGTGTTAAAGAAAGCAAAATATGGCAGCGCCGATAGCCTAGCGCTAATGTCGCACACTCCATGTACAGAGGTTGTAGTCCTCGTTGCAGCAGCCATGGGGATGAAGGTGAGAACTTTAAAGAGGTCAGAAGACCACTTGGTGCTCGTAGCGTTGTTGGGACACGGGGAGGATCTGGTTCATTTCTGTCATGTTCTCAAAGTGTAAATTTACAGCCGACCTTTGGATATCTGGTGACTCAAAGTGATAACACTGTCTGTAGTTTTATGGTTTCCTCCGGTTTCTCACACACACACACACACACACACACACACACACACACACACACACACACACACACACACACACACAGCTTCCTCTTACCAGTCTTTGCTGGTAAAGTCGATTCCCAGTAGGATGTTCTCCTCTGTGTCTTGTCGCCCGCTGGTGTACACCACCACCATGTACCGCACTCGATCTGACCACGCACTCTCGAGCCGCACCGCCTGCACACAACACCGACAGTTTATTTCAAACACCACAACTTCTGGTAAGGAAGAATGTGCGACTTCTTACACATAAATAACTACAGCAGAAATCAAGTCTCTCCTGTGTAAATGTCTCTCTGAGTCATGACTGTCTACAGTGAGTGAGAAGCTCGAGTCCCGCTGACTGTGTTGTTGTCAGAGCCGTGTTTACATCATGTTTACATGGACGGGACGGCCGACTCCTCCCCTTGTGTATAAAAGCTGTTTTAGTCAAGAACTAGAGAGAAGAAGAACATACTCACTGATTATTTAAATGTCACGCTCATTCTGTGTCAATATATTTGCAATGTGAAGCTACGAGCTAACTAAAGTGCGCTAAGATTAGAATGCTAACACAACAACGCAGCGTGTGATAAGGACAATTTTGTCTGCCGCTTGTCCTTAATGGTGTTTAATTACTGTGCGTTCTAATTTATGACTCCTTCGTGTGAACGCGAGTCGAGCGGGGTTGGAGGTGTGTCGCTGGAGGAGAGCGGAGGATTCAGTGCGGCGGAGGTTAGTTTTGGTTTCATGCTGGTGCTTGAAATCTAAGTTAAGAGTGTGAAAATAACAGGAACTCAGACTCACACTTTAAACTTGTGTCGACACAAAGTTAATTCACTTTAATCTGTTGTGTCAGAGGGATTCTTATGCCCCGTTAATAAAAGCTAAACTCTTATTGGACACAGCAGCAACACGCCTCAGAGGTCGAGAAAAGTCGATGCTCTGACCCTGCTCGCTGAAAATGTGTGTCCAACACGAGTGTCACAGCTCGATGTGCGCAGAAGAGCGGCACATCAACTTGATGTAATGGGATAAGCGAGTCCTCAGAATGTGTGAGAACACAGAGCTGGTTAACATAAAATGAAATAAGTCTCTCTAACGCGCCGTGGAAACATTTGGTCATGCTCTCCTGAGTGCGTTCAAACCTGCTCTCACGAGCCAGTAATTACAGCGAACAAATAAGCTTCTTAAGTACACAATAAAATGCATTCTGGAGGGTTTGCTATGCCAGCTTGTTAAGTCGCTCGCCTGTATGTATGTGCGTGTTTGGATGCATGCTGCATACTTGTGTTGTCTCTCACCAGTTTGATTCTGTCCTCGGAGCGAAGAATGTTGATCATCACCTGCAGGTGTTGAGGTAAATCGCCTGTGGAGGACGGTCATAAAGAAAACCTGATGTCAGAGGTTATAAATCTCACCCGACACATTTTGACTTCAAGGGGAAAAACAAAGACACTAGAGGCGGTTTGGATTTGACACCACTGATTGGGAATAATAATGAGAACATAATGCATGCTGGGAACTTATTGTGCTTATATGATTAAAGGTGACGCTGTAGTGTAGTGAAATGCAGTGAAAGAGAAATCCATCCTCATCAAACCTGTTCTGTTTGTTTTTTTTAAATCAGCTGACGTGTTCATTGAAAAGAAACAAACGTTTTTTATTATCTTTACATAAGTCCATTACCCAACCACAAAACCACAATTCAAAAGCCTGTCTTTGTTCGATAAACCCTCGCCGTGCCAGCTCTGATGTAAGACGTGTCAGTGAAAACTGGATCATAAAAACAGGGCGTGGAGACGGAGCGACAGGAGCAACATCAAAGGAGCAGCAGATGGGAGGCCAGCCATGTTGAAATATGTCACAAACAGGACTAATCATGTCGTCTTGACTGGTTTTAATGACAGTTACTGGCAGGAGATGGAAAGTGACCAACAGTCTGCTCCCAAACTCGTTCTTAGGGTTGTCACAATACTCGATTTTCAACTTACTACACTTGTAAAAATCAACTTATATCGATAGCATGGAAACAAAAAGAGAACTCTTATTCACTCAGTATTGAGACATTTCTTGTTTTTAATGAACAAAAAACTCCCACACACTGTTGAAAATGCAAGTAGTTGGCAGTGTTAGGGTACCAAAGCGTTACCAACGCTTTCTCCATCACTCGTGGCAGCTTTTGGTGACAGAAGATCTCAAGCTTTTTAAAGCGTCTGTACTTTTCAATACTACCAATCGTTTCAAAATTGAGGGTTTTCAAAAAGCATCAAAGATTTTCTCTGATGTTGCTGAGATTGTCAAATTGTGCACATGACTCTCAGCTGTGTCTTGAAGAATGTTGGCGATAATTTAAAGGATATTTTAGAGACCCCCGACTCCAGAAATGTTCACTGATGGAGACCAGAGGTCAGTCAGTGGAGGTGAGACACCGATCATATTTTAAATGATTTTAGAGTTCTCCTCATACAGCCTACTGTCGGGCAAACGACTCAATTAAATATAATAAAAGTCTGTTTAATCTCGAGGTATTTTCATTTGTTTCAAACGGGAGGGGGCCCAGCGACAACATGTGACAACCAAACTACAAAATCCACCTGTTTTTAAATCAAGATTTATTAAAATGCATCATTTATCGAGCTCAGTGGTCTAGCCTCAGGACCCACCAACAACAAAGTAACTATTTTCATGGTGTCAAAAAGTTCCTATTCTAAGACAAGGTTTCAGCTGAGTCAGGGATATTTGAACATGTTCACCTGCTGAATGTTTATTTTGTCTTATAATGAATCCCACGGTCATGGTGAGTGTGTTTTTGACGGATCCAGAGAGAACAAACTGTGAAAGTCAAGTGAGTTCAAAACTGTTTGGCAGCCGAGCTGGCATCTGTTCTGAGTTATAACATCTGCAGGGAGGGAGCCATTCACAGAAACAGAAATGTATCTTCAGAGAATTACATATCGTGCGTCTGTGTGGAGGTGAGAGGCCAGACGAGTTCAGCCGACGGCCTCGTCTGACGCCGCAGACTTTCAGCTTAGAGATAAGCTACTGTTTGACCTGCGTTAGTGGGTTTCAAACACTTCATCAGGATGAAACACAACGCTGAGTCACACTCAGATAAAACTACAGTTAATAATTCAATTAATCATAATCTCTTTGGTGGGCCCACTGAAGGACTGCATTACAGTGTTTTTTTTATCTTGTAAGCTTTGTGATGTCTTGTTTATTTCCATAAAAAAAAGCCTGATTGAGAACAGATAATATGCTCCAGTAAGTCACTGATGGTAGGACACAAGTACATAGAGCAGGAAAATCTTTACCGAGCACTTTGTCAAAGTCACACCACTGTCTTTGTTCTTCTGAAGGCCACGGTTACTGAGAAATGTGCTCGAGAACAAAGCGGGAGCAGCAAATACCCGGTATACCTGACAGAGTGGCTGGTAGAGAGAACAGAGCTGCCAACACGAGCCCCGACCGGCCAAACGGCCTGGCAGCATTTCAGCTGGTGGTTTCCCATCATGCCGGTGCACTGTGGGGTCTGACTCAGGTCTTAAAAGCAACGAGTGTGGCTTTCAATGGTGACATTTTACAGTATGAAGATAATTTGAAGATATATGAATTGGCCTTTATAGAAGAACCATCAGCTACCCTAACCCATCTGCAAGGTAACTCACGATACAATGTCATCATACGTTACAACATGTTACAACACGTGATGGGGCCGCAGGATAACGAAAATACTGTGACACGTCATCTCACGATAATTGATATATTGTAAGAGAATCCTAACCATACATCACAACATCTGGTTTTGTGAAGAATATGAAATACTAAATTTGGTGTCAGTTTCACACTTCTTATTACGCTTCATTTTCGAATTTCACTCGAGATCAATGAAGTATTTATCCATTTATCTGTTCTTTAACTTTTTTTTTTTTTTTTACAGCTGTCCGATATTACAACCAGTAAACTTCTGTTCACAATACCCTCATGCATGTCGTAAGTGCCAACATGAGGAGTCATGACAAAGTGACGCAGTGAGTCAAATCTGTTTAGTGTGCCAAAAAATGTTAAAGAGAAAAATCTATATTTGTCACCATCGATTTGAATATTGTATCTCACAAGTCAGAATTATGATAAACTGCTGCTTTGATTTTTTGGTCCAATCCCTCCTGACAACTGTTACTTTGTTCATCATCAGGGGCGCTGCTCTTGGAGCGACCGGCAGCAGGTGACTGTCTGTAACTCAGGCCATCAAAAGACTGAACTCCAATGACGACAGACGTGTTTTATTTTGTTTAAATGATGGTTTTATGGACATTTTTTTTTATACATTCTCTGTTTCCTGTTGCAGTGTAATGTTGTCTGGGTTTTTCATGTTTCTTGTTTTCACCTTACTGCAAAAAAAAAAGTCCCCTCTGGGACAATAAAGTTGAGGTTGACAACAAAAAACTGCAACGCTGTCCTGTTCAACTGTCCATTTACAGACATTATGACACAAACTGTCCCAGCTTCACAAACCTCAATTTCGTTGACTTGCAATGATTGATTTCCTCGGGTAAAATGAACCTGATTGTCCAGCCGGGTCACAGCGAGTTGAGAGAAGTTCTCATTTACCTTATGTACCCTCTCCAGTAAAGTGAGCACATGGGGGGGACACACAAGGTAACACAAACAATCAGGGCCTCCTCTAATAGTCCACTCAAGTTTTGCTCACGGTGCAGCCATGCGCTGGATTTAAACTCTAATCTGCCTAAGCTACATGTCTGGAACACGCTTATCAACCAGGCACCCTCCGTCCTCCTCACCTCAGCTCAAAACTTCTGCTGAGTGTAACAGCACGACAGTTACACACTTTATGACCTGGAGGACGAGTGTGACGGGGAGAGAAACGTAACCAAACTACCAGCGTGTGTGTAGTGTTAGTGTGTGTGTGTGTGTGTGTGGGGTTCTTACCTGCATGTTTGTGGTGAGGATGTGCTGTCTGGCCCTGTTGGCTGCTCCCCTGCTGCAGGAAGAGGGCAGCACCCTTCACCATGAAGAAGCTCTCACTCAGGCTGCAGAACAGATGGGAAACAGAGGTTAAAGGCAGTGAAACATCGAGACAGCACGCTGCGGAGGAACAGCTCAGCACATCGGGCTGAGAAGTGGAACACGAGACAAATGAAATATTCAGCTTCTCACAGAGACACAACAAGATGATAATAAATCACGGTTTCCTGCAGCTGGTGAATTATCTCAACAGCCGAGTGGAAGAGCTCAGCTGCCACGGTACAGAAGAAGACCTCGCGTCTGCGGCAGCCATGAATCAAGCTTTGATCCAGAATGCTTATCTGTCTTTTTCCTGCTGCATGGGCTGCTCTCAGATTTGACTCGTCAGGTCTCTGCTGGCTCGGTGTAATGCAAAACGAGACGAAACAATTGCAGATGTTTAATCATTAACAAGCAATAAGGCTGCGGGTCACACCCTCCAGTGAGGTTGTCAAATAGTTTGATACTACAATTCATTTAGGAGACGCTTTTATCCCATCACAGAGTAAGAACAACACAAGCAAGGATTCACAATGTCAGTCAGTACTTTGATACTTTGGTATACCATGTGCTTTTAAAATAAACTCTGTTTTATTTACGATCAAAGCATTGAGATGTACTGATGTTTTAAATAAAAACTACAGATCTTCAGTCTAATTTTAGCCCAAAGCTGCCACAAGAAAAGAGAGAGAGCGTATCAAAAACATGCTAAAGAGAAGGAGAGGTGACGTTGATGATATAGTTGAGTAATTTAGAAGGGGGGGCAGAAGTTTGATTGCAATCTTTTGGAACTAAAAACAAAAAAATGACACAATATTGGGTGCCTAGGAGTTCCATTTTCAATGTCATGGTATCAAAAAAGGAATCAATCACTGTTTGATTTGTACAGGCAGCAAATCAAAGTTTAAAACTGTGGTATTGTGACAACCCTACCTGATGGTTAAAGGAAGTTTTGGGGTATTCCAGGCTTTAGAGCTGTCAACATATTACATAAGAAACAGCAATAAAAAAAGAAGGAAGTGAGGTGTTTCCTTGAGGCTGAATTCAATCATTCCTCTTCATTGAAAAACAATGTGAGTGCACTCATAAATCTACCTGGCAGCAGGGTGGAAACACACACCTTGTATTCTGTGTGTGCAGTCTGGCGGACCAGAGCATCATCAAAAGGAGTGAAACAAGTGATGATTGACGGGAGAAAAACAAAAATCCAAGACAAACCTGTCTCTAAATACAGCTAAAACACCAGTGTGTTGGTTAAGTGTTGGAATAAACCTTTCTTTAAAGTCCTGTAAGAATCGCCGTTTTCACACCTGCTACTTTATCTTTTTGCCATCTAAATTTACAAAATAAGTAGGGCGCTGATGGCCTAGCGGTACAAAGGCTGCAACCCGGAGTGGGCAGCAAGAGTTCAAGTCCGTCCTGTAGCTCCTTTTCCGGCACTCCCGATAAATAAAGCCCAAAAGCCCCAAAATAAATCTAAAAGAAATTGTGAACAAAAAGTCATATTGAGCCGCTGTGTGAATGAAGGGAGGTGATGATGTTTATATCCTGCTGGAAGATTTCAAGAGCAGGCTGTCATGACGTTTATGAGTGAAGACAAAGACACAATGACTCTCCACATTTTTTGAACCCAGCTCTGACTGTTCCCTCACTCAGCCGTCTCTGATCTGACTTTCAAAAACCCCACACACAGAAGGAAAAGGCCCGGGCTAAACACATGATTTTGTGTGAACAATAGACCTCGTTTTGTGCACCTCACAATAAATTCCCGCCGCCCCCAGCACCGAAGACAAACCAAGTTCCACAGCGAGTGACGAAGCATGGGGGTGGACGATTCTCAACGAGAGCTTTTGTCTCACTGTGGTGGATTATTTGTTTCCGTCTGTTCTCTGTTTGGGATTTGTGAGGGTGTCAGGAGGGTCCGCTGTCAGAGGATGATGGATAATATACAAGAAAAGGGCTTCGGCCTCATTACTGATGAGTTCAAATCCGTGCTACAACATTTCAGACCTGCATGTCTGTGATACCTGATAACTTCCCAGAAGAAAAACAAACACATCTGAAGGGCACTTTGGTGAAATTTGAGGATGTGTGAAACTTGTTCTCATGTGTAAATCAAAAACTGTCCCACTGTTTTACAAGCTGTCCTCAGACATCCTAATTAAAACAGCCTCCGCTATGCTGTCTCTTACCCTGCAGCATCCTGCTATCAGCTTCTCCGCAAACACCAGAGCTAAAAATACATCGCTTATCAAAGAAGACTATGACAGAAAAGCTCGCCAGATAGCCTCAAAGATTGCACATGATTACAGCCTGCAGCACCTATACCTCCATACTTAGGCTGTCAAAATGTTATTATTATGTTTATTACTTGACACTTTACGATTCCACATGTTTTAAAACAATACAATCTGTGTTATTTTTATGTTCAATGGTATAGAAAAGCACAGAAGCTTTAAATAAAGGTGCTGCAGGAGAGAGAGAGAGAGAGAGAGAGAGAGAGAGAGAGAGAGAGAGAGAGAGAGAGAGAGAGAGAGAGAGAGAGAGAGAGAGAGAGAGGACAAGGCATAAACTGACTTTTCTAAACTTCTTCGGCATCTCCTAAACATTTGAAACAGACAAAGAGCAGAGGAGGAGACACTTTTGGTATCGCACAAATATTATATTGCCAAAGTTTTGTTATGGAAACAACCTGAAGTACTAAAAAATGCAATCAAACTTCTTCACGCTGTCTTGACTGTTCAATCATGTTGCCAACATCCCGGTAGTCAACGTGGTTTTGCAAGTCAGACAGTGTGCAGAAGATTGTATTTCATGTTTGGTGGTTAAGCACAAGAAAAACCCAAAATCTGGTGCCGTATTTTTGTTACTGTATCAAAACAGGTAGCAATATTTGTTGATTTCTACTAGCATGGTATCAAAGTTTAAAATCCTGGTATGGTGATGAACCTTCTCCTTACAGAACCGAACACAAAGACAGATAAAAAGTAATGTTTTAAATCTGAGCTTACATTGCATTAGAGCTTACTTTACTCAGGGTTCATCAGCTTATATCTCTTAGACACGTTAACTGACTTACTCCGACTGACGGCCTGATATGACACCAAAGCATCTGTTGCAAAATGACTCAGCCCACATTCAAACTCGAGCGCTACACTGAGTGAAGCTACAGCTCTGCAACAGCAATAGATTCACGTCAGAGTGCAGGCTAGAGTACAAATTCCTGATTGAAGTCGAATGTTTGATCTTAAATCTCATGTAGCAACAACACGCTTCACTCACATGCGGTTTATCTCGCTCTGGGTCAGGACGGCATTCTCCACAAAATAGGGTATCATCTTCATCATGGCCTCCTGTATGGGCTCTAGGACCAGATGCATCCTGTTGACTGGAACAAAACCAGGGCCAATTGGATGTGAGCTACCTCCTCTTCATCAGCCTCAAGGAGCCGCAAAGGAGCAGAAAGGGAAGAAGGTTCAGGTCCACGGATTCAGAGTGACAGTCTGCTCTCATCTGTGCTGCTCGGTGGAGAGTTGCCGTCTGTTCAGATGCCACACCCTCCAGTTTCCTCCTCCTCCCTCATCTGAGCCTCTGTGAGACTGTGTGCGAGTCAGAGTCCTGCCTGGAGGGACGTACTGCAGTCTCCACCCGCTGCCTCGGGCTCACGCAACTGAGCTCTTTTTCTCTTTGGCCTTCATCCCACTTTTCCACAGTACAATGCAGGTCATACATTCACATCAGTAAGACAGAAAGCCAATAATAGAAAGGACTGTTCCCTTTCTTTGAGAGACACCGAGTCTAAACAAACTTGAGCAAAATAGCCCAGGAGGTTTCAGAGGACAATGAATCTGGTATAAATCCTTTTGCATGAGCTCTTCCCTTCCCTCATCTATCAGATTGAAATCAGTTCAAAGTAAAGAGGTTTCTCTTTACTAAAACATGTCTCCTTCCAGGATCCTGTGCTGCCGTCCAACAGAAACCGTCTGCTATTTTCTCTTCAAAAGGTAAAAAAAAGCGGGACCTCTTGCTCAGTCGGGGGAAGACAAAAAAAAGTAGACGAAAGAAATCCTAATGGGACGTCTCGATGTGCATGCCACAAGAAGGGTCAACAGAATCCAAGACAGTGCCTCCAGGGAGCTTAATACATGAGCCAAGCATTGGAGGAGAGGACAGTGAGAGCGGGCACTCCTCCAAAACCTCCCAAATCTCATTATACTCAGGCTTATAAGGGAGGGATTAGCTAGTGTCTCTCCTTCAAGTGGCCGGCAGCTGCTGTCACTCACTCCCATGTACCGCAAACAAACCAGTGTGTGGGATTCTTAGAGAGTACAAAGACATTTACATGTTTTTTAGGTCAAATTCTTAAGAAACTAGGGCTGTCCCGACCCCAGAATTTGATACAATGCTTGTAAAATAAAACAATATAGATGCCCGTTTCACTACCATGGCAACAGTAATAGAGGTCCTAGGCACTCGATATTGGAAGAAAAAGTTTTTTTTCTTTCTGTCTGTTTGTAAGAGACATAAAAGTAACTTTTCATCTTTATAAGACGACAACAGAACTTGAGAAATGTCAGTATTTCCAGACCTGTCATCTTTTTCTCGATGACATGTGAATTTGTTTGGATCACAGCGGATTAATACTTTTGTCAGCTTTGAGTTCATGAATATGACCAAAGAGGGGCGCGCTGGTGGCTCAGTGGTTAGGGCGCGCGTCCCATGTGTTGAGACCCTCGTCTCGAGCGGTAGGCCCGGGTTCACTTCCACCCGTGGCCCCCTTCCGCATGTCATTCCCCGCTCTCTCTCCCTGGTTTCCCTGGTTTTCCGAGCACGAAAAAGCCCAAAAATAAATCTTTAAAAAAAAAAGAAAAGAATATGACCGAAGGATCTGTTGTGTTCTTTTTTTAAAACATCACATAAATTATGCTCAGATACATAAACTCGTCATTAAACATATTCTCTTCCTCGGATCTGTTACGCCCGTTCTTCTTGACTATGGTCAACGCAGAGTTCGTTTTCATCGGGTGGAGTAGCAGAGAGAACTCCCATGATTCCCCGCAGCCTTGACGTCATCTTTTTGTTATTGTTTTAAATGAAAGCCCTCTAGTGGCAGATTTAACATTACTGTACGTTACAATGAAACTTATCATCGAAAAGTGTCAGAGCTTTAAAAAAAAAACCTGCAGCATCAAGTTCATAAGACAGGTTCTGAATCAATTCTCCAAAGTCTGTCTAAATTGCACAAATAGCTTGGCAACATATGGATACCCAAACATCGCAAATGTTATGTGAATAATCCAAAACTGGGTGCCATGGTCTTCTATTTTTGATGCCATGGTAATCAAAATAGGTAGCAATAAATTAGTTTTTGTTTTCGCTAGTAGTATCATATCGAAGTTTAAAATTCTGATATGATCATGACAACCCTACCATCCATCATAAAATAAAGCAGATTGTTTTGTTCAAAACGTGTGGTAATGAGAAGAATAAACAGCAGTGAATAAATAACCTCCTTGGGTGCAATCAGGTAGTCAAAAACAGAAGTGTGACAAAATATAATTGTGCCATTGACATCAAAATATGGAGAAAAAAAACGATAACAGATAAGTTTCTGTTTGCAAGCTAAGAGAAGCTACAACTTTCCTTCTGACTTTCCCTCTTAAGCCAAGCATTCAAACCCCGACACGTGCACTATAAAGCTGCTCGCCTCAGTTAATCTGGGAGGATTTGCTGATAGGACATTAACAATAGTACTGTGACACCGATAACAAGATAGCCCTCCCATTCTCCTCGACAAAACAACAACAACAACAACGTCTGTAAAAACCTGTTCGCCAGCAGACACTGAACTCAATAAGCCGCTGCAGGTTCACCAGCTCGGTGTTTGCAGGACTAGAGGGACCTGATGGATTTTGGATCTTCCTAATTCAGATGATGTCAAACTGTAGGAGCAGCAGGCCACGGAGGATGGCATGTCACAGAGGGTGAAGTATAGTTTTGGTGGCTGCAGCAGATGGATCAAGAAGACCAGATGTCCTGTAAGCCACAGCTCTGAATCACCCGGTATAACGGTATGTGAGAGAGGTGCATGGGATTACACTGAAGACTCACACCGAGGCGGTGACCAGGCTGGTTTGTAAATGCTCTCTGAGTGTTTGCAAACACCAGCAAAGTCAGTGAGGGGAAAAACATCCTCCTCATGGGGCTGCCAGTTGCATAATGCTGCCATTTTCTCACTTACAACCCTGAAAAGAGGGCGAGAAATAGAGAGGGAGAAGGCAGGGCTGGACAGAGGGGGAATAAACCTCAGGTGTCAGTGTAGACACAAAGATGACATCATAGTGTAACTGAGGGAAAAACCTACAAAGACGCCTCAGAAATGATGCTTTTGCTGCTTTTGCTGCAGTTGGTCTGTTTTCTCCTGTGCGAACATATTGTACGCACAGAGAGTATTTTGACCTATTACACCTACCAGTCGTGACAAGTGTGATCACTGAGTGAGAAAAGTGTTGCGGTGAGTTTAAAACTGACTTCATATTAGAAGCAGGAATGTTCCTGTTTATTTTTTCTGGGGAGGTCATAATCTACCGATCCTTCATCTCACCCTCAGAGTTCAATCCGTCCTCCTCAGTCCAAACACTGCACCACCTATCTCCACACATTTTTTTGGTCTAGTTTGGACTTCTTGCCTAATTCTGCTGTTTATGTACAAGGTGGTCGGATGAAATCATTCTTGGTCCTGTGCCTACGACACCTGCACCGTGTTTGTGTTGGCCTCCATCAACCCCTTCAGCTCGTCGTCATTACCAAGGTCAGGCAGGAACAGAGAACACCAAATACTCCCACTTGGCATTCGTATAGCTGTCCATCAACACGTGGCGCTCTCTATCTATCTACAGCTTTAGAAAAGTACAGACTGATCTAAAGAGAAATGCACCTGTCAAATGAGACACCTTAAATGTGCCATAACATTATAAAACGTGAAATTACTGGCAGTTCAATTGCATAATGTGGCTTAGTAGTCCTTCAAAAAATGGAAGCAATCTCGAGGCAAGACAGGACTCGTATCACACATACATCATTCACACACACGTATCGCTCAGGGACAGGGAATAGGCCGTTGCATAAGTGAAGAGAAAGTGAACTTTTAAAAATGACACACTTTGTTCTGGGAAGCTCAAAAGGGTCTCTGCCTTTCAAAAAAAAATCCTCCACTTCACTTCAAGTTAATTCCTCAGCACTAAAGGCGTTAAAATCCCAAACGTTCAGACAGAACTACGCAGTAAAATCTGATTATTGCAGGTATTTAAAGTGCAGTCTGGAGAACAGTGTTGTTCTGTAATATGTTGTCTCACCTTCAAAAGTGTCTCAACATTTCATGATAAGAATTAAAAAAATAACAAACTAAAAACAAGACTGTGCGATTACATTAATACAACCTAATCCATATATTTAATTAAATCCATTTTCTAAGGATAATCAGTCATTTCAAGTTTCTTTTCTCAAGATCTCGACTTATTTTTCTCTTTGTCTCTATAACAGGTGACAAAATCAGCTCCTTTAAGGTTTTTGCACACCGAGTTCGTTTTTGTCTGATGTGATTTTGGATCCTTAATCTGATTTTAAAAAAACATTACACACAGATACCTTGCACACCGAGTCCGATGTGTTGATTTTTCTATTAACTGTGAAAAGTTAAATTCCAGCATTGTGGGAGTCTAACACTATCTCTGAGAAAGGTCAGCCACATGCAGTTTGTTAGACATGCTCCAGTTACATCTGAAGAGGAGGGGCGACTAAACAAAAATGTAAAAATCGTTAAATGCAGAATAAAAGTTTTATCAGTATGAGAGACACAGTCTGTTTTAAGATACTCTCAGAGAGAAAAAAGGTTTAAACTGTCTGTGTGATGATTTCCATCGTGCTTTGCGACGTCTATAAAGTGCTTTTCCTGTTCCTTATTAGTACTGTCTGTTTTTGCTGTGTGGACTTTGCTCTCAGCCTATGGTTAACGCTCTGAAGTACCGATAGCCTGTGAGTGGCGCTGCCAACCTTTGCTGGTCACTCGTTTAGACTTCAAATCAGTCCAGCTGTCCACAAGGTTTATTTACTGAACACTACACCACCGTTTACTTTAAATGCAGGATTATGACCTGATGTTCTGGGTCGCTTTGTATCCCAACAGCTCGCAAGCAAACAATGGCCGGAGGGGAAGTTTCAAACATTTCAGGTCTCGTGCAGTGTGTGTGGTGTTGATGGCTGCACTTTCGGCAATGACGGCGCGTTTGTCTGCATTTTATACCGGTATATCGGTTGCACTGGTAAATAGGCTGCAGCAACATCGGTACATCAAATCTCATCGCTCATTTGAATATCAGATTCGAAGATTTACCAAGACCTAGAAAGAAATTGGAATTGGAATCGACAATCGGCTCAATAGTTACTTTAAACATCAATACCGGCCCTGGTTTTCACAATTAGTGCATCTCTAGAAATGACTCATTATCACACAAGAAAACGAAGTAAAGGAAATGTATGGATGCATGTCTGCTTGGGCTTCTTTTACATAAGAAGAGAAGATTCTGACACATTAAGACACACTTGGTCATCAGTCATTTCATCAACAAGTTGGGCCCAAAGCGGTTTCTTCTGATCGACTCTGAACTGACATTCAATCTCTCAAGTGAACAACTTCACTGCAGCCGGTTCACACAATAAGATACTTGTTATCGGACTCCTACAGCACAGCTCAGCTCAAAGGAAAGAAAGCACGTTTCCAAAAGTGAAAAGAACATTTAGTTTGAACTAAGACACACCTGTAGAACAGACTCACAATAAAGCAGGACTTGTGGGACAGTTTTCAGACTAAACCCGTTTCACAGTCAGCTGATCAAAGTCTCTGAATAAAGCCTCATTATTGGACGATACCATCCAAAAGAAACCTTTAGTCAAAACAAACTCTACAAAATCAGTTCAAAATGTGTGTATATTGCCATTAGTACACTATGTTACACAATAAAAGTTCCTTCTATATGAAAAAGAACTCATAACTCCAAACACCCCCAGGGTCTCACTGCAGCTTTTTACAGACTCCTGGCACTAACAAGCTGTAACAACACTGAGTCACTCCGTCCCAATTTGTCAAGCACTAATCTCTTATCCAAATATCATAAAACCGTAAATTCTATGGCTGCAAGTTCCTGTCATGATCAAAAAAACACAACAACAGGGATCACTCGAGCCGAGGGCTTTCCTTAAATTATACCTTTCAATGTATTCTTGGCTTTGCAACACGATTGAGAACAATAAAAAAACAAACTTTGGCTGGAAAAAAGTCAGTTTGCAACATGAAGAACCGTTCTGTCCTAACGGCAGTGATTATGGTGAGCTCGAAGACAAAACAAGTTATTACATCTTCAACTCTCTTGATACACTGACAATGGGTTTGAGTCATGATTAAAGAAAACACTAAAGATCCTTTTCTGATACCTTAAAGTCTGCATGAAATAAAAAATACATGTCCCTGGTTTTTATCCAGAGTTTCAGTGTTAAATCAAATGTTCATTTATCTGCCAGTAGGACATTTGTCTTGGACATTAGCATGTCCAGTGAATGACATTTTCCCCCAATTCCTGTCATTCTATAGACCAACCAGCTGAACAGTTCATTGAGAAAACACTTGTTGTTCTGTGTAAAACAAGATGATAAACTAGCTCAGTCACCAGTTTATGACTTAGCCACAGCCTGTGTAGCTTTAAGAACTCAGTGTTTGCCAGCGCCCTGCTTCTCTTCTCCTCAAAATGTGGTCACAGAAAAACTGTCATCGCCTTCGACAAGGCAGTCGCACAACAAACGACAGACGTCACTGCGGCTGCGTCCATTATTTATACAGTCTATGATTCTTTCTCAGTGCCATGTGCTTTGTTGCTGCCCTGCTTTGTGTTTCGCTGTCAGACTTTTTCTGGTTCTTTGACCTTTCCCTGGTTACTTTTTGTTTCCCTGTACTGGTTTTGCCACCTGCCATTACCTGCACGCTATCGAGCTAATGCTAATGCTCTATTAATGTGTTTGTCTCCTTCCCTACTACGACAAATCCTTAAAAACAAAGAATGAACATGACTAAAACAAAGACCTTGGGTTTAAAAATGTCTAATGTGTGAACTCTTCTCTTTGACTTCAAGATCAAGTATTCAAGTACGTGTTCAATGAACATATGGTTGTGTTTTTACTCAGTAAATGAATCTTTAATCAATCAGATAACCATAAACAGCTTTCTGTAAATCCAGTACATGCCCACTGTAGAGGAGCCAAGTGACTCAGCAGATGATGCAAATCTGCCCATCGATGTTGTGTTGATGAAGGCAGACATATCTGTCGACACTTTACTCCACAGACTGCAGGAATAACATTTGTTTCTTATTAGAATTGATGACTCTGCAGACAGACAGTGTTTTATACACTGACTCTTCGCGCTGTCCTTATGCCAGAAAGGCTGACTGTCTCCTCTGCACATTTCCCCGAGTGACTCAAAGACAGAAGCAGCCGACAGCCAACGACGCCTGTGTATAAAACGTGACCTGCTTTGCCAAGAACCCATGATGCAACAGTAGAGCACACTGTACATTTAGAGTAAACTCACCTCTGATTTATTCGCCGTTCATCTTCACTCCGAAATCCTGCAACACAGATAAGGGGAAATTATTAATACCACTTCGAACAAGTTCTGGCATTGTTATGAAACATTTCAAGACGGCAACAGAAGCTTCATGTCTGTTTGTATATCTATCCAAGAGTATGATTCTCATTTTTCAAATACGATACTGTAGGTATATTTTTATAGACCATCACACCATTGACCCAGGACCAGCGGAAACCCAGACTGCTATACAGACTCGTACACATTGGGGTGATGTCTCTTCAGTCGATTTTAAGTTCTCTTTACTCTCCATCCACAGAGCACCTTGTTGGATGCAACAGTGAGATTTGTAGTTTTTAGCTGTCTAATAACAGCCATATCACCTATCGTGCTCATCTATTCCCTTACCCCACCGTACAGTAAAACTGGGCTTGCTAATGTGGGATCAAACAGGCATTGAAGGTACATACATAGGTGTGCAGCTTGACTGCAGAATTAGTCAAAAAGTACGCTCAAATCAAAGTGAATCATGTCTTTATGTTCTCACACTGCTGTCAAAAAACTTCACTGCAAGCAAATACCAGTGCAGTCACTGTGGTTGCAGGTGTGTGTGTGTGTGTGTGTGTGTGTGTTGTGTGCATTAAATCCAAGGAGCCTGAGGAGCTCTGAAGACGCAGAGTGAGGAGACGTGACTTGAAAGTTTCTCAACATGAGATCGAGCGTACTTAAAGCAGTCTGACTGTACGGAGCAAAGCAAAGTCTGGGACAAAATTACATGACAAGCAATTACATGGCAGGAGGACAGGGGTATAATGGGGACGGATGAAGTGTGTAAAAGTTTTTGACACATGCCAGTTTACACACACACTGAAGCCTTCAGAGGTCAAAAGCATTGCTTAGCTTAAGTTTTTTTTTTTTTTTACACCTTAAGAGCTTACATCTGACCAAACGACTGAGGAGGAGAATGGAGGACGGAGGATGCAGGAGCAGGTCTGATTCATCATGACGCTCTCACTTTAGCAAATCCTCTAAGAACAATCTTGATAACTTTTACTCATGCTAAATCAAAACATTTTCTTTTTTTTTAAGATTTATTTGTCAGCTTTTTGTGCCTTCGTGTTAGAGATAAGACAGTGGCTAGAGTCAGAAATCGGGCGTGCACACTAACCACTAGGCTACCGGTGCCCCAAGACACATTCTTTTGTTGCATGATAAACTAGTAAGTGACTGTGAAGAAAAGTAGAATAGTTTAACACCCCTGTTGTGACTCAAAAGCATGAATTATTACCTTAACTTTAATTATTTGTGGCTTTAACATTTCACTCACATTGACACATCTCTTGTTTTAGTGGTGTTAGTTTAAGTCTAACTTTTTCAATACGTGTGAATTACCTCGTGATTTATGACACATTCTCCAATATTTTAATGATCGATGGCAACAAAAAGTACTGAAGCTTTAGAGAAATTAAGTCTATTTCATAAGCCAGGTGCTCAGCAGAGGAAGGAATCCATCAAAAATGGCAAGACGACTCCTGCACACTGTCTAAATTTAACAAATATGTTGGCCACGTTTCTATACTGAAACAAAGCCAATGTATTTGTACAATTGAGACGGTGTGTTGGAGTTTGCATGCATCCCAAAATTGGTACCTTACGTCTATTATATTTCAGCTTCTGTTTGAGCTTTTTTCATTTTTTCTTCTCTTTGATTTTTATGGTTTTGAAATGTCCTCTTCTCATGCCTTGTGTTTTTGCCTTGTTGATTAAATGTGCTATAGAAATAATCTTGCCTTGCCTCAGTGCCTTCTATTTTTGTTGCAAAGGTATACAACCTGGTATGAATATTGTTTGATTTTTACTAGCATCATATCAAAGTTTTCAATCCTGGTTTCCTGACGAGCCTCCCACCAATGTATGGCTGCAGGATTGATGATTTTTTTCTTAAAAGGGAGTTGATGTAATGAAACTAATTCTGTAAGGGGAGCATGTGACGTTCAACTAAATTGGCATTATTTTGTATTTGGTTAATCTCGCACATAAACCGCCTCATGCCAGCTTTTTACCAAATCTGTTTTCCCACTGTTCGCTGAAGCGCTCTCCCTTACCGTAGTACTCCACCACCCCACCCACACCCACCCCTCATGAGTAGATGACATCATAGCTGCAGCAGCTCCCTGCCAGCTTTATCTGTCACACCTCACCACGCTGCTGGACGACACACTCATCACTGTGTATCTGTTTAGATGTCATATGCATCAAAATGTACAGTGCAGTAATATGCATTTAGCCCACACACTGTCTCATCCTTCAATCAATAATAAAACCAGCAAGACTACAAGGTGCAAGGGGAAAACACAGTCCAAATCCTTGACATCCTAACTTGTTTGCTTTTGCTCATGCTGGGAAAAAAATAAAGCCTTTTTGTCCAACTGGTCTCCAATAAAACTCGTCTGTGGTGCAGTTATTTGAAAATAAACCAGCAAGTCAGTGTCTAAGTTTGTTTGGTTGATGTGTTCCTGCAGAGATCTATAACCTCAGCATCCCTGTTTCTATCTGACAGGCAGCGCCCTCCTCTGGCAGAGCATGACAACGATTTGTACTTGACAGATAGCAAAAGGAAGTTATCTTAAAATCATTTGAAGGAACTGACATGAATGTGATTGAGAAGTCCACACAGTGTTTCGATCAGTGATCCTAAAACAAGAAAAGCTCAAACTGTGACTCTTTAAAGCTAGAGATGAGTTATATAGTCTTATAGTTTAATTATGTTCCTTATATAGATGTTTAGCAGTGTGGACATCTTTTCTATGACTACTGGATAAAACATTAAGACAACATAGAAACATCCTGTGAAGCTGCTTTTTAATCTTCTGTCATTTTAAGAGCTCAAAATAAAACACTAATCCACCAAATGGTTTCATATTGATCAATTAAAGTGACTTGAGCAGTGTTTAAACTACAACACGCACCATGAGGGTCATTATGTCGCTGTGCAGATTTAATTTGACACATTTGTGTGATGATAATGTGATAAAAACGTTAAATGTTAAATGACAGACAGTCATATCATAATCACTGAAGCTAATGCTAACTAAAGCTAATATCATTCATAAGGCACTTGTCACGCTCAGTTAGCTCTTTCAAATTACCGACGGGTTTAATGGATGTAAGATATTCTTAATGGTTTAATTACGCTTAATAATGACGACTACAGCAGCCGTCATGTCACATTTGTTGAGGGGAAATATCTGCTTATCAGGAGCGTACACGTAAGCTAGCGACTGTTAGCTAGGTAGCATAACGGGATGCTAACGCTGCGAATTCAGCTTCAATCACATCTCAGCCGGTGAACAGACCGGAGCACCGGGCTGTGTGTTCACCGGGCAACCGGGGGTGCTAACACTGACCTCCCCCGCGGTCGTCGTTGCTGTGCTGGCGCTGGATGCGGCGCTCGGGGTCGGGGACCGCTGCAGAGTGACCAACGCCATGAAGCTGAAGATGCACCGCCGGCGGGCCGCTGGGCCTGCTGAGCTGCTACCGGCTAACGAGAGGGAGCTGCTGGTCCTGCAGGAGTGTGTGTGTGTGTGTGTGTGTGTGTGTGTGTGTGTGTGTGTGTGTGTGTGTGTGTGTGTGTGTGTGTGTGTGTGTGTGTGTGTGTGTGTGTGTGTGTGTGTGTGTGTGTGTGTGTGTGTGTGTGTGTGTGCGCTCAGGAGGTCCATATTCACAACACTTTAATATAATAAATAAATATAATTATACTTATCATACATATATAGATTGTATCAAATGTATAACTATAATAATATTATAATAATAATAAGGATTGTATAAATATATAAAATGTAAATATAGTACATCACATTGTACAAATAGATATGTATATATGGATATATGTATATATGGATATATTCTGTGTGTTTTTTCCTTCTACTTTCTGAGGCAGTAAAGACTGAATTGTCAGATTTGTTTTATGTCGGCATGATATTCATTTATTGATTGTAATTTGGACAGAACCATCCACACATTTATTGTTTGCTTTTTGAGTAAAGGGGGTGAAGGCAAAACAAGAATTCTTCTTCTCCCTGCTCCTTTCCGTACATGGGATAAAGTGTGAATTGTTTTTTTGTTTTTTTTCTTTGTCCTTTTCTGTTGTGTGTTTGACATACACAACAAATAAATAAATACATATATGGATTGTATAAATATATAAAATGTAAATATAGTACATCAACTTGTACAAATAGATATGTATAAATGGATTGTATAAATATATAAATTATTTTTAAAAATCATAGTATATCAAGTTGTATATATGTAAGGAAAATCATTGGATTGTAAATATCAAATATAGTATCATAAATATAGTAACATAGATAGATTGTTTATATAGAGAGATTATAAGGAACACAGGAATTTAATTTAATAAATATTAATTATTGAGCTGTGGAAAAGGGGTCGGATTAAATCAGTTTTATACTTCGTCCTACTCCTTTTCAGGCATATCAATTGAATATGTGTAATTTTCTTTTTCTTTTTCTTTTTTTGTGAAATAATTTGAACATTGTTTTTTGTTTATTGTATGTTCGTGCTTTTCATTTTGTTTCGTATTTTTGATATGTTTGATTCTATTTGATGTCTGAAATAAATGTAATCAATCAATCAATACAGTCTTTTTCAAAATAAATAAATGGCTTAAATTAGTCTTAAAGCCTACAGTTTAAAAAAATGATAACATCAATTTATTTTATTTAAAACTACTGTGAGGACTTTTTAGCTGGTTATGAAGCTTCTTAATGAGATACAAAAGCAAACAAGACTATTTCACAGACAGTTGATTATTTGGATGGAATAACATTTTGTTGTAAATAGAATTGAATTGTTGAACTCCGCCCCCCAAACTCCACCCCCCGCTGACCCCCTTCCCCCTGCACATCACCTCACACCCATCATCCCCCCCACCACTCCTCCTGGTCACATACACACATCTCTCATCCACTGTATTATTGTATTATAGTATGTTCATATCACCTCAATAAGTTATCGACCTGTACAATATGTCCATATTCTTTATATTATCTGTAAACTAGTATAGCATGCTCACTGCACCTTAATCTGTATATTATAATCTGAAGGATATACTTATATTTATAGCCTTTATTTATATTTATAGCATCCCATTAATCCAGCCATATATACCCAATAATTTTTAGTCTACATCTGTAATTTTGTAATTACTGTACATAGCACAGATTCTTGCACTTTCTGCTTATTTGCACTTCTGGTGAGATGCCAAACCTCATTTTGTTACTCTATACTTGTACATGTGTAATGACAATAAAGTTGAATCTCATCTCTCATCTCATCTCATAATAACTCTTAAACAATAAGTCTTTCCACAAGTGGAAGTGTAGGCTACATACCTTGTATTATTCTATTATTGTATTTTTTCTCCCTTTATTTAACTGATGTGCATATCTTTGATTTTTAACTTCTTGTTATTTTTAATAATTATATTCTGTTTCCTGTTTTCTTGAGCTGTTGTAACGAACAAATGTCCCCTATGGGGGATCAATAAAGTTTATCCTTATCTTGCAGGCTATATATCCCTTTAGCATGATCCATATACTGTAAATATGAATGGACGAAGCCTGAGTGACATCACCCTTCTGTTACTTGGGGGGGGGGGGGGGGGTGCACAAGATCAAAACAAACCAAAAGTTCTTCACAGAAACTCTAAAATAGTAATAATGACAGGGGCAAGAGGTCTTGTGTGAGAGCCTCCAGCAGAGGAGGATAACAACTTGTGCTCTGAAGGACTTTCACAGGAGAAAAACGTGTGGACAGATGGTATAACTTATTAGATGCTTCCAGCACTTAGTACAAGTACATAGGGTATGTCACAGTAATCATATATTACATGTTTATTCAGCTGGGATGACACAGCACCAGTTGTCTTCAGTGGTGTCCAGGATTTATCATTGACTGTTTTATGATTGTTTGCTGTCCTCACTCATGTTGAAAGAGTTTAACAGTGCAGGTACGAATGTGAAATCAGTTTAAGGCATCCATGTTGGTCATAACATAGAACAACATAAACAAAGTGTGATATGATTACATTTGTAATAATTCACATTGTGCTCTTTTTGTCCGTTGACATTTGAAGGCAAATAGAAAAATGTGCATGTTGGAAATGTCCTGAATTTGTCCCTCCCTTCTATCGTCATTTTATGAAGCTAACACTACAAGAAATATACAAAGTATGGAGTCAATATATCAACAAACTACCTGAAGTCACAACTTCTGAATGAAGTGCTTTTTGAATGAAGTTTCTATATATTGATACAGATATATCCATAATAGGCCCGAATATCAGAATATATTAGGCAACCATTGATCGGTTTATTACCTCTACTGTTGCTCATTGAAATGTTTTGCAAAAAATATGAAAAATGAAAACCAAAATTTGAGCAAAGGACTTGAAGGGAAAAAAAACTAGAGCCATTTTTCTTCAGAAACTCAGATCTCTTAAATCTGAAGATGAAATTATATACCCCACCCTACAAGATGTATTACTACAGCCTACTGAAATATAGCCTATTGAATGTATTTGTCCAAAAAACAACAACAAAAAAAATCTAAATAAATTAATATCAAAAATAATCAAATGACCCCTGATGCACCATGGGGGATGTGATGTACGCAGGCAAAAGAAATCCAATGTCCATGAAGGAGCTGCGGTATTTTGCTGGTTTATTTGAGGAAAGCAAACAAAAGAACAAAGGAAATCGTGGCTCCCGTTGCCTCTCTTGACCTGATAAAAAACAATAGGCCCACCCAGGTGCATGCTGGTCCTCCACCTGCCTCTTACTGAAATAATCTCCGGTGCCCACAGTATTACCCAAATACCTAACAAAATACTAATACAAAACTAAATTTACTAAATAAACAACATCACCCAAATATTAGTAAACTAAATACAAAAACGAATTCTAACCCCAACTAAATAGCTCCAACAGAATGATTATGTGCCTATAAATGTAACCAAACATCTCTAATTAGGCCTATAGGCTAAAGAAAGTGCTTCCCAATTTAAAACACATGACAGGAAGTGTCAACAGGTTCACGACATATGATAATGATGACGTATGTTTACTGCAGCTCACGTGTTTCTTAAGTTTAACTCTCTGCGTGATAATGAGACGTCTTGGTTTTATATTTGTGCTGTGAAACGTGGATCCCACAGTGTCATCCTGTGTGTGGATGGCTTTACATGGCTCTGACAGATCACACGGTCTATGGATCATACGTGTTGCTGACTTACCGTTGACCCCGCCCCCTTCCAGCTACGTCACAGCCGAACCAGTGCGTGCGCGTCATATGTGACAGACTTCAACAACTCCTGCAGAGGTGGTCCGAACTCCAGATTGAAGGTAAAGCAAACTTTTTGAGCTTGAATAAATTGAGTTTTGCGCGGATTAAACTTCACTTGCTTTAAATCTGCTCCACCAAAAGTTTTCCACGTCAGCGATTTTCTCCGAAATGTTTTCGCTTCGTTACATAATACAGCCTTTACCACTCTCCTGTTATAAACTGTGTTCAGAAGTCTTGCTGGGATGTGGTGCAAGTTTCAGCCAACCCTGTAATGCACATTAATCTAACACATGTTCACATATTATTATAATATTTACAAGTTCTGGAAAACTTCTAGCAAGTTATTGATTGATTAAGTCACACCGTTTTGACCTCGTGTTGTTCTTTTTCTGCTCACAATTTTAGTGTTAACAATTATTACACAATAATGATAATAGTCATAATCCATAATTTAAAAATCTCTGCATTGTTTTGTAATAGTTGTAAAATCTCTGGTTTATTGGCCAGGTACTCTCACAGTCACACACACACAAGGAATTTGACTTAACAAACTCTGCTCTCTATGTACAACATTACATTTTAACAATAAACAACTAAACAAAGACTCTCTACAAGACTGGGGAAGATAATAGTGCAGTGGTGAGTGGGCAAAAGATAATGAACATGATAATAGATTATGTAAATGTGTAACAGATTCCATGAGGTATATCAAGTTTTTACAGTATTTTTATGAAGCAGTTTGAACAGGTTTGATATTTATTGATTTATCCAGGTTAGTCCTTTTTTCAAGGGAGACTTGGTTAAGAATGGTCAATAGACTTGAGCTTGTAAAGCGCTTTTCTAGTCTTCTGACTACTGAAAGTGCTTTAACACCGCAGGTCACACCTACACATTCACACACTGATGACAGAGGCTGCTATGTGAAGTGTCCATCAGAAGTAAATAACCCCTTTCATACACATGGATAGCAGCAGGAGCGACTCTGGGTTAAGTGTCTTGCCCAAGTAAACATCGGACATGTGGCTGCAGGAGCTGGGGATCAAACCCCTAAGCTTTCGGTTAACAGACCACCGACTCTACCACTGAGCCACAGCCACCCCAGCAACACACAGTTTCAACAACAAAACACTCAAACTCGTACAGAACACATTTCATTATAATCAGAATCAGAATCATGATCATCTAAAACATACATACAGAATGTTTAGATTCAAGACTCTTCACTAAGGATTTAAAAACATTCACGGTAACTCAGTTTTGACGTTTCAAATCAGACTGCAAGTTGTTCAAAGCAAACATTGAAAAAAAAGAAACATTAAAAGCTTTCTTCCTCAGCTCAGTTCTAACTTTGGTAGCAACAAATTGCACAGAAAAGGTTGTGGACTTCATCCTTCAGAATCAGATAGATATCAGACGAGGATAACGATGTTAACATGATTAAGTGAGTCACTATAAAATGTGGATAAATTATTAACATTCCCAGTACATGTAGGTGTCACATCACACGTTACATCCAATCTATAATATTAGCATATGATAAAAAAAACAAGATATCCATATACAATACGGTACATTATGGTACGATACAGTATGGCACAGTGCAATGCGATGTGATACACTTTATGGTCCCTTTGCTAGATTTGTCTTGGACTCAAAGTGCTGCAAACATTCAGCTGCCTCTACAGTCGAATCCATAAGTAAAAACAACAGAAAAAAAAAACAGAAAAGCACATTCCAATGCAACCAAACACAACAACATATTTTGCACAATATCTCCATAAAAATCCAACATATTGTCATGTAACAGTTTTCTTTGTTTACTTGTTGATTACTTTAGTGGATGAGTGAGACTCAGCTGTGTTTTGTCTCATCTTAATCCAGACATGCGTGTGGCAGTGATTGGAGCGGGAGTCATCGGCCTGTCGACAGCTCAGAGCATCTACGAGCAGTATCACTCCATCGTCAGCCCGCTGACCATCGAGGTGTACGCAGACCGTTTCACTCCGCTGACCACCAGTGATGGAGCCGCCGGCCTCTGGCAACCATATTTATACGATAACGGCAAAGTGGAAGAGACGTGAGTGCATATTCATGAACCCTCTTTTTACACAGCTCCACATCGCCATAAAAATCTTAATGCTGTCTTTGGTTTCACTGTTAGAAAATGGAATAAAGAGACGTTCGACTACTGTCTGAGCTGCCTCAGTTCACCAGAGTCCATAAAAATGGGAGTGTTCCTTCAGTCCGGCTACAACCTCTTCAAGGAACCGGTCGAGGTGAGTGAACCTGATAAGATTTGACCTTGTTTGGAGGACTTTTACAACCCAGAGCAAAAGCCAGCGTGCAGTTTTATCCAGAGATATAGTTAAAGCATTACCTGAGATAACTTATTGATACATTTATCACACACCGGTGCAATGTCTACCATAAAACACAGCCGGTCTGTTTTCTGAGTGGAGCTTTGTTTAGCCGCACAAACATGGCTGCCTGCTGTTGTAGGCACACACAAAAGAGAGAGGCCTCGCAGAGGGTGGACACTTGGACTCAGGGGTTAATTTAGATTCTTTAGTGTGACTCTTGTATGCTGATTGCCGGCTGTGTAGTATGTATGTATTTTATTGCCGACTGCAAAACAAACTGCCCTCTCGCAGGGATAATAAAGACAACCTTCAACCTAACTCCCTAAAGTAAATCAACTCACAGCAACTCTGAGTGAGAAACTCGTGAGCCTGTTAAGTTCCTCCTCATTCCTCCTCACAGTTTCTCACCGTCGGAGCGTTCTCAAGGGTTAAGATGCTTTGTGAATAACTTTGATCTTTACCAGGATCTAGTCTTAACTTAAAGGGGAAATTCTTAGAAAACATCACTCCACTAGGAGCAACTCTTTACACATAGGAAGCTCTGTAAATACAGCTGCTGGTCTTTTTTAAAGTCTGGATGCTGACAATGAACCAAGCAGACCCACTCCCTCCTGACCACCAGCCACTCACACCACCCCCACCTGCGGCCATTAATCAGGAAGCTCAGACCTAACCTGTCAGAGCACGCCACACAGCTCCTGGTACAGGCTCTTGTGATATCACACATTGACTATTGCGACTCGCTACTGGCAGGTCTTCCTACATGCACTATCAAACCCCTGCAAATGATACAAAACACAGCAGCACGAGTCGTCGTCAACCTTCCTAAAAGAGCACATGTCACTCCGCTGTTCATCTCCTTACACTGGCTCCCAGTTACTGCTCGCATCAAATTTAAAACTCTGCTGCTCGCTTACAAAACAGCGACAAAAACGTCTCCTCCTTACTTCAACTCTCTCATCCAGGTCTACACTCCCTCCCCCTCTACGCTCTGCCAATGACAGGCGTCTGATTCAACCTTCACAACAGGGTCCTAAGACGCTGACTAGACTCTTCTCCTCTGTCGCCCCCCGGTGGTGGAATGAACTTCCAAACTCCATTTGATCTGCAGAGTCCCTCTGCACTTTTAAGAAAAAGCTAAAGACCCAGCTCTTTCACAAATACCTACTAACTTAATGATGATGGTCTCCATATTATTGATGATGATGATGGTAATGACGATTGTTTTTGTTTGATAACGACGACTTATAAGATGGTTTCTATACTGATTAGAGCTCTGAAGAACAGCTGTAGATGTTGTGCTCTGTCTCTGGTCACTTCCTGTCAGCTCAGACTTTGACAGACACCTTGGATAAAAGAGTCTGCTAAATGAAATGCAGAATGATATGTTAAGGTAAGTGAACTCTTTTTGTGTTTGCAGGAGCCCTCATTTAAAGACATCGTCCTGGGCTTCAGATATCTCACTGAGCAAGAACTGCAAATGTTCCCAGGATACACGTGAGTTCCTCCTCAAACACTAAGGAAGAGGAGCAGTGACAGTAACAGAACTGCAATAACGTAGGTAGTGACCTTTCACACATGGGGCTCAGAGGAAGGTTTTTAGTTAGATTCATTGGTATATTAAGAGGAAAAAACAGACATTATAAGATAGCCCCTCTGAATTACTCAGGTTTTTGTTGATCATATTTTATGGTTGGATGTTTCTCCAGCTGTCTCACTCTAACACGTCTATCTCTTTGAACATTTCCAGTAATGGTTGGTTCAACACGGCTCTCATGATTGAAGGTAAAACATACTTACCTTGGCTGATGGATTGGTGAGTCAGCGTTTTATTTTACCTGAACTTAAAGAGCCCTGAGTCGTAGCACCAGTTTGTCATGCTCTCAGGTTTTTTGATGAACCACCAAAGTACTCTCTTCTGTGATTTTATAAGTACTCTGTAACATCACATTGTAGAAGTGTCAGATGTCTTTCATGTTTGTTAGGAGAGTTGAGATTCTGAGAGGCACTTTACATTCATCTGTGTCGTTTGTTTTAATTTTATTTTAGGTTGAAAAAAAGAGGTGTGAAATTTTATCAAAGGAAAATAGAGTCCTTCAAGGAGGTAAGTGAATATTTTTTTTAATATTAAAGTTGTGTAAGTGTTTATTACTGAAGCCCTAAGCTGACATGCATCCATACATTTATTATTAAAGGTGACATATTCTCCTCCTCTTCAACCAGTTTAAATAAGTCTCAGAGCTCCTCAAAACATGTGTGTGAAGTTTCTTGTTCTTAAATCCACTCTGATCCTGTATTTGATCCTGTCTATAAACCCCTCTATTTCAGCCCTGCTCAGAACAGGCTGTTTCTGTGTCTGTACCTTTAAATATGTAAATGAGCTGTGTCTGAACACGCCCCCTCTCTGGAAGGGCTTGGGTGTACTTGGGCTTTCTCGCTCCATGTCCTATTGTTTACGTTGAGAAGGCAGACTCAGAGAGCAGAACAAACACCTAGCTGTGGGAGTGTCACCCACCTGAGGGAGGGGCTACTGCCCTTTGTGATGTCATGAAGGGAAAATCTCCAAACGGCCTGTTTGAGCACACATTTTCTGAAAAGTGGAGCAGGCAGAAGACGGAGAGGTTGGACTTTTCTCATTATTGGGGGGTTTGTAGACAGACTGGGAATTTCAGATCTCAACTTATTTATCGCTTATCCCTAGATTTTAAAAGCACAAAACAAACAAAGAAACATTACACATTAGAAAGTCTTAACTTACCTCATTAGCATGCACAAAGGCAGCATCTCATGTCACGTTCTGTCCTTTCACAGGGAGTAGAATATTGTTTAGCTTTCCTGCTATCACCAGAGAACCAGCTTTAATAAGTTGAGATCTCAAACAAACAACCAGAAATAACATATCATGGCAGTAACATGGAGTAAATGAAATGTACAGATACACGTCCGCTCGGGGCTTCTGTAGGTTATTTAAGTCTATATTAAAATGAAGTCTCTAGCTGATCTCAATTGAGTCTCTTAAACTGTTATCACTTGCCATCTCTTATCATCCTCCCCTGTCCTCAGCTGGCAGAAAGCGGGGCAGACGTGATAATAAACTGCACCGGAATGAGATCAGGAGCGCTGCAGCCGGACCCTGAGCTCAAGCCAGGCCGCGGTCAGATAGTGAAGGTGAGACGGAGGATGTTCAGCAACCTTTATACAGTGAGCTATAACGCATCTAAGGAAACAGTGCCTGTGCATTTCTATGTGTTGTTTTTTTATTTTAGGTGGATGCTCCATGGTTGAAGCATTGGATTCTCACACACGATATGGAAACAGGAGTCTACAATTCACCGTACATCATTCCAGGGTAAATCTACCGACAGGAAACACTTCAACGTAACGTACAGCCGCTTCTCCTGCAGTGATTGGGGCGGCAGTAGCTCGGTCTGTAGGGGCTTGGGGTGGAAACCGGAGAGTCTTGCAATTGGTCTGGTAGCTGAAGATGTGCCCTTGAGCAAGGCACCAAACCAACAACTTCTCAGGTGCTCTCTCATGTGCAGCCCCGTCACTCTGACATCTCTCCATTAGTCCATAGGATCCGCTATGTGCATGTCATGTGTGTGTATTTCAGTATGTGTGTGTAGCATGACTCAATAAGTCCATCCATTTACTATACGCTTTGGTTTTTTCTTCTTCTTTATCGTGAGGGATAGGAGCACTGTGATGCTTCTGGATTCAAGCGTAGCATGCTTTAGTTTGGACAGTGTGATTGTCTTGGAGATCTGTGAACTCTCTGTTTTCCACATCCAATGTCTGCAGGAGCCGACAGGTGACGGTCGGTGGAATTTTCCAGCTCGGAAACTGGAGCGAACAGGACAACTCCATCGACCATAAGAATATCTGGGAGGGCGCCTGCGAGCTGGAGCCAAGTCTCAAGGTGAGATCTAAAAAAAATGTTTGTGTAAGAGGCCATAAAAAGACTCTTTGATACTGTAATCAATTATTTACAACGAGACATCTGAAGTGCTCAACATGAAGTTTCATATATTCTGTAGTTCAGTCGTCGTTTATTTTAGTAACGGGACGGAAATCTGTGGCAACATTCCCAGATCTGCATTCATGCCAAAAACAACACACTGGCTTTCATTCAAACAAAGAAAACATCATAAAGGAAAATCATGTCTTTCTATGTTTCTGCAACATTTAAAGCTCGATAAAAGACTCCCTCTTTGTTCTCTAACCTCAGCATGCCAGGATAGTAGGAAGCTGGTCGGGCCTCAGGCCGGTCCGCAACAAAGTCCGGCTGGAGAGAGAGACCATAGAGTCTGATGGGACCAAGATAGAGGTACATTTTTTATTCATTTTTTATCCTTTTCATTTAGTCAGTTTTCTCATTTACATAGAGACACAATCAACATTATTTGTAAACATGGTTCATATACAGTAGTTGATTCCCTGTGCTTGTACATGGCTTATTACTTCTTCAGATACTCTGCGCTTTGCTACTTATTGTCTATTTATATTTATACTTTATTTTATATAATATATACTATATTTATCCTTCAATTTCCTCCACACACTGTTTGCAGCTCATATTTACGCAGGCTGATGAAAATGCACGTTTTACAGAGTCAACAGAACAAGGAGGACACTTAACGTTTATTAAGTCTAAACTTCACTTTACTGACACTCCATACGGAAACTGAGAGTGTCTGTCTCACCTCACCTCCTTTTACTTCTGTATAAAAGCATCATCCAACCCATCCTCCTCTACTGCTCACCCTGTTTCTTCAACATGCTCACTGTGACGAACAAAAATAAACTCTCCCGTATCACAAATATTGCTTACAAATCCTACCTACCTACCCAAAACCTCTCACAGCTCAACTACAGAGCGCTGATTCACAGAGCCCTCGCCACAGCCCAGGACCCCTCTCACCCCACTCTATCCACTCTGCCATCGGGTCGGAGATACAGAACCCCGACCTGGAAGAGGGCACGCTTCAAAAAGAGCTTTGTCCCCTCAGCGATTGAAGCCCTAAACATGCTTCCACGCTGACTGGCCCCTTCTTCTTTGTGTGTTTTCTACCTGCTGTTGTGTGTTTTTCTTCATGTGTACCAACTGTGCAAAGCTGTGAAAGCAAATTTCCCCCCGGGGGACAACAAAGTATTGTATCGAGACTTCACGTTATTTTCATGTCCTGAAGGAAGATTTATACCGTTTTCAAACACTTCCTCGAGGTGCATGCAATTTCTGTCTGGGATACATTTCTCAGCATAACACCGGTCTTGATTTTAAAATCAGGAGTCCGCCCAGTCTGAGACCGAGACAAGACCGAGTAAAAATGTTTTTGATTCTGAGACGAGAGCGAGACCTTCAAAAAGTGGTCTAACTACAACACTATATATTAGCATCACTTTTTGTCATTGTCATACTTTAATAAAAATATGATCTCTGTCTGTCACTCAGGTGATCCACAACTACGGCCACGGAGGGTTCGGACTCACCATCCACAGAGGTTGTGCGATGGAGGTGGCGCGGCTCTTCGGTGGGATCGTGGAGCAGAAAGGACAAGGTCCAAAAGCTCGCCTGTGAATCTGAGTCTGACGATCGCTACACTCCTGTTTTGTCAAATATCTAGATTAGTTTGTAAGTGCCTCTTCTACTAAACAGACTGTTCTCCTCTGTAACACTAAAACACTCTGGAGTCATTCTGTCACGTTTATATGAAATGTATCTGTAACCTGAAGGAGAGGAAGATTCTGTTCTTGTTTTCATTGTTTGTTCAGATTGGCTCATTCACATGCAACAAGCTTCAACCTCTGAGCCAGGTTATTATCATAAACAGAAACTATGGACTTTTCATCAAATGAAATAAAATAAAAACATGGCTTTACATAAAAAAACAAAATGAAAGTGTATTGTTTACTGTTACGACCCGGCTTGTGGCAGGAAAGGTTAGTAACAAAGACAAGCAGCAACCTCTGGTGTGGAAAAATGAAGCCGATGCAGAAGTTCAAAATCCTGCAGTTCGTTGAGTGTCCACTAGAGGCTGGCTCCACGAACACCGGAAGTCACATACACACAACAGGCAAAGAAGCTGTTTGCCCCTATCCTTGTTTCTGCCTCCGACCCAGTTTCGGCAGATGGCTGTTCACCATGAGTCTGGTTTTGCCCAAGATTTCTGTCTCTTAAAAGGACGTTTTTTCTTACATCTGTAACTTTGCTAAATGTTGCAAAGAGTAAGGTCTTTTACCTGCTTTTTGGGGATTGATATCGACTCCTAAACTCACCTGTGCGCTGTCATTGGCTGGAGGAAACACACCAGCTCCCCGCCCAGAAACGTCCCGAGTTAACCAGAACAAATCAGAACATGAAAATCCAGACAGAAGACAGAAGACAGAGGACAGGGGACAGAGGACAGAGGACACAGGACACAGGACAGAAGACAGAGGACACAGGATACAGGACAGAGGACACAGGACAGAGGACACAGGATACAGGACAGAGGACACAGGACAGAAGACAGGGGACACAGGATACAGGACAGAGGACACAGGACAGAGGATGGGACAGAGGACAGGGGACACAGGACAGCGGACACAGGAAAGAGGACACAGGACAGAGGACAGGGGACACGACACAGGACAGAGCACACAGGAGAGGGGACAGAGGACACAGGATGGGACAGAGGACACAGGATACAGGACAGAGGACACAGGACAGAGGACGGGACAAAGGACAGGGGACACAGGACAGAAGACAGGGGACACAGGACAGAGGACACAGGAAAGAGGACAGGGACACATGACACAGGACAGAGCACACAGGAGAGGGGACAGAGGACAGAGGATGGGACAGAGGACACAGGATACAGGACAGAGGACAGGACAGAGGACACAGGACAGGGGACACAGGACAGAAGACAGGGGACACAGGAAAGAGGACACAGGACAGAGGACAGACGACAGGGGACACATGACACAGGACAAAGCACACAGGAGAGGGGACAGAGGACACAGGACACAGGAAAGAGGACACAGGACAGAGGACAGGGGTCACATGACAGAGGACAGAGGACACAGGAGAGGGGACAGAGGACACAGGATACAGGACACAGGAAAGAGGACACAGGACAGAGAACAGGGGACACATGACACAGGAGAGGGGACAGAGGACACAGGATACAGGACACAGGAAAGAGGACAGGGGACACATGACACAGGAGAGGGGACAGGCTTTCTACAGACACCGTCACCACCACACATGTATGGAGGCCCAGAAGTGATGAAGAGCGACGCATTACTTTTGTCTACATTTTATTTTTGATGAAAAAGCTGCTGACTGTCTTTAAAACAAAACATCAAAACAGAATCAAGATAAAAACTAATGAAACATTCAGAAGTGTTGACCTCTCTCACTCAGCTCAATGTGTGGAGATAAATAACAACATGGATCCTCTGCTCTTTTTGAAAGATTATTTACTACAGTATCATACACATTTACATCCAGTGTGTTGACAAGAATCTGTGCACACACACATTTAATGCAGCACAATATCAAACACTGGCAGGTAGGAGTCGGCTCGCTCGCAGGACCTGAACTAGTTAAATCTCTTCGACAAAACGCTGTGGTACAATCCAACTGTCCGTCATCACGTCACCTTTGTCACAAACAAAAGCAAAGACAACAACTAAATCGAGTATTTGTACATCATTTACAGAATGTTACATCCAGAGAAATGCTTGTAAATGCATGTGTGAAGTTGAAAAAACTCAAATCTCACCAAGTGTGATCGTCTTATTTATACTCTAAGATATGTCATTACAAGTAGAAGAAGCCACGCTCACCTGACAGGTCCAGACTTACTCGTCAAGTTTCTGGAAATAAGCTTTGAAACTAATTTCAACAAACGTAAAATGTAAATTTTACCTAATGAATTTTGTGTCAACAATCTTAACTCTCCTGGGAGGAGTTTTTGTCTTGTTATGAAACAGACAGATATTAATACTGACGCTGCTTTGTGAACAAACAAGATCATAGTGGACACGTTTATATACTAATATATATAGGATAATGTTTTTTATTGTAATTAACCTCTTAATTTCAAAAGTTAATCGCAATAAATCACATTTTTTTATCATGTTTGAAATTCCATTATTTCCCATTTTAAAATTAAAAATTGTTAGGCTTTTATTTTGAAGTTTTGTACTGTCTTAAGCTGAGAGTACTCTAGCTGCTGTTTAAGTTCAACCATGCTTTTATTTTGAAATAAACTATGGAGCTTCTATTGATGGAAGGTTATGACATGAACTGAAGCACAGAAACAGGAAGTGGTCAGGGATCCCAAACTGACGTCAAACCTAACCCTAACCCTAATGACTATTGCTCAGTACATAGGGGGCCGTACACACTAACCACTACAGCATGAATCCATACCGGCGCCCCTACTTGTAATATCTTGATTAAAATGTTAGTCTGGACTTGTCAGGTGAATGTGGCCTTTGTTAAGTGTTTTAAATTATTAGAACTAGAAAATGAGACGAATACACTTGTTAAGATTGGAGTTTTTGCAGCGCGAGTCCACGTGTGCATCATGATTTAGAAGTGACATCATATCCTCATGTTAGCGTCACTTTTACATCACGTTAGTTTTTGGGTGATGCTGAGATTTATTTGTATTAATATAACTTACATTTGCGGTTTTTACGATACCAGATTTTTAAACTTTGATATGGTTCTACTAAAATTTAATTATCTTATTACCGTTTCAATACCACAGCAAGAAAAATACAAGTCCTCAGCACACGATGTTTTGTGATTTCTCATTTTGAATCACTAAGAGTGACTTCCTGCGTCTCAACTGAACAAATACGTTGGAAACATTTCAGTACAGAAATGTTGGCAGAATGTGTCGTAGTGTTGTAGGACTCAAAATCGGTCTTGGTCTCGAGATCACTTTTTGAAGGTCTCGATCCCTAATGTCTTGGTCCTGACTCGGTCTTGCCCTGCCCTGGTCTTGGTCTTGTCTCGGTCTCGGAGCACTCTGGTCTCTGGTATGTCTTGGTCTGGGTTAGTCTGGTCTTGACTACAACACTACTATATGGTTTTAAAACACGTGGGACCGAAAAACATCGAAAACCTTCCCTCCATAATGTCGCCCACTCGTCTCAGTTAGTTCTCTAGATATGAAATGCTGTCGCTGTTTGAAGTCGTTTGTCATCCTGTTGAAGATAAAATGACCTCATCATGATCAGGATATGAGTTTGTTTTTGTCATAACTGGAGTAACACCTGCCTTTGAGTCTGTCATAGTCAATGTAAAGATGTGAAACAACACCGACACAAGAAATCAGGTTAAGGAAGGATGCTTCATGGATACATAAAGTCAGAGGCTTAGACCTCGTCCACACGCAGCACTTTTTGTAAAACTCCTTCTAAAGTGAAGATGTTCAGAAACTCTGTTTAAGGTGTTTCTGTGTAGTTGAGGAAAACTGAAGCTTTGGGCTGTAAAGTCACGCGATGCGTCGGTTTCTCCTCCGTTGACGCCATCATGCGACGCTGTCACTTTTGTTTACATGAGATCAGAACGATAGCGGACGTGACCAAACTAGTGCTGGTGCTAACGGTGCTAACTGGACTTTTTTAACATGCCAACATGTACACACACAGTTACTCTCCCACTATGTTGACGAGCAGAGACACCAGAAAGGACAACGTTGTAAAATGAAACGGTCATTGCAGAGGAATGGAGAGAACATTTTAACATGTCAAGGACATCGTTTACGACCTGGCGTGCTCATGACAGCTGTAACAGTGCGTTTTGTGTTTTCATGTGGACGAAGATGTTTTTGATGACTAAGCGTTTGTGGACGGGATCATTTTTTAAACAGGAGGAGGAAAACCTCTGTTCAACGAAATGCCCGCCTACGTGTGGACGAGGCCTTAGTGTGTCTTTCTTTAAATTGAAAGATGAATAACTGTCCTTCTCTCTGATGCTCGTGAAATCGATCTTAGATGATCTAACAGGCTGTTTGTGTGCACATGTTCTCTAAGCATCTTTTTCCAGGATGTTAACAGACGAAGCTCTAAGCACACACACAGTTGGTATCATATGAAGATTACTCCTAGCATGTTTTCGCCTTTACTTCTCTACTTTAAGATAAAACAAAATGCGCACACACTTTGCATTAAGGGTTTGAATTCTCACTTGTTCAAAAATGTTTTGCATTTTTCTCCAGCATTTAATTTGACAGCTCTGCACTCGTGGAGGTTATTCTGTCTTTCCTGACAACCCGTGTGCAGATAGTCAGCTGTTGTGACAGCGATGACGGCTGAAGACTATACAGTAATAATTTACAGTAAACTACTGTGCGGCCACTGTGGTGCCTAAACTGAAGAGTCACGGGATGGCAGACGGACACAGAGAGCGCTTTCTGTTCTCCCTCCCTCTTTTTTTTCTCATCGCAGTCCGCTCTCTAACACGCTGTCAGTCTGAACTCAGCCCTGAGATCCAGGACTGGACTGAGAGTTTCCCGCTGAGCCACGGGAAGGGGCCCGGCCCACCATCTCTTGGCCCCACTCGCGTTGGTTGGACTCCTGCAGGCCCCGTCCCGTCGTCTCGATCGGCAGCGCGCAGGAGGCGAAGGCGGCGAGGAGACAGCAGCAGCAGTACACAGAGAGCGCCAGGTACACGGAGGACTCCAACATCACCTGATGGAGGAGGAAACACAAAAAGTGATGACCACTCTCTCTTTTTTCTGAGTTATTAAAATCACAACCAATGACAGAGGGCTGTTACCTGGGCAACAAAAGGTGTAATGAGAGCTCCTACTCTGGCCATCCCACTGCTGGTTCCCAGTCCCAGAGCTCGGGTGGCTGTTGGGTAAACCTGCAGAGCAAGATTGTGCAATTAATCACAGTTTCATTGTTACCATAATTGCATCGCAAAAGTCTGAATTCATCCCAATAGATAAGATCCAGATCTCGCAGAGATTCGCAGCAGCTCTGTTTGGAATTAGCCGGAGATGTCACCGAGTGAGCAGGATCGCTCGTTAAACATTTTGTGTTTTATTGTTGATATTTAATGTTATACTTTTGTACATAGAGAGCTCAGTTCTCACTCAGAATGTAAACATTTTGACCTGTTGGATGGAGGCCTGAGTTTAACGGTCATGTTTTCATGATTCAGTCAGATGAAGCTAAAGCTAGCTATCAGCTGCACAGATCAATAACTGGGGCCAATGAAGGGGTGAAAAAATGCTTTTTGGATTCAGGAGATACATGACAACAACATGTACAGCAGAAAGACATAAAAACTGTGAGTTATATCTCTTATGCAGCCTTTAACTTGTTTATTTATTGCACTTCATATCCTTACTGACATCTTGAAGAAAGGTTATCACATATTTTTTCTCACATCTGTCATGCCTACTGCAGAGTTCAGAAAATACTTGGAGGCTGCCATGATTTTTTTTACAGGATATGGATTCAAGCTATGCTAACAAATCTGCCTTCTGTTCATGTGGTTGATAAACTGACCTCTGGAGTGTAAACATACGCCGCCTGGAATCCCCCCGCGATGAACGCTCTGGCGATGAATATCAACACTGTCATGGACACTCTGCAACGGAGAAGAAATGTTAGGCTGGATAAAAAAGATGGTCCACAGTTTATTGTTAAACCTTCTCCTCGGTTTTCTCCTTACCTCCCCACACAGCCGTAGAGAGGAATGATGCACATGGAGAAGATGAAGAAACACAACGCCATCGTCTTCCTCCTGCCCAGACGATCGATGGCCCACAGTGTCACCAGCAGTCCTGAGAAAATGGAAAAAGTTACTCATGTTAAAAAATGAAATTTAATAGGTGGGTTTTTTATCTTACATTGAAGATATAAGGCTGTGGAAGCCTGAAGAGGATGTTTTATTTAGACTGTTTTCCCATCATGACGAGTCATTTCCATTAGTTTTCTTGAATGTTTTTGAAGGTGTATTTTTGAGCTTTTTATGACTTTATTTTGAGATACAGCAGGCTTGCTATAGAATAAAAAATGTAATTTTGGATGTAGACACTGAAAAGTGTGTTCAGACACAGAGAACGATCTGAGGTGTACCTGGGAATTCAGATAATGTGGTCCACAGTAAGTCTTTGTAGTCGTCAGAGTTCAGATATTTACACTCCAGGCTGCATGGAAGCTCCTCCTTACTACTTTTGGACACTAGAGGGAGACAAAAACACCACAGAGAGAGAGAGAGAGAGAGAGAGAGAGAGAGAGAGAGAGAGAGAGAGAGAGAGAGAGAGAGAGAGAGAGAGAGAGAAGGTTAACACCCTGCTGCAGGCAGAGTAAGTGTACTGACCCTTTCTGGAGGCAGACACAGAAGAAAAAACACAGATGAAACCAGGAACATTGAGGAGCACTCTGGTCCTTCACATGTCCCATTAGACATTAATGGTATCAGTTGAATCTGTGTCCTTCCTGCACGGGCGTGTTGAATAAAAACATTTACACTTCACTGACTCTGAAAACAACAAGATCATTATCTTTGTTATCACAGACTCGAGAGTCCATTAAAAACAGATTTAAAAAAACAAAGAAAAATAACACCAATATTGAGATGCTGACGATGTTTTTCATTCTAGAAATTTAGACTCGGGCTGTGCAATACATTGCAGTTTCACTTTATCAGTTTATAATACAACATGCTATAATTCATGATGATACGATACCACATGACACTTCAGGATATATATCAATATGATCAGGTACGATTCGACACCACCAGATATGACCTGACACAAAAAGATAAGTTTGTACACAGGGACAATAATCTGAATAGAGATTAGAACTAAAAATACTTGGAAGGACTCTAAACATATGTCCCGGGTTAACAAAAAAAAAGGAATACCAATTACTGGACAATTGAAGATTGCTAGGAAAAAGGCAATAAAAGAATATTCGAGATTATTAAAAGAGTGTACTTGTTCCAGTAAACCAAACCGACTCCGTGAATAAAATCTAAAATATGAGGAGGAAATATCCAACAGTCTGGGACATGAAGGAGGTAGAAAAAATGCCAAGGAATGTCTAAATGGTTTCTGTGATTGTGAATTGTTTGTTTTCGTGATTTTTTAATTTCCTATTTTAATATTTCTTTGCACTTTGCCTTGTTGTTGAAATGTGCGACATAAATAAACTTGCCTTGCCTTTCCTACACGCTACGATTCATTACAATACGACACAACACACGATATGAATCATTAGAAGATACTTTATTGTACCATAGAACTTTGGACTACATGTGCTGCATTGCTTGAGTTGCCTCTGAATTATTATTAATTGAGAAACAATAAAAGCAAACAACACTCCACATGTTGTTTATTTATCACTCATCTTGTCGTTTTCTCACATTGTGCTGCGCAGGCATAATCCAGATCAATGATACTCGTACTTTGTGTCTCAGGAGTTTGACACAAAGCCCTGAGCATTGTCTGTTTCATCAGCGCGCTACACTAAGTGTGAGTGTTTGTCCTCGAATGTGCGAGGGCGTCTGTTGGTGTCGGCGCAGTGACTCACCTCCACACGTACCTCCCTCCTGAAACAGCTCTGTGGTGAGCAGCACCAGCCCGTAGTAAGAGAAGGCGTTCGCAAACCTAAAGAGAGAAAAAAAACACGGAATGAATCAAACGTGATGTAAAGGAACAAAGTCAGATCAGTGAGTAAGGATTAAGACAGGATATCGTCATCATTCACTGCACTCACCAAATGAACCAAAGCAGCACGGTGGTCATACAAAGGTGTGATGAAAACAAGTCTTTGATCTTACCACGCTCCTCCTAGTTTAAAGAACAGACATGGGAAAAACAAACCTGAATACACGAGCTGCAACATAAGAGGGAACTGATGTTTACACACCACTGAGATTTAGGATTCTGCAGACTCAGTGTTTACCTGCTTAGCAGCGATGAGTTTTCCAAGCGGCATCGGTGCTCCGTTCTCTGAAGCGATGCGTTTCAGTGTGGCCAGAGCTTTTTCCTGATTCCCCGTCAGCACGTCGTACCGAGCGCTCTCTGGTAACCACTGAAACCCCCCCCCCCAAAAAAACACAGCCCAAAATACAGACATGTGAAACAGTGACTGGTTACTCTTTCATGTTGTGGAAAAGTTCAAGATTACAAAAAAAACATGTGTCAGAGGTCATTCTGTCCCACATTATATGAGGATAAGTACCTCAGTGATGCATTTCACGCAGTCATATAATCACCACCTGATGAATGGTCAAACATGTAATCACTGATTTAACTCATTTATTTTCAAGGTGACATATTCTCCTCCTCTTCAACCAGTGTAAATAAGTCTCAGAGCTCCTCAAAACATGTCTGTGAAGTGTCTTGTTCTAAATCCACTCTGATCCTGTATTTGATCATGCCTATAAACCCCTCTGTTTCAGCCCTGCTCAGAACAGGCTGTTTCTGTGTCTGTACCTTTAAATATGTAAATGAGCTGTGTCTGACCACGCCCCCTCTCTGGAAGGATTTGGGGCGGCTCAGGCTTTCTCGCTCCATGTCCTATTGTTTACAGTGAGAAGGCAGACTCAGAGGACAGAACAAACACCTAGCTGTGGGAGTGTCACCCACCTGGGGGAGGGGTTACTGCCCTTTGTGATGTCATGAAGGGAAAACGGCCTGTTTGAGCACACATTTTCTGAAACATGGTGAAGTGTGTTTTTTATATGTGATCCTTCATTTCAGTTTTCTTCCTGTACTGTATGTTAACTCCTCTGTATGTATCTACTTTTTGGACTTATTTGAACCATGTATGATTGATATGTAAAGTAGCTAATGTACACTTTGTTGACATGCTCATATTATAAAACTGATAATCTGATACTCACGAAGGAGAAGAATGCAAAGATGAAGAGAGGGATGGTGGAGAGGCCGAGCAGCCAGCGCCAGCCCAGAGTGGGCATCACCAGAATCGCTAAGAGGACCTCAAACACGGTGCCCAGAGCCCAAAATATCTGCAGGATAAAAACCTCTATTACATAAAGCCCTGCTGGCACAACAGAACAATGCGCTGCTGTGCAGTAATGGCTGCATGTCTCATATTTCAGGGTCCACTAACACTGTTTCTAGCTGGGCAATTAGTGAGTCTGATAGCAGTACAGGTTTTGTCAATACCTCCATTAGCAGGATGCACGTGGCTCTGGACTTCATGGGCAGAAACTCAGCATACAGTGTCACCCTGATAAGAAGGAAAATGTCACATTTAGTACTAACTGAAAGTCATGAACCATAGTGCTTTTATTTGAGGGATTAAAGAGGGTAACTCACGACTGAGGTGCTCCACCGATCCCAAAGCCCACCAGCGCGCGGAGGACGAGGATCCAGCCGTAAATCGGTGCAAAAGCACTCATCAGGCCGTAGAACATCGTCCACAGCACGCTCATCTTCAGACCCTGTGTGTAACATTAAGACATGACAAGCTGATGAATACATGGTGGTGATCTGGTGAGGCTTTTCAGGAGAGCATACAGCTTTAAGGTCCTCAAAAATATCAGTAATTTGATACTTTTAAGAGTCAGGGACAGAGAGAGAGAGGGGAAAGACAACCAGAAAAGGAGCCGCAGGTCAGACCCGAACCAGGGTCGCCTGCTTGGAGGACCACAGCCTCCGTACATAGTGTGCGCCAACCACCATCTCAGTTATTTTAAAGTTAAATGTTATCAAGTGAACCAAATCTTTCAAAAAACTACAGATCTTGATTCATATTTGAACCTAAGCAGCCACAAGAAAAAGGGAGAGCAGCAAAGGTTCGTTCAAATTTAAAGGTCAGAAAACACTGATGTGTCTCATGTCCTTTGACGGCTCATTACGACGTAAACATTACATTTATGTTTCTGACAAACAGACGAGAGAGAAGAGGAAGTTATACTATCTAAACTGTACAAATAGTTCAGCTTCAGTGACGAAATGTTGCCAATGTGTTTGTGCAATTTAGACAGAGTGCAGAAGTTTGCTATAATTTTTTGGTGATTAAGAACAAGAAATTATCCAACATTAGGGGCCTAGGATTATTTATTTTATGGAATTGAAACAGGTATCCATATTATTTGATTTGTACTAGTACTGTATCCATAGACTGTAAATATTAGTGGATGAAGCCCGAGTGACGTCACTCGTCGGTTCCTGCAGGGGGCGCTGGAGTCATGTCGATGGCGGTCTCCATGCTGGAAATGCCTATATATGGATAACGCGTCTCGTTCATGAAATCAAAACTGATGACTTATCAAAAGAATTCACCCTCCATAGAGTGTGTGCTGATCGAGACACTAATCAGACCTATTTTATTTTTTTGTACCAGGATCTAAACATGTTGATTTCTGCTGTTTGCTCCTGGAGCCAGCCTCAAGTGGACACTCGACAAGCGTACTGAAGGATTTTTGCACTTCAGAATTCGCTTCATTTCTCAACAGCGGAGGTTGCCACTTGATCGTATAAAAGTATAAAATTCTAATACCATGACAACCCAACAACACAGCAATCAATGTCTTTAATTCATTAACCAAAAGTTTAAATTCTAATGCCTAGAAACTCAAACTTCTGTTTTTACTTTCATAACGTTATTCTATCATGTAGTATTTTTATGTCTTTACTCACTCAGTACTTTTGATTGCACTTTGGATGTTGAATGTGTGTGTGTGTGTGTGTGTGTGTGTGTGTGTGTGTGTGTGTGTGTGTGTGTGTGTGTGTGTGTGTGTGTGTGTGTGTGTGTGTGTGTGTGTGTGTGTGCGCGTGCGTGCTTGTGTGTGTTTATGGTTTGTTCTTGTGCTGTGCTGTGATTTGTGTTAACCTTAATACCCACTGATGCTTTTACACAGTTGAAGTTCCTTATGGATAAATAAAGTTGACAGCAAATGACAAGATTCACCGCACACAAGAAGGCGGAATCACTTCTTCTTTTTACTGAATTACAAACTCGAACAACGGCTGTGAATCTTCCCATTTGCTGTCAAGATGACGTTTCACCTGCACTAAGATTTAAGGACTGACATCACTGTGCACGGGGTATCCAGCATAAATCATCTTCATGTCAAAGAGGCTTTTTAACAACTTGCCGTCTTTCTGCCGTATCTGTCCGATATGTTTCCCCAAAGAGACGAGCTGATCATCATCCCGATAAACACGGCCTGCAGAGACAGAAACAAGACAACTTATACAGACTTATAATATACATACCTATAATGCTCATCGACAGCTCTGTAGTTTCTCATCAAAGTCAGAACAGTGCAAAATAATTTTGATGGTATTTTAAACCAAAATGCTTCCAAACATCTCTTAACAGTAACCCATCACTGTTTCCAACAAGCCCATATTTACAAACCGGTCGCCAACTTTCAGTCATGTTGCACAAAGAGCGCTTAACTAACGTTTTGATAGGGTTTACCGATGTTAGCAGCGCCACCTCCAGGCTGAGCAGCCTCCATTCACAGTGCAGCTGAGGGGCTAAGATGCTGAGGATCATCATCTCCATAGCATCAGCCATCTGAGTAAACAGAGAGAAACACAAGTGGTAAATGACTCACACATGCATACACACTGTCAGTATGGATGAGACTCTCTCTGAGTATGAAGTACTTTAAGTGAGGAGCAGTTCTTACCCAGGACAGACCAGTGAGGATGGAGAGTTTCCACTGAAACGTCCCGAAGCCGATGGCCTCCACGGCATCTTCTACCATGAACGTGTCTGATGGAGAGTGAAAGTGTGTTAATAAGCGTGTGCTAAATATCTACAATGATGATTTTGAGATTTCAAACAAAGTAAATGCTCTGCTCAGTGATCGGTTTTGGAGTCTCAACAACGTATACCTCATTTAAGAAGATTAAAAACAACGGTGTCTTTACCCAGTAGTTGAAAATAATAACTTTTTACTTTGCTCTTTAAAAAATTTGCTTTTTCGCACAGAATACTGACATGTTTTTAAAAAAATGTAATGTTTTTTAATACTTTAAAGGAGCAATATGTAACTCTGAACCCTAGTGTTTAAAATAAGTACTGCAGTCCTAATTCGAGATCTAATTAGAGAGCTGTCTCCCCCTCCTCTCTAGAGTCGATGCTCACACAGGTCACCATGTGGTGGACACTGTAGCTTCAGTGTTTATCCAGCTCTGCATCGGTCTGTAAACCTTTCTGTGTTCTAACCTCTCTCCATTTTTCAAAAGCATCTCCAATATTGATCCTAGTTTGAGCACGTTTCTGCTCGTGGAGCTTATTAGAAACATGCAGAGGCTTTTTAGGTCGGGTACAATCACTTCTATCTGAACCACTTCTCTTGCCCGCTTCCATCGCTGCAACACCTGTTGACCTGATAACTGCTCTCATATCTGGCAAACCGAGGGGCGTCCAAAACGGCTGTATGGGGGGGTCCTTAAAAGCGCCTTCCTTCTCTGGTCCAAACAAATCCAGAGCATTCAGGAGCAGAATCTAAAGTTAGAAGGAGGACATACTGACTGCTGCATTGTTGTCAGAGAAGCCAGCACTTCAACATAGCATGTTTCCTTAATGTCTGATCAGATAGTAAGATAACTTTATCAGTTCACTCGATATCTTACATGTTGCTCCTTTAAACTTGTTGGTGACTACTGATGATGTATCAGGGTTTTGATACGTCATCCCATTTCACAGGGGGAGATTTCACTACAACCCGTTGTAACTCTGTTCTGAGGGTCAAAGCGAGGGGAACAGGTAAAGATTATAAATGAGACTGAGCTTTAGAGTGACACCTGACTTCCTCGACAGATGTAAACAAACGTGGAGAAGAATGGAAACAGTTTTTGATGTAAGTGTAGGGACTTAGAGTTAAAAAAAGGACTTTACCATCCGTGGGATTGGCAAACTCCCGGGGTACCGGAGCTCCGTCTGTGAGCGCCACAGACTCCAGATCATTCTGCTCTGGGACCTTGATAACCTGATCTCTGTTCTCGCCATCATCCTCGGAGCGTGTGCTCTCACCTGTGCGACGGAAGCGAACAACCCTACAAAAAATAAAAAATAAAGCGAGAGAGTTATTATTCTAAAAGCCCGGGAGAGAATAAAACCTCTGCTGGTCAGGGGAGATTCAGAGTTCATTACCAGGAGAGCAAAGCAGAGTACCAATGGGAGTCAGGAGCCGTTGCCTAGGTGATAGGAGCTTTTCCTGGCTGTGATTTTGTGAACTGGTGGTAATAGCGTCCTGTAAGCGAATCATGTCAGGCTGACTGACACCTCGGCACGCTGTGCTTCACCATTTGGCGAGCTTATAAAATCGCAACACCCGGAGAAAGGCGTGTTTTCCACAGAGGGAAGCTGTAATCTTTGAGCCACATGTAAGTAGACGGTTAATGAAGGAGGAGACACTTTAAGAGAACTTGGAGAGAGCCAGTGAGGTCTTAATCACTGTAATTACATAACACAGCCTGCTTTCAACAGGCAGTATCAGCGCTGCAGACGAATTTGTAAGATGTTCAAACACTATTATCATCCTTTAAAGCTTTGTAATCACGACTGAATCTTCCCGGAAAGAGAATGTACCAAATGCAGGAAGTGACTCAGAAGTGACTGAGTGAGCGGTCAATTAGTTTGTTTGGGCGGAAAGCCCGGATTTCGTTGAACCCAGAAAATTAAGTTTTGCTTTTCTTGTGGACGGTCTCTGGAGTATTTGAAGGAAACGCACCGGACAGAAGAATCTGCTGTCTGGTCAGAGGGATCACAAATTAAATCACAAATTTACATTCTGGAAAACATTTTACAAGATGTGAAAGCGCTGAGACAAATTTACAAACGACAGACACTTGAATGTACCAAATGCAGGAAGTGACCCGGAAGTGACTGAGTGAGCGGTCAATTAGTCTGGGCGGAAATACTGTGAGAAAAGTGATTTACAGAGGACCAGGCGGAAGGTCTCGGAGATGCCCTCGGTCCTCCTGTACGGTCCGTGTCCTTCAAATATTCCAGAGACCGTCCACACATAAAGCAGAACTTCATTATCTGGCTCAAGTGGGTTCCACAAAACGGACACAACATCATCCACTCTTTCCAACAAAAAGAAACTAATCGACTGCTCACTCGATCCCTTGCAGGTCACTGCTAGGGGGGCTGATCCCAGCTGTCATTGGGTGAGAGGCGGGGTTACACCCTGGACTGGTCGCCAGCCAATCACAGCGCTGACATATAGAGACAGACGACCAGCCACACTCACATTCAGAGAGTCACCAGTTAACCTAATGAGCATGTCTTTGGACTGTGGGAGGAAACTCCCACAGACAGAGGCTCCTGTCAGACGGGGATTCAAACCAGGAACCTCCTCGCTGTGAGGTGACAGAGCTAACATCTGTGCAGGTTACATTTCTACCTCCATCCACCAGAAAGTTTAGAACTGAAGAAGCCTTTCCAGTTGTCTTTGGATCAAGCTTTGAAACAACAGCAGTAACCGCTGCGCCACCGAACGGCCCGGCAAGAGTCTGTTGTTTCTTCATTTGCTTCGGGACGAGTGAAACATTCTGCCTCTTGTAAATTTGTCTCAGCGCTCGTAGAAGTGTTTCACATCTTGTAAATTTGTTTGTTTTGTCCTTGGGAAAAGTGTTTGCTTTTTTTAATTCAGTTTTATAAAATGTAAAAATGTTTTTCCAAAATGTAAATTTGTCTCACACTTTGTAGAAGTTGTTTCGCACTTTGTACGTTTGTTTTGCACTTCATAGCCACCGCAAGTAAGTATAAAATAAACTACACACCCAAAAGCATTCAGGCATGTTGTGCAGTGAGTGGCCAGTTAAAGTGACTGGTTCTGAGATAAAGTGGAATGGTACAGTGTGATTAGTATATCATCATCATTTCATTAACAGAGATTGTATTGTTAAAAAAACAATAACCTTAATGGGGCGTGGGTAGTCTAGCGGTTAGTGTAGGCGCCTCATGTACAGAGGCTTGAGAGCAGGCGACCCAGGTTCAAATCTCACCTGTGGCTCTTTCCCCTACATGTCATTCCCCTCTCTCTCTCTCTCTCTCCGGTTTCTGACTCTGTCCTATCTCTAAAGGAAAGGCTTTAAGAAGATGGTCAGGATGGACTTGCATTGACCAGCTTTTAGCTTCATGAATGTACAGCAGCAGGACGGAAATAAATCACAGCAGGTACTGAGTCATGACCGCAAACACAATTACAAGTTAAGATGAGGTGCTGATGATCAAAATAAAAACTTAATCTATAAAAACAAGATGTTTACAAAGTGCTTTGACAGACAAAGCAAAGAGCAGGAATATAAGATAATAAGCATCAACAGTCAGGACAAACATTAAGTCTGTAACAGTCAAACCCACAGGGCAAGAACAAGCAGAAGCTCAACAAGAAAACATGCAAATGAAGGTTTAAAGCAGAAACAATAGGTCTGAACATGCTGTCAAAGTCAAAGCAATGCGAATGAATTAAAGCAAAAACCTCTAAGGTTAAACCTACGACTGTAAACAAACTGCACCCCCAGCCCTGTATCAACATGCTCATCTGTTTTCACGTGTCTCTTCATGTAGGGGTATTTCTAGGTGACATGGAGGGATAACATGTGGTTGTTGGTGATTGCTGCCTTTAAGGAATGTCATGCTATTTGTGTTGAAGCGAGCTAATCAAGCACACACGATACGAAAGCCGTCAGAGGGCGACGCGTCAGGAAAACACGGCGTCACGGTCTGAGGATCGTGGGCTGAATTCAAAGTGCTGAGGGGGGGAAATGTACTCACGGCAGCTGTCTCAGTTGGAACAGATCATCGTCCATTTTGGTGTTTGTATGACGGGCGCTCCGTTTGGCCTCATCGCCGTTCACATTATCACGACGAGCAGCGATTTCAGCACCGAGGAGAGCGACCTGCTCCGGGAGTCCGCCGGCAGCCAATGAGAGGCCGCCCTGCGCGACTCACAGCACGAGACACACCGAGAGGGAGAGAGAGAGTGGGGGGGAGGAGGAGGGGGAGGAGGAGGGGGAGGAGCTGACACTACATGACTGCTGATCAGGGGCGTCAACAGGGTTTCTGCACCCCATGAAAACATATCACCTTGGGCCTCTCTCCACCACGACCTCAGCCTGCCCTGTAATATTGTTGAACGCGCACCTCCATTAAACTAATGACACATTAAAAGCTTTGGATTAAGGCCGTCAAAAATCCCCTTCATCAATGTTGGAGCCAAATTGTGTGGTTTGAATATTAAGAGCTTAATTCTGACAGAACACAGGGTGGGGCCTTGACTTTCTACAATTCACTTAGCAGATGTTTTTATCCAAAGCGACGTACATCAGAGAGTAAGAACAACACAAGCAAGGATCTAGAAAAAAGGGAACAATGTCAGTAAGAGCAAACGATCAGCTTTGAGTCTGATTGGACACACAGGTGCTGACAGGAAGTGACCAGAGGCAAAGCACAACATTGACGGCAGTTCTTGAGAGCTCTAATCAGTATAGAAACCATCTTATAAGTCGTCGTTATCAAACAAAAACCATCGTCATTACCATCATCATCATCAATAATATGGAGACCATCATCATTAAGTTAGTAGGTATTCATGAAAGAGCTGGGTCTTTAGCTTTTTCTTAAAGGTGCAGAGGGAGTTTGTAAGTTCATTCCACCACCGGGGGGCGACAGAGGAGAAGAGTCTAGTCAGCGTCTTAGGACCCTGTTGTGAAGGTTGGGTCAGACGCCTTTCATTGGCAGAGCGTAGGCGGGGGAGGGAGTGTAGACCTGGATCAGAGAGTTAAAGTAAGGAGGAGACGTTTATGTCGCTGTTTTGTAAGCGAGCAGAGTTTTAAATTTGATTGTGGTGGGCATGAAGCCAGGCTCAGGGTAATTTTCATTCAGGTGTGTTTGGAGCAAGGACTGTAAATATTAATGGACGACGTCACCCATTGGTTTCTTAAAGGCTGTTTTGGAAGTCTATCCATGGTGGTGGCCATGTTGGAAATTCTGACTCTATCAACCTTAAGGTCAACCTTACGACGGGCAAAGAGCTGGAGCTGAGGCGGGACTTAAGCCTCCTGCAACGCGGCTGCTTGCAGTCGAGTCAGTCAGGCACAAGAGGCAACCTCCAGTGATGGAAAAAAAAATCCTTTATTAAAATGAAAATGGGTAAGTTATAAAAATATAATTTTAACGAGGCTGTAAACATGTTTATTTCAGCTGACAAAACAGACATTTTATTATGGAGTGTGTATGTGACTTCTGCTTCTTTTGGATTCAGCCTCTAGTGGACACTCGATGAACTGCAGTTTTTTTGCACTCAGGTATTTGCTTCATTTTTCAACACCGGAGTTTACCGTCTGGTACGGAGGCAAAACAGTTTTTGACATTGTCGACGGATCAAAGAGGTTCTCGTTGTAAGCGTTTATATTTTGTTGTTTATTGGACTAAATTAAACTTTTATCAGCTTTACTGGCCAGGTTTGATCACACATACAAGGAATTTGACTTAAACTGTGCTTTCCATGCACAAAGTACAACATTAAATAAAACAAACAAATAAACAAAGACTGATATATGCAAGTGGTGATGCAGATAACCATAACAACTGTTCATTTTGTGATGAAAGCATATCATTTGGTAAACTTATAGTAAAAGGCATAGAATATATTTCTGAACTGCTGTCCCCTTACCAGCCAGTGTGTAACCTGAGATCCTCAGGCAGGAACCTCCTTACTGTTCACACCTCAAACTTGAAAACTAAAGGAGATCGAGCATCTGTAGCTCGGGCTCCTCGGCTGTGGAACGACCTGCCTGAGGATCTCAGACGAGCTACATCAGTATCTTCTTTAAAATCACTTTTAAAAACACATTTTTATCGTAAAGGCCTTCTTCCATCCAGGATGTTTTATTTGTTTTACTGTTAACTTTAGCTAATCGTTGTCTCGGTTGTTTCCCATTTTCTCTGTTAATTGGATGATTGCTGCACTTGTTGTTTTATTTTTCATGCTTTTAATTTTATTGGATTTTATTGTTGTGTATTTGACTGTTGGGATTTTTTCTTTTTTCTGTAAAGCACTTTGTGACGTTGGTTTTGATAAGTGCTTTATAAATAAACATTATTATTATTATTATTATTATTATTATTATTATTATTATTAATTAATTAATTAATTAATTAATTAATTAATTAAAAAGTTTGAGAGTTTCAATTTCATTAATCACAGAACATAAAATTATTATTTTGAAAATTAAATCTTTCTTTTAGAAATTCATTACGTGTGTAAATGTGATTTATTACTTTTAAAATGTGTTTCTTTGGCTCTGGGTGAAATGAGGTGTTGTTGTGTAACGTTAAACAGTAAACAGTGGAGTGGTCGGAGTGAACACCTCGGTGCTCCCCCCCCCCCTGATCCTCCGTGTGGAAACAAACCCCCAAAGACGGCTGGTTCCGCAATGAAAGGAGGATGTTGTGGTGCCGACCAGAAAGCTCCGATAAGCTTATTGGGGAGTACCTTGGCACTGGACCCGTAGTCAGGTAAAACCTCTCATCCTGGCAAACAGCAATTAAAGCTGATTTAGGAGCAGTGGGACAGACGGGGAAGCGGGTCATGACGCCGCCGTATGTTTGACCCAAAGTGTCGCATGCGCAGAACCGACACCGACACCGACGGCTGAACGGCGTTAACGGAGACACGTAGCGATGAACATGTTACCTTTAATATCAGGATAACAGCTCAGGTGTGTGGTTTATTGAGGCGAATGGGGCAGCCTGACCCTGCTGCTGTGGGTAAGTTAGCCTAAACTTAGCCTTGAGCTAGCTCTACTTCAGTGACGTCAGAGCTCTTGTTTACACATTATTGTTGTTTCCGTGAATATCACAAACAACGACAACACCGTGTTACTCAGCTGCTGCCGACGCAATGAAAGCAACACTGTGACTAAAGTGTGCTTACTTTAGCATTAGCAGCCGAGGCTAACTTGCAGGAGGCTTTGCAGTGAGCAGCAGGTGAGGTCAGGTGAGGTCAGGTGAGGTCTGTTTCTCACAGGTAAACGGCTCACTGCTGAATTAATTACATTATTAGTGCCTTTAATTTGCATTATCGGACGCCTTGTTTGTCCGTGGCCTCCTGAAGAGATTGGAGCATGCAGCCGTGAGAACAACACACTGTAATGATCTTTATTATCTCTCTGCAGCTGCTGTCAGACTCACAGCTCGGGACAGGACAGGACAGGACAGGACAGGACAGGAAGGGGGGACAGAATACATACAGGTGCAGGTTTGAAAAAAGGGTCTGCACACACACTCATTTAATCTAAAAGATCATCCTCAGGTAAAAGTTGTTTTTGCCTGAGAAACATCAGTCTGTCTGATGTGATCTTTGTTTTTTTTTTAATTTGCTGCAGACCAGGATCCTGCTGTAAACCAGCTTTATCTGAGTCTGGGAACTTAACTGTTATGTCAGATTAAGTATAGCCGTTCCAGGACCTGCTGAAGTTAGGATGCCAGTTAAAGAAGAAGAAGAAGGAGAAGTAAGGAGGGAGCTGGCTCGGGCATTTGACCCCCAACAAGAACTTATAAACAAACCTATTTCAGTCGCCTCCAAAAGGCTGATGGGAGCCAGACAGAGGGAGCTGAAGTTAGCCAGGAGGATAGAGCTAACAGTACTGATCGACTGTTCATACGTTGATTTAAATCATATCCTGGAAGGGCCCGATCTCAGGGCCTTTCAGGGGCCCAGCTGTTACTGCTGCAGTTACCACCAAGCGGTCCGGTTCAGTTTTTATTGGCGTTTCCACCGTCATAAGTTGGGAATGGAACCAAATTAAGGGATCCGTACCGTCCTACTTTTTTGGTACCCTTCTGTTTGGGTGCCAAGGGTCCCCGATCAGACCCTAAAGGGTGCGTTTTGTTTACTGTGTCCCTGTTCTTCTTCTTTGTGCTGCTGTGATGTCACACTATTACAAAGCTGACTTACACTCCACTTTCCAAATAAGGGATTGGTTGGCTGTGGAAACGCAAGCCAGTTCAGGTTTTTAGTTAGTGGTACCAAAATGAAGCACCGAAATGTGCGTTGTGATTTGGCTCGGTAGGTACCGGATGTGTTGGTAGATTTCGGTACCCGATCCTAGTTGTGGCCCATGTTTACTTCAGAAAGACTCCAGTTCTCTGCGATGATCTTTTCATACGAGATACCAACACACAAACACACTTTCGGAATATGAACTGAGGAAAACGGTGGGAATAGAAAATAGAAACCAATCAACAGAAAACTAAGACATCCTCTTTACACATAAAACATGCTGCTGGAAAACAAAGAAACAAACTACACACAAGAGAGGGGTTAGGAGATACATGAAGGCTTGTGAAACAGGCCAAAGATTCTGCAGATCTGATGGTTCTGGGGAGTTGATTCCAGAGAGGGGGAACTAGGGATTCAAAGGTGTAAAAGTACTCTGAAAAATGAATGGTAGTAATATGGCGAGCGTCAGCAGCTGTAGGACAAGATTCTGAAATTGAGGACGCACCGTCGTCTTTTAAATCGGAGGTGTGGAAGCATTTTGGTTTCCCCCAAGACAGAAAATAAAAGAGGTGAGAAGATAACAGACTGTGTGCAAATCTTGCAAGAAGACAAAGAACTACACAAATAACACAACCAACATGATGCAGCTTTTAATCCACACCTCAACGAGAAGCTCCTATCACTGTCCCTTGTTGAGAGAAAATCATATCGTTAACCCTGTGTCGTTTATCTTATCGTGAGTTGAGTGAATCATCCCTAGTGGGAACCAAAACAGTGAAAGCACGATCCCCGTTTGTTTTGCAGCGAGAGCGCGTGATTAAAAAGAAGGCAGAGATTAGATGATCTGAGTGGACGAGGAGGAAATATGGAACAAGGAGGTGAAAAATATAGCTCGGGGCGAGGTCATGCATGTGAGGGTTTTCTTGTGGAAACGACAGAATCCTCTTGTCAGTGATCGTGTTTGTAATCAGATTTTAGACACAGTGCGTAAACACATCAGTGTGCTCTGTGTATTTACACTGCCCTGCTGTTTAAACACGTGATTTCTTTTTTGTCTTCCCTCGACACAAACTCCACTCTGATGTGCATCTTTAACAAAATGTCTTCACAGAAACAAGATGATCAAAAACTGGGGCGTCATCGGTGGGATAGCTGCTGCCATCGCCGCCGGAGTTTACGTCCTGTGGGGTCCGATAAGTGACAGAAAGAAGAGAAAAAGAGGCGAGTATCACCCTGACCCACACAGATTACATGCATGACGCTGGATGTTCAGCAGTAATTTACAGTGAAGTGTGTTATTTTTCCAGGTATGGTTCCTGGTCTGTTGAACCTGGGCAACACCTGCTTCCTGAACTCTTTGCTTCAGGGCTTGGCGGCGTGTCCGTCCTTCGTCAGGTGGCTGGAGAAGTTTTCTGGCTCGCCTGTGATCCAGTCGTGCAAAGACAACCAGCTGTCCTTAACTCTGCTCCAGCTCCTCAAAGGTAGTAGAAACCAGTCAGTGAAGTTTATTAGACAGGCAGTGTTAATCCGTATTGACTGGTGTTTCTGCGCCGGCAGCTCTGTCCAGCGAGGAGCCGGGGGACGAGGATGTGCTCGACGCCGGGGGCCTCCTGGATGTTCTCAGACTGTACCGATGGCACATCAGTTCGTTTGAAGAGCAGGTTAGTCGGGGATGTCGAGTGATGTTTGGTTTAGTGTTAAAGATTCTGCATGTTTTAGGTGTTTAACAATAATAATATGTATTTATATAGCACTTTAAATCAAAGCGCTGTACATACATAACTAATTTAAAAACATTTTAAAAACACACTAAGACTCAGAACATCAGGGAAACATTCAGACAACTCACGACTCATACACAACAGTCAACAAGTTTGTGTTTAGCTCCACTTTAAACACCTCATCAGAACATGCCCCCCCCCCTCATGTCCAGAGGTTAACTGCTCCATAAAGCCTCCACCTGTCGTCTTTTTGACCTTTGGGGCCCTGAGGGCGCACTCGCACTCGGCAATCCGTACCCAGCTTGAGCACGCTTTACCCCCAGAGTCCAGTTGGTTTGACTCGTGTGAGTGCTCTGATCAGTGCACAAGCACGGGTACACTTGTGCTTCAGGACGATACAGTTCCTCATGCACAACGTGGACATGAAGTATAATCGATCCCCGCCTCCATTGTCGATAAATCCAGGAGTGTTGTACCTGTATTTGTCTAATGTGACTCAAAATAAGTAAAGTAGCTGTCATGTCCTCTGTGTTGTTCTCCGATGTACAGAAGCGGACTCGACCCCACGTCCCATTTCTTCTTCCTTTTTTTTTTTCTGTCCATCTTGTAAACTCAGCACGCTTCATAATAACATAAAGCCATTCATGTGTTGTATTCTGAAGTTCTATTTAAAAGGGAACCATGTTCAGACCTGGTTAGTCCTGGAGCAGCGTGAGTGCAGGCCAGCGGGGGGAATGAGGAAGTGGGGGTATCGTGCTTAAGCACACTATGGAAAATCCACTGGGAACGCAGAGCCCATGCAGGCACATGTGGGGGTCACCAGGTCAGTCGGGTACGCTGGTGCAATGCCATTTACAAATTCATAAGTCGGCAGCACCTTGAAGTCGGCTCTCACCTGGACGGGAAGCCGATGAAGAGAGGTCAACACTGGGGTGATATATTTACACGCTGAGGTTAGAACACGAGCTGCTGCGTTCTGAACACAATCTGCATTACATTACATTACAGTTATCTAAGCTAGATGACACAGAGGCATGAACAATGACTTCTGCATCCTTAAACAACAGGATTGATCTGATCTTAAAGATGTTTCTGAAGTGAAAAAAGACTTCTCTAGTCACCTTCTCTTTATGTAAATCAAACGACAGTGTGTGATCAAAAAGAGTCTTCACTCTGTCTCTGCGATGAAAGACACCAGAGCCATCCAGAGACAAAGTGAAATGATTGAACAGATCTGATAACCGTGTTTACTCCCCTCAGGATGCACATGAACTGTTCCACGTCCTAACATCTTCTCTGGAGGAGGAGCGGGATCGTCAGCCCAAAGTCACTCACTTCTTTGACATGCAGTCCCTCGAGGTAGGTCTGCAAACTGAGCACAAATATCTCTCATGTAAGCTGACGCCCGCTCATGTAAGCGTTTGTGAAAGTGTCAAAAACATCGAATCTGCTGCCGCTGTTCTCGACTCCCTTGTCACTCCGTTTGTGTTTGTGTTTTCTCGCCAGAGTCTCCCCGATCAAGATGAGAAAACGATGACCTGCAGAAGTCGAGGTGAGGACACAGTCACATAATGAAGCTTAAAATATCAAACCACAAAGGACTTCATTTCATCTGAATTCTTTTTTCTTTTTTTTTTTTAAATGTGTCACAGCCCCTCTTCATCCAATTCCAAATCCGTGGAAGTCTCAGCATCCTTTTCACGGTCGATTAACAAGCAACATGTCATGCAAGCGCTGCGAGCAACAAGTGAGTCGTTTGTTGGGTTTCCAGGGAAGAGAATCACAAGTCAGTCTGTGTTACTGGAGTTAAATGTCTCTGTAATGTTTGCTTTCTCCAGAGTCCTGTACGATACGACTCGTTTGAGAGCCTCTCCCTTTCCATCCCTTTACCTCAGTGGGTAAGCAACGACATCAGAAACACATGTGTACTAATAGAAGAAGCATTAAAAAAAAAATGTTTGAATGTTAATGTTTGTCGTACTTTGATGTGCGTTCTCTCTCAGGGTCGCCCCATCTCTCTAGATCATTGTCTCCAGCACTTCATCTCGTCAGAAACCATCAAAGAGGTGGAGTGTGAAAACTGCACCAAGGTGTGTTCACCGCTGTGTCTGCGTCAGAAAAAATATCCGGGGTCTCATTTATAACCGCTGTGTGTGCACAAAGCAGGCCGTGACACAAGTTAGCACTCTGAATGTCCCTCAAAGTTCATCTGAGTAGAGCAGCAGTGTTCAGATCAACACCGGACTCGTTCCAGCTCAAGGCCTTCATCAGCGTTCAAAGCGTCCGGGGTTGATCTGAACGCTGCTGCTCTACTCACATAAAAACAGACTTTGAGGGACATTCAGTGTGCTGACTTTTCTCTCTAATAGCCTTTTTATGGTCGTGCACATGAAATATGTTTTACAGTTGAGCGTGCTCCTTTTTTTTTTTTGCTGTTTTGATCCATAAAAACAAACCTGATGGTAAAATGTCTGCACCGATAAGCAAACCCTGACCCAGGCGTACCTACATTTTAGGGGCAGGGGAAATTGGCGACACAGGCACGAGGTGTTGAATTGCAGCCTGCAGAATTTATTATATATTTTTTAATTTATTATCACACATATAAGAATTCATCAAATACATCAAATAGGATAAACAAAAATATAAAAGATGTGTCAGGAGAAGCAAATCGAATTACACAATTTCCAAACAAAATGAAATATACACACATATGCATACACACACACTTACACACATACATACAATAGAAAGACTGAACATTTATTCCGCTATCAGCTAAATGAAACAGGCATTAATCTGTTGAAAAGGTAGAGTGAATGAGTGAGTTGATGGAAAAAAAACTGAATCTATATATCGATGTCTCTCACATTTAATTTCACTAAATATCAAACTTTACTGACAGGTCCACGTCCTCTTAATCATGAAAACCCGCAGTTTAATTTATACGCTGCAGGAAACTAACACCATGTGCTTTCTGACCTTCTCTTCATTCACGATCTCCTCCATGTCTGGGTCAGAAAGTTGAATTTCTTTTGTCTTACTTCCGGTTGTCACCGTGATGCAGGTATGGAAACATTTGCTCTGCCCGCTCGTTTGTATGCAGGAGACTCTTTGCATCGAGCGTTTATGGTTGAATGTGGGCGTGTAGAGGACGGAGCATGGGGCTGATCTACGGGAACATTGCATGCAGGTGTGCTTACAAACTGTTTTATGAATGTGAATTATTTTGGGCGCACATACACTCTTAGTATGGATTCCACACACTGTTTTATAAATGAGACCCCTGGTGGTTATTTTGTGAAGTAGCTGTGGTTTACTACGGTTTGTTCTCCACCAGTAAGACCCTCATGATCTTTTTCAAAGACGGACTCTTTCCAACATGTTTCCTTTAGCTTCAACAAGGGAGCACAGTGAACGGACAAGTCCTGGAAAACCAGAGGACGACGTTTGTAAAACAGCTTAAACTGGGAAAAGTAAGAGTCATGATCATGCATCACATCTCAATCTGCTCGATATTCACGGCCTAAGATGTCCATCTCTAATGTGTGCACAGCTGAAGCTTGTTTATGTGATTACAAAATGTTGAGTCCCAGATGTTCTTCTTATCCCATCCCCTCCCTCTCCTCTGCCAGCTCCCCCAGTGCCTCTGCATCCATTTACAGAGACTGACCTGGTCCAGTGAAGGAACGCCCATCAAACGACAGGAGCATGTGCAGTTCACAGAGTACCTCTCCATGGACCGCTACAAACACAACGTTTCTACACAGAAGATCCAGAGGCTCAAATGTGCACCGATCACCGCCAAGGCAGAAACTTCAGACGAGTCCGACGAAAAGCCCACGGCCAACGGAACAGGTGTGTTTAGCCGTTTTGAACATCTTACATCACACACAGTACAGAGCATTAAGGCAGTGCATGTAAGTCACCTCCTTGAATAAGATTTTAAAAAAATCATACCACAGACACAGTCCATTCTGCTGTGACCTCAATTTAACATGATGATCTCATATCTCTGTCCTCTTTCCTCCCAAATCTATTTTCTCCAACATGTTTTCATACGATGAGATCTTAAGCATTTATTTGGTCTTCATACATCGTTTGGTTTCGTTTTTCTCCAGACGCAGAGCATCGCAACAACAACAACACACCTTTCACTAACGGGACCTGCTCATCTGGATTCCTTCACTCTCCTGTGGTGAGCCCACAGCTCGGTCTCACCTATGACTGCAGGTAAGTTTCATCATGTCTAAGAGCACACGCACAGAAAGAGAACCAGTGTTGAGATCATAATCAAAAACTCTTACATGTAAAATCATCTGCTCTTGTTTTACTTCCTCAAGATGACGAGCTAGAAGAGTAGGGGAAGTTTTTCAAGTTTTATTGTGATGCCAGAGTGAAACATTTCTGATATGAATTTGACTGTTGGAAACAAAGCTCCCTCCCTGTATGAACCAAGTGAGTGCAGCTCCAAGAAAAAAATCAAACCCTCACATTAGGGCTGGGAAATATATTGAGTTTTTAAGATATATCGATGTATTTTCAAACAAGATATAGGGTAAGACAATATCATTATTACTTTTTAAATTTCCATGTGTTTTCACTGTTAATAAAAGGCATATCGATATATATCGAGTATCGCCATTCAGCTAAACAATATCAAGATATGAGTTTTGGTCCGTATCACCCAGCCCTACCTCACATCCTCGTTGTGCGTAACGTCTCCCGACTGGCTCCAGTCTCACGGGCTTCTGGGGCTCAGTTGGTAGAGTCTGTCGTCTCCTAACCGTTAGGTCGGGGGTTTCGATCCCCAGCTCCTGCAGCAACATGTCCAATGTGTTCTTGGGAAAGACACTTAACCCCATTAGTTGCTTCTACCATCAGTGTGTGAATGTGTGTGTGTGTGTGTGTGTGTGTGTGTGTGTGTGTGTGGGTGTAAAAGTGCTTTGAGTCGTCATAACACTAGAAAAGAACTAAACAAGCTCAAGTCCATTTACATGTGGGTGAAGTGTGGAGCGGCTGACAGGGTCTGATTCTTATCTGTGCATGCTTATAAGTTCCTGTGTGTGTAAATAATAATAAGAAGACTTTTTTTCCAGTGATGCTGATTTACATAGAAAGAATGATTCATTTAGATTTACACAAACAGCACCAGCGGGCAGAGACAGTTTGCTCTGCAGGGCAGTTAAGGGAGGAGTTTAACCCTTTGTGCGTGTGTGTTTTCTGAAATAAAGGAAGAATATGCGATTTTTTGATCCAGCAGATGTCGCCCTTGAGCACCGACATGAAACCAAAACAACTCGCGGTGCATTGTTGTGTTAGCATGCTAATGCTAGTGATCTTTATTATGCTCGTATCTTCACACTGCAGGTAAATTTACCTGAAATGAGCGTGATCTAGAAACACAGTTAAGCAGTGAGTACAGTATGTTATTCTTCTTTTCTCTAGTCCCTCAATTAAACAACTTTTATACGTGAGGGGAGGAGTCAGCCGGCCGTCCGGGCGATGTAAACAAAGTGAAGATCGGACTCTGAAAACTCTGAAAACATCACAGACAGTGGGACTCGGGTGTTACACCCATTGTAGACAGTCATGACTCACAGAGTTATTTTCAGAGGATAAACTTGATTTATATTATATTTAAGTGTGAAAAATCACATATAAAGACTTTAAAGGTGGTTTTGACTTGTTTTCAGCGGTGTAGTGGGCTTAAAAGCTGTGCAGTCATTTTGTGAATCTGTTTTCCTGTTGGGTATCTATGTCTTCTAACTGTAGCCTCTCTACTTTCAGTTCTGCAGAGTATCTCTTCCAGCTCACGGCCGTGCTGGTCCACCACGGCGACATGCACTCAGGACATTTCGTAACGTACCGCCGCAGCCCCTCCCGGCCCCGCAGCCCCTCCCCCTTCTGCTCTCATTGGCTGTGGGTGTCAGACGACTCGGTACGAAAAGCGAGCCTGCACGAGGTGCTGTCCTCGAGCGCTTACATGCTCTTCTACGAGAGAGTGCGAAGACTGAACCTCCCTCTCTGCCCAGAGGAGTGACCACGACGAGCTCACGACCTCGCAGCCTTTTCCAGTCACCGTGCAGTTACCGACATGTGGATTATGACTTTCTCACAACCAGACCAGACAGGAAACGCATCGCTGAGTTATTCCATGATAACTTTGCGTCATGGATCACTGCAACATGAAGGTGATTGGACTCGCAGCACCTCGCCTGTCTGCTCTGAACTAAAGGCTCGTATCCCCAAAGATTGTTGATCTGCAGGATTTTTACTCTGATATCTCTTTAACACATGTAACAATTTCTGTCGTGTAACTTTTTGGTTTCTATGGAAGAAAACGAACAGGAACACCTGACGGTTTAGTGCATTCCTAGCACATAGATTACACACGTGTGATCATTATGACGAGACTTTTATTGAGGCTGGAATTTAATCACAGGTATGTCACGTTAATGACATAAAAGGAAAATCTTTTTTATTAGCCCCTCGAATGACCTCCTCTTATCTGCAGAGGGAGCAGATCCTCCATCATGTTTAACTACAGCAAACAAAGAAAAGATGGATTCTAGAGCAGGGCTGTCAAGAAACCTGGATTTCAAGCGTTGTTATGATGAAACTCAAACAATATAGGAACCAGTTTTGATACCATGGAAACCAAATTAGAAGTCGTAGGCACCACGTTTTGGGTGATTTCTTGTTTTTAATCATGAAAAAATTGCAGGCCAACTTTTGCACAATGTCTAAATTGCACAAACACATTGGTACCAATATGTTGCCTTTGTAATCGTGCAATTTGGACTTTGTGACCTCCCCTGCTTTCTGTCCGCCTGTAAGAGACTTCATCGTGTTTTCCGACCTGTGAATTTAAACGTACCAGCGTTGCTCTCTCCTCTCTGGTTGCAACTTTGCGTTCAGTCAAATTCACCATCTGTTGCTGTTTAAAGCTTCTGATGCGTGATACCGTGACCATTACAATAATGTGGACAGAATCATTTTAAAACGCTTTAATCAGAAAGGTATCAACGTATGGACAACCTCATTCTAGAGATTGTGTTTTTAGCACGTTTTGAAGCTAACGCCGATTCCTTCACTCGCTGCGAGGGAGCGCTGTGTGAAGGGAGCTGTAACCAGTTTGTTGGTAATCTGCAAACTAGCTGTTGAATGTCCCTTCTTTTTCCACTCTGACCCCTGAAGGTGTTCCTGTTGTTTTTCCCTCTGCCTGTACATCACAGCTGCAAACAGACGTAGCTGATTAGGAATTCTCTGATATGTCATGTAGAAGTTGTTACATATTTTTTAAAATAGGTACAATTATCTGATCTGATTTGTCTAATCATGCCGTGTAGGAAGTGGGATGTTGTTCATAAACAGACTCGATCATTTCCTGTGTTTCCAGCAGTGACCCCTCCTCTGTGGTGATTTGCAGCGATGCACAGTTGAGGTTAAAAGTGCCATGTTGTCTCTGATCTTGAGATTTGCACTTTATATTACAGTATGCTAATGAGATGGTAACAGTGAGGTAATCATGTGATAATAAAGATAAAGAATACATATGATGCCCTTTATTGTCCCCTTGGGGAAATTTGTCTTGGACTCAGGCCTCATCCACAAGTTTTCTCTGCGTTTTGGTCTTTCATAAGCAACTTTTAGGTCACTGAAAACGCACCTTTTGTAAAACTCCTCCCAGGGTGAAGATGTTCAGAAACTCAGTTTAAGGCGTTCCTGTGTAGACGAGGAAAACACAGTTTTGTTCTTGTAAGGTCACACACATGAAATCAGTGCGATAGCAGACGTAACCAAACATGTTCTCCCGCTATGTTGAGGAGCAGAGGCGCCTGAATGGACGACTTTGTAAATTAAATGTTCATTGCAGAGGAATGGCGAGAACATGTCAGGACATGGTTTTTTGACTCATGACAGCTGTAACAGAGCGTTTTGCGTTTCCCTGTGGACAAAGATGTTTTTGCGAATTTAGCGCGAGTTGACAGGATTATAAATACCCGCTTACACGTGGACTATAGGCCTCAAAGTGCTGCCAAACATTCAGCTGCTTCCAATAGAATCAATCAGTTAAAAACAATAGAAAAACACATCCACATGTGAACAGAAAGGCAACTCAACACATATTAGCACATTACCCATATTACAGAATATCTACAATAAGAAACACAGCATGATGAGAGATGAGATAACAAAAGGTGTTTTTGGACACTTCTAGAGACTTTTTGTGCAGAGAACTATCCACGAGGGAGTTCCCTGAGAACTACACACCATGGGGACTTGTTCTGTCTGCAGTCGCAGCGCCCATGGTACCAACTCTGAAGCAGGAGCTCAAAAGGTTCTAGGAACTTAAAAAGTCGATAGTTCCTGCGGTGCGGAATCAATAAAAAGAGACGGGGAGGGTTACATCCAGTGGTGTAGGGCAGGTATACGCACTTCTAAATTTCCTCTGATTCCCACCAATGATTGACTGACTATATTCAGTAGTATGCAGCATTTTGTTCCTAAGATGGTGCACACTAACTAAATCTGGAAGAATAGTCTTACATGTCAGTGTTTGTTATAGAGGACGTTTATACTCTGCTTGGCGGACTCTTGGGTGTAAATGTGTACCCACTTCTTCAGGCACCACTACACCACTGGTTACAACAGTTTCGGAAGAATATGGAAACATTTAGGAACACCATGACGCTATCTCACCACCATCACAGCCTTAGGAAACATTATTCAGAATTTAGATTGACGTGGGAACAAAATAGTTTTTGAAGCCGTTCAGTTGACATTGAGGGACTTGATAATGTGTATACCTTTGTTTTTTGAATTATTACCCTGACATACACATTATCATGTGGTTACATACAGTAGCTATCACTTTGGTCATAACGTATGTCTCACCTCACTGTTACCCTCTGATACAGCTCTTCATGCTGTAACATGAAGAGCTCCTGAGATATTGAACACACAAAGCGACGTGTATTACCGTGAATGTCAAAGTATAATGATGATGATGATGATGATGCAGTCGAACCAGTCAGTCAGCGTTGTGTTGAATTCAAACCTGTTTATGAAGCCACAGTTTGACTGCAGGTTCATGGGGCAGGTTATCCTGAGATTCAACCAAATCGGGCGAGTCTCGTTGACAAATTTGGCCCCCGGTGCAAAATTCCTTGTTAATGTTTGCAATTTGCACTGATGATGTATATTCCTGTGAGATGATGTGTGTTTGTGTACAATCTGTGAAGGTGATTGTTTTCAGGTATTAAAACTAGTAAAACAAATCCGGGGTTGCCTGCACTTTATTTTAGCATGACCCAAAATGAGACGTTCACGACATGCACAACAAAAGGCTTTGATTTGATTTTGTTTTAAATTGTTAATAAAATTATTAATTCATAATTGAGTGCATATTTTTTAAGTTGTTTTAATTTGAAATGCAGGTTTATAATTTTACAGCTCCCAAAAGTTCATCCATACACGTCTGACCACGCCCACACGACGTCCAGCGCCGCCCATATATGACCACGCCCCCATTCTGCGTGCTGCAACAACCAGGAGTTTTAGGAACAAGCTGCGCCAGTGGAGCCTGCAGGGGAATATCAGACAGCTTATCGACACTTGTCTTCCCCCTAAATGAGCGGACGGAAGACCCGGAGGCGCGTCTTGAAAAAGGGAGTCTCTAAGGATCTCAGGGACTCGGAGGAGGACGCCAAAAAGCCGGTGAGAGAAACTTCTGCGTCACAGAGTCCGCTTGCATTTTATTTAGCCTACTTGTAGTTTTCCCAACAAGTAAGGTTTTGTAGTTTTTGTGCCTCACGCAGAGTTCAAATGCACCACCGTGTTCTCAATTGTTACTGAAAGTGATGTTCAGTAACAACAATGTAGTTGAAGGTTTCTGTATAAACAGTCTGTGCAGCCCCCCCCCCCCCAGATAAAAATCTGACGTCACTTATAGCCCTACCTTAATATTTACAGTCTATGATCACTACTTACATTTGTAAACACAGATTAGATTTTAAAAAAACAAGTAACGCTGTATTTTCTACTTGCCTTATAAATATATAATTCCAAATAAAAACAAATAATTTCTGATCAAAATGGTACATAAATATTACCATTTGTAAATATCTCAGCTGTAATCAACGGATTCATTTTTTGTGTGTGTTCTGCAGTTTGCTGTGATTTAGAAAACACATCTTTTCGATCAATTTGGAAAAAAAAAATCAAATCATCATGTGAGGGTTTTTTTTTCTTTCCAGCAGAGGGAATGTAAACAACATCTCAGAGGAATATTTATGTAAAACCAACACGCTGTAAAGGACCAATGTGAACCCACTCTGTGTCACAACAAAAAAGGGGGGTTAATGTGTGGATCAGCAGCAGTGAGGAAATAAACATGTCAAACATTAGGGAAGTGAAAACACCATTTCAAGAATCATTTTTACTGGATATAAAATGAAAGACTCAATGAGAAAAAATGGAACAATAGGAGAGGTTAGCTCTGTACCGTCTACGTGTTAATTAAGTGTGATATATTATATTTGTTGTTGCTTAGCTAGTTATCTGAACTCTTTAATTTTATTTTGAAAGCTTGGGCCTTGGATTAGTGTATAAAGCTGAAAATAAAATAGGCGGTTCATTCTGTGTTTACAGCCTGTGATGTGATGTCGTCCCACTCTCCTTCAATTTTTATTTGAATGTTCTCTCCTGGTTGATTTTGATCTTGTTCCTTGTGTTGTTTGCATTCATATTATGTTCTCTGTTTGGCCCGTCTGTTGATCTCTGTTCTGTTGTTGTGTTGTTGTGTTGCTGTATTTGCGTTGTCTGTCACAGCACTTTGTAAACATTTGTTTTTAAAGTTGCTATATAAATAAAGTTATTAATATCTCCTCTGCCCTCCTGCAAGAAGAAGGCAAAGAAGCAGAAAATGGCCTCTGATCTGACACCTCCGGGGTTCGGGGAGAGCTGGAGAGAAGCACTGTCGGCTGAGTTTGGAAAGTCTTACTTTAAACAGGTGAGAGGAGACGTCAGCACACTGCACGTGATGTATCGGTGTAGTTATAAACAGTGTTATAACTTTAAATCTCTGCCACTCCACAGCTGATGCGTTTCGTGTCTGAAGAGAGGGAACAGTGCGATGTTTACCCACCTGCTGAACACGTTTTCACCTGGACGCAGATGTGTGACATCACAGAGGTAAGTTTCAGCTTCCCTCACCTGTGACCACAAAGCATGAAATGCTTGAGGAAATATGTCGATATTTGACTTCACACAAGAAGGCTTCAGGACCCTCAGATGGCTTAAGTTGAAGTAGTTATATATATATGACATGAGCAGCACACATGTAGCACAGCATCCTGCTAAGCTAGCTCTGTGAGACCGTCGCATAGGCTCGGTATTTATCCTCAACGTGATGCTGAGGTCAGGGAGGGGCATGTTACTGTACCTGGGGTCCGTTTCAGAAAGAAGGTTGAACAAACCCTCAGCCTAACCCTGAGCTCTGAGTTGATTTACCCTCAGGTTCCAGATCAGCAGATTTGAGTTTGTTAAATCAACTCTGACAGCCAACATCAATGGAGCCCTGATACTACGATTCACCATGGCAACAGGTGACAAAAAATAGGTCCTCGTACTTTAACCCGCTGGAACTATAGCTTACATCTTCATCGGGACAAACAGCGAATATGAACAGGTCTTAAGAAGGAAAACTGCGGCAAAGGAGAGAGGAGTGGTATAGTGGGATAAGACGGCTGCTCGCGTCATGTAGTCTATTCATATTTGATCACATTTCTGAAACGGGCCCCTGATCTCCCAAAAAGCTTGTGATTTGACACAAGAAGAATGTGAGGTTTCAGAGAGCACACACCAAGCCAGACATGAGCGGAGACACAGAGTGACCTTGGTTGTCGTAGTCACAGGTAACCCTATCAGTACAGCTGTGACTGCTGTCAGGGAGTGAGTGAAATGTCTTTACATCTACAGAGATACATGAACTCCATCACAGAAATAATTAAGATAGGATAGCAATTCTATTTAGATAAGAAACATGTATTTAATTCAAAGGGCAACTTCTAAATCTAAAATAATGTATTAAAGGTCCCATATTCTGCTTTTTCTGGTTTTATATGCTCTTTAGTGTGTTTTCCAAGTGTCCTGTGCATGTTTAGGCTCGTCTATGTGCAAAAATTCAAAGTCCACGGAAACGCGGCTTCTCCTACGTCCTCCTGTTAGCTGTAGCATTAGCTGCATGTAACGCTCGGTTCTAGCCCCCCTCGATAAAAATTTGTCAGTGCGACGTCATTATCAGTGTGAGATCACTGATCTAAGTCCATTGGCTCGTTGTGGCAAGCCCTGCAGCTCATGTTGAAATTTCCGAGACGCGTGCTGAGCAACTGACCAACAACGACAGAGCGGATCGGCAGACCAATCACAGCGGACTTGGCCCACGTGGGGTCTAACAGTGTGGGCTCAACAGAGTGTAGCTGACGGACTCAGAGCGTAGAGAGAGCAAGGAGGAGCAGTACATGAAAACAGACACTTTTTTCAAACTTTAGCTATTGTGAACGTACAAAAGTAGGAACATAGATTAAATATATGAACCCCAAAAAGGGCAGAATATGGGCTCTTTAAAAGATGTTGGTTTTGGGGCATTGTTAGCCTAGCGGTTAGTACTCAGCGCAGTGACCTTGGGTTCAAATCCGACTACGGCTCTTTGCTGCATGTCATCCCCCTCTCTCTCTCCTCACAACATTTCCCGTCTTTCTTCAGCTGTCCTGACTAATAAAGACAAAAAAAGGCCTAACAAATATCTTTGAAAGGAGGATTATTAAGTAGTCAAAACAGCACAAATACAGGAATAGAAGCATTACAAGACATTCATTTAAGTTTTGTTAAAGTTAAGTTGTTGAAGACTGCTGTGATGTAATCTTTAAATGTGCACTCTGAAGGCTGCAGCCCCTGAAATGGGACTCAGCCCGTGTGTTTTACAGTACTGCAGTTACACTCAGAGACCTCTGGAGGGTGCCAAAGAGCACCAAATCAAATTTCTCCATGATGTTGCTTTCACTCTCAACTGAACTCTGGCATTACGACCAAGTCTAACATTATGAATTTAAGTTTTGTCAAAGTGAAGTTTTTGAAATCTGTGAAGCATACCTTCTTGCCCGGCTCTATAAGTGTTTTAATACAACTTGTCAAACTTAATCGATCTTTTTGCACTTCATAAACGGACTCATTTTACTGCATTGTTTTCTTTAAAGTGCCCCGTGGTTTGAAAGTATTTGTCACAGGTAAGCTCCCTGCTCAGATGTGTTTGTGCTTTCAGGTCAAAGTAGTGATTCTTGGTCAGGATCCGTATCATGGTCCTAACGAAGCCCATGGATTGTGCTTCAGTGTCAAGCAGCCGGTTCCTGCTCCTCCCAGGTAGACCACTCGCCTCCCGTTTTAAACTCTTTAATTTGTAAAGCCAGTCCGCGAACTTCAAACCTGACATATTCATGAAACTTCTTGTCTTCCAGTTTGAAGAACATTTACAAAGAACTGCTGTCGGACATTGAAGGCTTTCAGCAGCCCCGGACACGGAGATCTGACCAAGTGGGCCAAACAAGGTGATTTTTTTAAAGATTTATTTTTGGGCTTTTTATGCCTTTAATGGAGAGATAGGACAGTGGATAGAACTGGAAATCAGGGAGAGAGAGACAGTGGGGAATGACATGCGGGAAAGGAGCCACAGTTGGGATTTGAACCTGGGCTGCCCACTTGGAGGACTATGGCCTCCATACATGGGACACGGCCACTAACCACTGCCCCACCAGTGCACTTTACATTTTGAAAAAAGCCCATATTAGTGGTGTGAGGGTACCAGAATTTTAGACTTCAACACAATACTAAAAATCATTTTTATAATTTAAATCACATTTTAAATAGTTTCCCTTCTCTGTATAGTGTTGTTCCTTGTTGTTTCTGTACTAAAGCAACAAGAAGTAGGTCCTATAGGCGCCCAATATTTGGTATTCATGTTTTTAATCTTCAAAAATGGCAAGAAAACTTTTAGCACACTTTGTTAATTGCAGAAATACATTGGCAACGTTTCTGAGCTGAAACATTGGCGATGTCTTTCTTTCTGTAATTCAGACAGTGTCTCCACCTCTGCTCTGTCGGTTTTTCGGAAGATGTAAACATTATATCTTACATGTGTCTGAGACGTCAACAGGATTTGAAAGAGAAATATTTAACGACCTGTCAACTTCAGCAAACCGCAGCTGCTCTCTCTTTTCGGTTTGCAGCATCTTTGGATAAAAATATGATTTTTAGATTTTTAATTTCCTGTATTTTTTTATCCTGTCCATCCTTAAAAATTACAGAGAGTATCAGTTTAAAACATGTTATCAAAAAGTATTGAATAAGTTGACAACCTTTGAGGCCACATTAAAAGACAGCTGTTGGTTATAAACAAACATGACCCTTCTCTGAAACCTGCCTCTTCAGGTGTGTTGTTGCTCAACGCGGTGCTGACTGTCCGAGCAGGCCGGCCGAACTCTCACAAAGACAAAGGCTGGGAGAGTTTCACAGACGCTGTGGTGCAGTGGCTCAGCAACAACAGGGAAGACCTCGTCTTCATGCTGTGGGGAGCGTATGCTCAGAAGAAAGGAGCCGCTATTGACAGGGTGGGTATACTCTTTAATACAAACATTTCAAATGTTTCATTTTGCTCTTGCTCTAAGATGAGGATCTCTCTGTTTGTAGGAACGGCACCACGTCCTGCAGGCGGTGCATCCTTCTCCCGTGTCTCCTGTACATAAAAGATTTTTTGGCTGCAAGCATTTCTCGCAGGCGAACGAGCTGCTACAGAAATCTGGAAAGACTCCTGTGGACTGGAATGCACTTTAAGTTGTCATTTATCTGACGTTTGTCTAACCTGTATGTTGTTTAACTGTGGACAAACTCGCCTGTAAGCTTTTTTAGTTGGCTGTTTATAGATGTAATACAGTATGTGGCCACACAATGGTGCAGTGGTTAGCGCTGTTGACTCACAGCGAGAAGGTTCCTGGCTGGAATCCCCGACGGCCAAAGATGTTAGCAATGTGTTTCTTGATGACCCTCATAAAAATGACACAAGCCATAATGCATCGCTCGAACAAAATGAATAAAGTTGCTCTTTAAGTGTTTCTGGAGCTTTTTGACCTCTTCAAGTCTTTCATTGCACATTGGAGAAGTTGTGCCAGAAAACTCCTTCTCTCTGCTTCCAATATTACACACAGCTGAATATGAAACCAGCATTCAGTGCTCCATTGCTTCACCAAAGTACACAAACAGAGTGTTCCAGTGCAACACATTAAGCATACATAATTAAGCTTACATAATCTGAAATCAGCGAGAGGCAAGTGGTTTTCTTTACAACAGCTGGTTTTTATTGCTTCTTTCCTCACGAACATTGACAGCAGCGTTACAAAAGTAAACATGCTGATGAGGCTGAAGTTGATTAAAAACTTAGTGAGTCTAAAGTTTTGGACTTTTAACCAAAATTTGAATGGAAAACCCCAGTTGGCAGATTTCAATAATATCCTCTTATGCCATCATTCAGCTTCTTCATTACAAATGAAAGCTGCCAAAATGAACGATACTCTGATACCACCATTTAAAACGATACATGTATATATATATATATATATTATTTTTTTTTTTTTCTGAGGACCGATGCCTCCACAAATGGGACGCCTGAACCAACCACTAGGCCAACCCAGGGCTAAAGCTTTTAAAACAAAGTAACCTACATCTATTTTTCTTAGTCAGGTGCTTACGACAGAAATGAATGCATCAAATATTGCAGGCAAACTCCTGCACACTAGCTAAATTGCACAAATACATTGGCAACGTTTTAGTACCGAAATGTTGCCAATGTATTAGTGCAATTAAGACGGTCTGCAGAAGATGGCCTGCAATGTTTGATCATTGAAAACAAGAAATGAACCAATACCGAGTGCCCAGGACTTCTATTTTTGTTGCCGTGGTATTGAAACAGGTCTTGATATCATTTGATTTAACTGGTATTGTATCAAAGTTTTAAAATCTGATATGGTAACAACCTTCTTTAAAACACACTTTTTTTAAATTTGTAAATGAGTGAATTTACAAATGAATCAGTGAATCTTAGTCAATGACTCCTTGGCCACTAGCCCTCTTTTTCTTGGTCATCTCTTTCTGTCTGGTAGGATGCGTCTAAAGGTGAGGTTGATGCGAGGTAGGATGATCTTCTTGCGAGCGGGGAGGCTGTGGTACCAAAAGGTGTTGGTGGGCGAGTTCATGAGGAGCAGACTTCCATGAGCGAGCTCCAGCTTCACAGGTTCGATCTGTCGGCGGCCCCGTTTCCCCCGAGCATCTCTGTGTCTGAAGATAAAGTCTCGAGCTGCTCCCAGAGAGACCGAGGCAATGGGGCAGAGGGGGTCCAGCTCCTTCTCATCATCACGATGCTCCCCCCATGTGATCCTGGCCGTCTTTGTACCTGATGGAGAGAGGGACACTTGAAGCAGACAGTCATTAAAAAGTGACCATCATGACTCATTATTCTTACCTGTTTACTAGAACAAAGTTGAATGTTTGTCCCGTTGTTTTTGTCACAGCATCTCGAATGTATTCCAAGGTTGGAGTCCATGAACACGCTGAACGAGTCACTCCAGAGTAAGTGTAAGTTAGACCTTCATCCCCATATGTGGCCTGCTTCCTCGGTATATTGTACACCTTTCCAAACACCTGCACCTTTGCTTCTTCCCCTGGAACAAAAACAAACACAATGTTTAAAATACAACTCCAGATTCTTGTCCAGGGTTGCTGCACAAATCTAAGTTAAAGGTGACATATTCTCCTCCTCTTCAACCAGTTTAAATAAGTCTCAGAGCTCCTCAAAACATGTCTGTGAAGTGTCTTGTTCTAAATACACTGTGATCCTGTATTTCATCATGCCTATAAACCCCTCTATTTCAGCCCTGCTCAGAACAGGCTGTTTCTGTGTCTGTACCTTTAAATATGTAAATGAGCTGTGTCTGACCACGCCCCCTCTCTGGAAGGGCTCAGGTGTACTCGGTGCTTTCTCGCTCCATGTCCTTTTGTTTACCGTGAGAAGGCAGACTCAGAGGGCAGAACAAACACCTAGCTGTGGGAGTGTCACCCACCTGGGGGAGGGGTTACTGCCCTTTGTGATGTCATGAAGGGAAAATCTCCAAACGGCCTGTTTGAGCACACATTTTCTGAAAAGTGGAGCAGTCAAAAGACGGAGAGGATGGACTTTTCTCATCATTGGGGGGTTTGTAGACACAACTAGTCTCTAGTGTTAGAACAACATGGTAAAGTTTAATTTACAGAATATGTGACCTTTAAGACTTGTTAAGACCCTAACAAAAATAAAGTGATAACATTTTTGCACAGCATAGGGTCGGTGCCTTTCAGATGTCATGTTGGACTCAACGGCTTTGATTCCCATTATCTCAATTTTAAAAGTTTATGTTTGCTTGCAACTTGCCTTTTAATACTCGTTATTTGCCCTGCCATCCACACCCTGTGTTTAAAAAATAAAATCTTTTCCACCTTGAACTCATATTTCGTATTTCATCATCTTCTTCTTCATGCAAAGTATTCTGCCATAAATTATGCTGTAAGTGAATCAGAATCAGAAGTGCAAACTTCTGCAAAACTGAAGTGCAAACTTCTGCAAAACTGCAATTATACAACTAAGTTGGCAACATTTGGGTACCAGAACATGATTCGAATATTTCAAAACCTTGAACTCTACAGAAAAAGGTCTTACCTGTTGAGTACACCACCTCCTCCTCCAGACGTTTAAAAAGCTGGTCGGCCTCCTCCTTAGAGAACAGCTGAGCGTAATCACAGTCCAGTCCCTCTGCTTCGACTTTCTGCCAGGGAACCGGATGAGAAAACTCTGCTAAAGCTGAATGTTCGTCTTCATCGTCCCCCTCCTCCTGCTGCTGCTCATCACCACTCTCCAGTTTAATCTTCTTCCTCTGAATTCTTGCGTCGCTGCTGTCAGATCCCTTTTTCTTTCCCAGAGCCACAAACTTCTCCATAGCAGTCTGCTGTCCGTGTCACTCTGAGGAGTTCTGATGTCACCTGAATGATGAAAGAAGAATGAAACATTAACATTAGAGTGATTTAAAAGCTCCTGTGAGGACTTTGGATGCCCCTGTTTGACCTTGAAAATCAAAACAGTCCACCATACAGGAGATGGAATATTTATTAATTGTAATTTTTAATCCCTATACCTACTGTAGGTGTCAGATGAGAAGATTTACAGCATGCTGAAGAAACATCCCTCTTATTTATTATTTTTACTTTATCAGCAGCTAATATTCACAATAAGTGATACATTTGACTGTTATTAAGAAAACAGGGTGATGAAGCCTGAGTGGCGTCACCCGTCTGTTGGGACAATTTTGTCCACTGCTTGCGCTTATTGGTGCTTAATTATGGTGTTTTGTTCTTATTCATAACGCCTTTGTGCAAACGCGAGTGGAGAGGGGTTGGAGGTGTGTCGCTGGAGGAGAGACGAGGCTTCAGAATAGCGTAGGTGTTGCCAAACAGCAGTCTGTTTTGGTTAAATGCTGGTGCTCAATGGCGCCATCTACTGAATCAAAAAGTCGCACAGTCTTCCATTAAGGTTGAAAAAAAATTGGTTATGAGTCCTCTAATTTTTGGATGGAGGATGTCTTACCTAATCATAATTGGCCCCCGAATTCCCGGGGCCCCTAAACGCTGTTTTCCCCCTTTTGTACAGCCCTGACACCACAAACAACATATAATGCACATTGCGAATACTGCACACAAACACAACAAAACAAATATGTTCTAATTTTGAAAACTCAAATATAAAATATTTTTGAGGAAAACGTAACATATGTGATGGATACCGTGTCAGTCACAAACTATAAGCAACACTTAGCAACAGTTTGCTTGTTTTGAACAACCCTCAGCTCATTATCATAAGTCTGCTTTCGTCACTTTGCTTTGGCGCGAAATACTTTCGGTGACTTTGAGCTACATACCGCATGTTTGCTCCTGCAGGATCAGAGAAGTTAATACGTTAACAGCAGCTTATCGACAGGTTTGTTTTTTGCGCTAAAATGATCGGACAGAAGACCATCAACACGTTTTTTCACCTGTTTCTAAAAAGAGAGTTTCTAAGGATTTAAATGACTCGGAGGAGGATGCGAAAGAACCGGTGAGAGAAACTTCTGCTTCCCAATGCACGCTTTCAAACAAAGGTTACATATCTAGCTTGTCGCGTTGAAATATAACTTAAAATAAAAATATTTAAAAAAAAATTCACTTACATTTTATTTGTAGTTTTTGAAGCGAGTGAGGTTTTGTAGTTTGATAAGCGCATGAACGTAAATGAAGTTGCGTTCACAAGCACCGCGTTGTTCTTGATTGTTGCTAAAAGTGTTGCTCATCTGTACCACAACACGAGCATGTTTGCGCTACACTGCCGAAGGTTTGTAAAGCATGTTTCACCTCCAGCCCGTTGCCTCTCATCGGCTCTGTATTTTTCTAAATACACTAAAATTGTGCAGAAGAAGCCGAAGTGCTCAGCCGGGGACCCGGAGCCGTCCAGCCCGCGTCCTGCTCCTCTGTCTCCGGAGCAGCTCGACAGGATCGCCCGGAACAAGAAGGCGGCGCTGGAGAAACTGTCTTCCGCCCAAACTCCTCCGGGGTTCGGGGAGAGCTGGAGAGAGGGACTGTCGGCTGAGTTTGGAAAGTCTTACTTTAAACAGGTGAGAGGAGACGTCAGCACACTGCACGTGATGTATCGGTGTAGTTATAAACAGTGTTATAACTTTAAATCTCTGCCACTCCACAGCTGATGAGTTTCGTGTCTGAAGAGAGGAAACGCCACAATGTTTACCCACCTGCTGAACACGTTTTCACCTGGACTCAGATGTGTGACATCAAAGATGTAAGTTTCAGCTTCCCTCACCTGTGACCACAAAGCATGAAACATTTAATACAAGTGAGCACCTCTGGTTCATATTCAGAGCATCCACCGTTTGCAAAATCTGAACTTTTAAAATAAACACACAAAAAAAAAAAAAAAAAAAAGTCTTAAAAGAATGTTTCTGTTTTGAGCTGCTCGGAGATAAGAGGAATCAAAACAGTGGAAAAAAATAATAGAAGCATTACAAAGTTAATTTAAAGTGGGATAATCTGATGGTTCCAAAGATCGTCTTGACAAATGTTCCTGTGGCGTGAGGTGTGTTAAGTCATTTCACCCTCCCTCATCTGCCCGGAAGACGAATTAGAAATGATAGATATTAATCAACTTTAATATTTAAGATATGAAATCCGGGGCTGTACCCGAATTGCCAAGTACCTACTCAATCCTACTATCTGCTTTATACTGTTTAGTACCTAATATCTGCTGTATACTGTTTAGTACCTACTATCTGCTGTATACTGTTTAGTACTTACTATTCAGTAGGCAGATATTTGTTCCTACTTGGTCTGATTCATTCAGTATGGAAGTGATGTCATTTACGTTTCCCGAACCGGCCACATCCACCCGTTTTTTTGTTTAGCTTTATTCAAAAAGAGTAATGCGCATATACAGTCAGGTAAACAAAAAACAATATCACAATGTAAATCAAGTAAAAGATTAAATAACTAAATAACATACAGTACATAAAGAAAAGTACAAATGAAAGACAGTAATATACAGAATATAAAATAAACCAATAAAGACGCATTTAAATAGTGAAATCATTATTTAAATAGAGGGGGGAAAGGTTTTATAATAATGCAGATATTTGTTATATTTCTGTTGTTAATTAAAAGTAGTGATTTCAGACGGGACGTTAACTCTAGATTAAAAATTTATTAAATTAATCCACGCTCGTTTGTTTTGATTTGGAGGCGGACGTGACGATTTTCATTTAATTTCGCACAGCATTGTGGGTAAAATACAATTCATTTCCTGAAAGCACGCATCCGATCCATACTGCATAAAACCCAGAAGTTAATATCCATACTGAAATGTTCAGTATACTGAGGTGGACCCAAAAAATGCATACTGAATGAGCACGAGAGTTCAGTATACTGAAAAGTACTGACTACTGAACTGTGGCTATTCGGAAAGGGCCCCTGTTCTGTAGGGATAATGGTGAAAACAGCCGAGCACACACACACTGTGGAACAATAGCCAATCAGGGAGCAAGCTGACTAAAGCAGGAAGCACATCAAACATGACCATGGCGATGATGGTGATAAAGTTAGATGGATGCCAGAAATAGATAACCAACTTGTTGATTTGTAGCAACAACATGAGTGTTTTTACAACGTGTCTGTAAAAGAAACAACAATCCAACTGACAAGGAAAGCAGTTGGTCTGAAACTGTTACCTCAGTGGATGTACCATGTAGCTAACAGCTAGCCGCTTTTAGCTTAACCCTCATGTTTGTTTACTCTGTAGTTATGAGATTAAATGTTAAGATTAAATGATTTGAGATTAAATGTTTTTAAAATCGTGAATCCGATTGTTGGTGAATGAATCTGTCAGTATGGGGTGTGCTTCTTTGTTGTGTTTGAAAGTATTTGTCACAGGTAAGCTCCCTGCTCAGATGTGTTTGTGCTTTCAGGTCAAAGTAGTGATTCTTGGTCAGGATCCGTATCATGGTCCTAAACAAGCTCATGGATTGTGCTTCAGTGTCAAACAGCCGGTTCCTCCTCCTCCCAGGTAGACACCTTTTTGTCTCAGTTTCACAAGTCAGTTCTCTAACTTCAAACCTGACGTATTCATGAAACTTCTTGCCTTCCAGTTTGGAGAACATGTACAAAGAACTGGTGTCGGACATTGAAGGCTTTCAGCACCCCGGACACGGAGATCTGACCGAGTGGGCCAAACAAGGTGATTTTAGAGACGCCAATAGGATTTGAAACGATATTGAATAATTTGACAACCTTTGTGGCCACATTAAAAGACAGCTGTTGGTTATAAACAAACATGACCCTTCTCTGAAACCTGCCTCTTCAGGTGTGTTGTTGCTCAACGCGGTGCTGACTGTCCGAGCACACCAGGCGAACTCTCACAAAGACAAAGGCTGGGAGAGTTCACAGACGCTGTGGTGCAGTGGCTCAGCAACAACAGGGAAGGCCTCGTCTTCATGCTGTGGGGAGCGTATGCTCAGAAGAAAGGAGCCGCTATTGACAGGGTGGGTATACTCTTTAATACAAACATTTAAAATGTTTCATTTTGCTCTTGCTCTAAGATGAGGATCTCTCTGTTTGTAGAAACGGCACCACGTCCTGCAGGCGGTGCATCCTTCTCCCTTGTCTGCACATCGAGGATTTTTTGGCTGCAAGCATTTCTCGAAGGCGAACGAGCTGCTACAGAAATCTGGAAAGACTCCTGTGGACTGGAAGGCACTTTAAGTTGTCATTTATCTGACGTTTTTCTAACCTGTATGTTGTTTAACTGTGGACAAACTCGCCCGTAAGCTTTTTTAGTTGGCTGTTTATAGATGTAATATGTGCAGAGATTTATATTATACTCTTATTTTTGTGCTATACACTTTTTTTTTATAAAACTTTTTCACCAAAATGTTTTGATACTTCTTTTTATCATCTGCACCTGTTTGAGCACTGTAAATATGTTTGTGGGTTTTTTTTTTTTTTACTTGTTTCCCCATCAGTGTTTTAGTTCTATTACAGTAAAAAGATATTGTACATCCGTTGTCTGTGAATTTTCTCAGTGATGTTTCATCTAAAATATCCTCATCTATGAAGCCAGGACAGAAACTAAGATTGAAGGGTGGAAAAATGAAATGAAAAGTTGAAAACATAAACGTAGGGAAACACTGACTTAATACACGTTTACAGGAAAAAAATCAGACTCTTTTATTGCTGTTTTTTGTTTTATATTAAATACAAAGTCCCTGTATAGACAGAACTACTTGTTCAGATATAAAGATGATATGAAGGCTGCCTGAGGGGCCCCTGCTAAGTGCATTTCACCATTTTTTGTAGTCTAGAAGATCACCAAACAGACTCAAATGAAAAATCACAAAGCTCTAATATAATTCAAAGCACTCAAAAAGAAAGATACCACTAGTAGGAGAAACAGAAATGTACACTAAGACCACAGGCTGTCAATGGAGAGTAGTTATCCGCCTGGGGGTGAAAAAATGAGGAAAAATCATTGGGAGGGGCCCCCAATTAATTCTTGCCTCAGGCCCCAGCAGACCCTAGCATCGCCTCTGTTGATCAGACATAATGTCTGTAGTGTTATATAAATGTAATATGTCTGACTAAATAAGTAAATCAACTTGTGTTTCAAACTTGTATTTTGATATTTTGACTCCTGGTAAAAATTCAACTAAATTAACGAGAGTGGGTCCGAGTTGAAAACATTTCTGCCTAAGCGGTTATGTCGCCTTACAGGACGGTCGGAAACAATTCCACTATCTGTTAAAATCTACTGCTTTTTGTTTGCACCCGAGTTGCTAACGTTATTCACGATGCATATCGGTCCAAAAATATGTACTGATTTGCATTTAAAGCGATACAATGATGGGATGTGAAAATAGAATGATTAGTATCCAACAAGGAATATCAAATGTATATCCTTGATAAGATAACCACCGTGCCTGCTTTGACGGAGAAGTAAACGAGTTTTTGAGGTGACCGTGAAGGCATCATGCACCTGCAGCTTGAGCTCACTGAAAATCGCCACTTCGCTCTGAAGGATTTTTCTAGAAAATGTCGGTAAAATATTATTTCCGACATTGAGACAGAGACAAGATATGCTTTTAATGTTAAAAAAAATGTTTATCATGACGTTGTCTACTTAGTTGTCGTTAATTAACCTGCGTTGTATCCGTATCACGGTGGTTTCCATGGAGACTGAGGATTAATTTACCCAACGTGGCTAACGCTAGCAAAAGGTAGAGTAATAATTTAACCGTCGTTGTGTCTTCGTCAGTAGGTTTAAAACTTGTTTTTCAGTTGTTGCGACTGTTTTAATCTCAAACGGATTTGTACCTGTGATTTGTACTTACAGGAGCTGTTAGCTCACAGAGTTTAAAGTTACCGCCGTTTAAAGCGCTCAGGTTTCTATGACAACCACAATCTGACACGCTCACCAGCTACAGCTGTAAACACACATGCAACGGGCACAACCAGTCGGTATGAGTGTTGTATCCCAGTCTGCCCAGTGCAACGAGGTACTTTTGTTGTTTTAGTTATCAATGTTGACTCTTGAACTTATGAAAAGCTAGTTAATGTTGGCAACACTTGTTTTAATCACCCCCTCTCTGTAAGGGGACAGGTGTTATGGAGATTTCTGTGACCTGAAGAAGGAAGTGTCAGTCCTTAAAAATATGGAAACCGAAGTAAGACATTTAAAACCCATAATAAAAGAGTCAGTAGTGAAAACTAACTGAATACATGTTCTCATTTACTGTTTTTCATTACACATTTGAAGTACTTTTTTTTTTTTACTTTACAATTACTGTACTGTAAAATGACTTTACTCAATGAAATGATGCTGCATTTTTTGGAACAGGCGTCAATAAGAGACAGGCCTTTAATTATTTTTTAAACAAAAGTTGTTGAGTCAGAAGACGAGAAAAAGCACTATACAAGCTCAAGTCCATTTCCCATTTAGACTGTCTGCTCACTTTACGTCATGATGAGCTTTTATAACTCACAAATAACAACATCAAACGTCTGACTGAGACCTTTGCAAAAGTGTTCATTGTCTGTCTTTTCAGGAAGTGGACTCTGTGACTGAGAGTCAGAAAAGCAAGGCTCAACACATTAGGAACACCATCACATCAACTCCCAGCAGCTCCTCCTCCTCATTGCAGACTCAGGATGGTTCACGTGTACAGAGTGACATTGAACCACCACGCCCCCTGCTGGAAGACTGCAGAACAGAGCAGCTACAAGGTAGGAACCAACAATTTGCTTTTAAGTAACTCTTTGGTGATTAGTTTGGTGAAAAAATGTTTCCACAGAACAGCAGGAACTGAATACCATTAAAAAAAGATATTTACAGACTTAAAGGTTTTATCTCAGGTGAGACGTGACTGCCCATGCAGGTCTGTCCCAAAGTGTTTTAAAATAAATCAGCTCTCTCAGAGGCATGATTCCACTGGTACAGAGTGCCTGTGCTTCATGTACAGAGGAAACAGCTCTCCTCAAATCAGAACTCACTTAGCATGGTCCAAGTAAATCGATCCATATCAGTATTTTCTTCAATCTTAGTTAGCAGGCTTTTCCCTCTGCAGCTCTCTGTTGAACATCAGCTACAGTTTGTGTTGGTGTCTGTCTGGTATTCAGTGTTTTTCATGTCTGTAATGCAATACTTGTACAGCTGTCAACAAAACAGAAAGAAATCTGTTGACTTAATTGTTATTGTGAATTTGGCTGATTGAAGACAGTTTAGGTCATGACAGAGCATGAATCAATCTAAATTCCAATACGCCTACACTGAGCCGGATAACCAAGATATTCACTCGGCTGCATGGTTTGGGCAGCATGCACCAGTCTGCATTTTCATAGTATTAAAGGTGCAAGGAGCACAGTGATGACATTAATTTACTAAAGTTTAAAAAAAGACATGGATATAAACTAAATTAACTTATCGTACATTTTCTGTCACAATTTTAATGAAGTTTACTCTTGTTTCTACATCATCTACTCTGACAGCCTCATCATATAATGTGTCCTAAAAACAAGTGAGTGTCCAGCTCTCCCATCACACTTCTTCATTTGGTGTGTCCCTATTGTTTTGCCCACTTCATTGCATGAGGGAAGCACAGTATTAAGAGCACCTTTAAATATAACGCACGCTTTACCAGCAGTGCAATGCAACCTCCACAGCCGCTACACTTTACACAAGCACAAGGCACTGGAAGGACTCAAATACGCTGACTGGACACAGTATCAGCCTGTTCTGAGCAGGGCTGAAATAGAGGGGTTTATAGGCATGATCAAATACAGGATCAGAGTGGATTTAGAACAAGAAACTTCACAGACATGTTTTGAGGAGCTCTGAGACTTATTTAAACTGGTTGAAAAGGAGGAGAATATGACCTTTAAAATACAATATGGTGCATTTTCTGAAATACATGTTTAATGAAATAATGTGTTTTGTTAACTATAGCCCATTAGTATCCAGACATTTACAATTTCTTTGTCTGAATTGTTAAATAAATAACCTGTAAGGAACTACAAGATGTTGTTCCTAGCACTTTTTAGTATGTGCGGAATATTGTGGAATATACTTCTGAAAATGTTTAGATTTCTCAGAGTTGTGTGAATGTACTGCACAAAGCCAGTCAGGGCTCTGTTCCCTCCCCAAGTCTGAATTCGAGCCGTGTTTCGCTTGAACTTTTCTATCACACCTGACTTCATTTGCATCGCTAGACCTTGCAAATTTCTTAAAGGAACTTGGCTGAAAGTGTGATCATCGATTTATTCCGTGGAGTTGGACCTGGCATGATGAACTTCGGTGCCTTTTCCATTCTGTTGGGTGAGTCTACTTATGTTTCGTATTGTTAAAACTGTGAATTAAATTTGATTCCTATCATAACTAGAGAAGATTAGAGATAGTTAATTTTTTAACTAGGAGGATCCCAATAAAGCTGTAGAGTTTGTTATTATCTAAATCCTGAATAACTAAAATGTATTTTGAGCAACATCTACTTTTTATAATGTGCAGTTTGTTTTTGCCACAACATCTGTTGTGTTAATAACCTTTTTTAAAAAGTTGTACCTTTATTTGACATCATCAGCTCAAGTTCACTATTAAGCTCATTAATAGGATCGCCTGTAAAGCTAAGCACAGTTTTTGTCTTGTCATTTTTGATCATGTAAAAGTTTGTGTTGTTCTGCAAATTCCATCAATGTTTTATTTAAAACAGCTGACAACACTATTTTTGTCTGTGTCCTTTTAGGCTGCCTTTTCACTTTTGGCCACTGTGTTTTCCCTCCTGGTATGGATGAATATCAATTATCAGATATCACATTTTGCCTGTTGGTGAAATAACTGTATTTTTATATATTTATTACTGACGTGCAGTACATTTTCGTTCCATGTAGGTTCTTGTGATAATTACACCAACATTACGGAACCATGGCGGAACTTTAGATTTAAATCATCTTCCTTTCCCGGATTTCCAAAGGATGATGCACATCTCGTAGGGAAGTGGTTGCGTTTCACAGGGATCGGTGGAGAACGAGTCCTTTATACATGCACAAGCGGCGCAGGGGCTGGTAGCAAATACATGATAAACCTGCCATCTCTCTTCAGTCTTACGAATCACCAAAAGCAACTCTGTTGTATGCATATCCTTATGTTGCTTCTTGCTATTCCTTCAGGACAAATATTTACGTTGTCCTCTGTCCTGGAAAGTTCTACATATACAAACCATACAGTCACCCACAGAGCAATGCGACTTATGCAACATGTAAGGAACCATACCTCGTATTCATCATATGCTTTATATTTTTCTACAGTGTACTTTAAGAGATCAACTCATGCTCCACTCATTTGTTTCTGTGTGATATCAATGTTTAGATCATTATATATGTGAGACAGACTCATGTGGACCCCTTGCTGAGTGCGCAGGGAACGGAGGCTGTGAGTGTGTTTCTGGGTATGAAATCCCTCCTGAACACCTTCCTACTCAGTATTCATATGGGTGTGCTGGTAAGTGAATTGATTTAATCTGAACCAAAGTTAGCCCTTATTGCGTTTATTCAGCTCGTTATTTTCCCTTTTTTCTTGTATATTTGCTAGATACTAGAGCTGTGCCGCATATTTTTTAAGCATCCAGCGATGAACGCAGGCACAATTGTGACATTGCAGCAAGTGGCAAATTAACTCAGACATGCCATATTTTTCTGCTTATTGCAAGAGAAAAAGTAACCTACAAGAAAAGTCCATATGGGGATACATTTTAGCCCTTCATCCCACCATCAGAGCGCACAGCAAACAAACTGCTTTGCATGCAGAGTCTGCACGTCACCTGCCTGTAAACATGCATGGAAGGTGGCTACGTTACTGCATACATAATGTTGGCTGAATGCTCAAGACATACAGTCATGCAAGGCAGCGTTCAGTTGGTCATAGTGCTGTTGGGCTGTCTGTGAGCCTGCCTGAACTGTATGAACTGTAACGGTATATAGGGTGCTGTTGGGCCGCATGAACATTGTGCCTACCTATTTTTTTGTTTTTTTAGGCCTACCCAGTAATCAATTTCTGCTTACGCCACTGGTTCAGTATGTGTATCCTTGTAATCAGCAGCATCCTTGTTCTTGTTAATTATCTCCCTGGCTATATAAACGGACCATTCACTGAGCAGATGTGCTGCAAAATGTGTCCTTTATGTAACATACCTGCAGAGACACAGGCAGCACAAATGTTACTGTATTGGAACAGGTCACAAAGATGAAAATAGTGTCAAACATTGTTAAAAATGGTTTATGGCATTCAAGTAACACAACTTTGACATTCAAGTCAATTTGTCAAATTTTGTCAAGTAACTTCTTCTGTACTCAATCTACAAAGAACAGGTTAGTGTTAGAATCACTAGAAGAATGCTGAACCAAATGTGATAAAAGTAGAAGGGGACTTGAAGAATCCCTCCCCCCCCTTTGAAACTGTCATTCTACTAAAGAGCACTGAGCATGAGAAACTGCAACTTGACTGATTGAGGCATGCACTTGCAGGATTTTCATTTATTCCTTTTTTTGTGTTCACTGGTTTGCATCTCTTGGCAGACATTGATGAGTGTGAGAGATCTGAGAAAGTGTGCGATCCTCTATCAGATTGTAAGAACACCATCGGATCATTCCTCTGTGTCTGTTGGGATGGATATGAAGCACAAAATCCTAAATTACCAACTGGGTTGTCCAACAAATGTAAAGGTACGAATCTAAAAAAAGCCTTGCTGATTGCAATTTTTGAGCTGCTATGATATTATTGTGTTCAGACTAATATAGAGGCTGAGACTTTCGTTTTTTTTCTTTATAGATATTAATGAATGCCTTGACACAAACATCTGCGGCGATCATGGGGACTGTGCTAACGACCCTGGAAGTTACATGTGTGAATGCGATAAAGGCTTCGACAATGAACCTGACCCTAAGGCTGTTTGCCAAGGTAAAATTACACTTCACATTCAAGAAAAACCTTTCTTCACAATCACTCATACCATGACCTATGTGTGCTTTATTTTTATTCATCAAGGGAACAATTCACAAATGTGTTCAAGTTGTGAACTGGTAACACTTAATCTTTGTGTGTGTGCTATGCAAACTAACACCAGGTGACTGGGTATGCAAATACATCCTTTGATGTGATGTCTTTAGGAGTGATAGACCTGCTCCACAACAGCACTTGTCTTCAGTGGTCCAGCTGTACAGATTATAATCTCACAAGTAACCAATCTATAGTAACCTACTCATATGGGCAACAGCTCTAAATATTTATTACATTAAGGTCTATTATCTACCCCCTTACCATCTCCCTATAGGCCACATTTATCTAGCAGAAAAACAGGGTTCATACTAATGATTAGGTGGTTAAAAAAAAACATTGCCTGAGAAAGTTATTCTTGGTTAAACTCATATTTTAAAGCTTTTCTACAGTTAAATTTCACCATGGATTTTAGTTTCGTCATCATCACCATCATTTTTTTTTTTTTAAATCCTCAGAGAACACAGTGAGGGAGAACCCTCATTCTCAATGGTGCCGAGGTACAAGATACAGATAAAAAAAAACAAGAGAACTGCAAGAATAAAACAGGAAGTGCATGTAGTTAAAAGACAAGAAAATGCAATGAAAACAGAGTAGGAATAATAAGTAAGAACAATTAAAATGTTAAAAACAAAAACAGCTCAAATCAATAAAATCAGAAATGAAAACTTGGAGTTGTCTCAGTGTTATTAATGTGTTGAGCTTAAAATGTCTTTGAAGCAAATTCCAAGTATTGGGTGCGTAATAACTAAAAGCAGACCTTCCTAATTCTGTGTGGATTCTAGGAACCTGCAGGTGAGCCATGACTGCAAGCGTGTATTGTGGCTACCCTCATTAAAACAAAGCAGAGATAAAAGATACGGTTTATTTAAAAGGGCTTTAGAAATACATAAATAAATGTGCTGGTCTCTTCTGGGGTAAGAGCAGGCAGGCCAGTTTTCTGATACAGAAGACAATGATGTGTCCCATAGCTGTCTCCTGAAATATTTTTTACACACAATGTCATTTCAAACTTTGTTAACAGACATCGATGAGTGTTTAAACGCCACTGTCTGTGGCCCTTACGCTGTGTGCACCAACATACCTGGAGCTTTTACTTGTGCATGCCAACAAGGATTCAAACCAACTGACGCAGACGAGGAACCCGGAGTGACCAACATCTGTATTGGTATTTGATTTAATGACTTATAATAATAATAATAATTTTAGCATGAAGCAATTCATTTACAACTCATCCTGTTTTGTTACAACAGAGGTCATACAGAGATGTCTGGTAAATGGTTTAATTTATGATCATATGTTTTGCAGATATTGACGAGTGTGTTGAAAATGTCACCATCTGTGGTCCTCTCAGCAACTGCACAAACCAAATCGGATCTCACAACTGCACTTGCGATCCTGGTTATCGGGGGAGAAACGCAGACAGGATAGCAAGCATTGCTAACCCATGCACAGGTTTGTGACCATGCTCTGTAACTGTGGCACGATTTCACTATCATACCTTATAATACACAGAAAGTGTTTGGCTAGCTAGCCAAGGCTGTAAGGATTAGCTTACAGTTACAGTTGATAGTAGGAAGAGTAATATGTTGACCATCATTCTGCCATTAGGGGTTAATAATCAATCTCAGAACTGCTCTTTTCCAACAGTTCTTTGCTGTTTCAACCCAACAGATTTTGCTCTTGAGCTTTCCATCCCAGCTGTAACTATACTGTCTTAAATACGTAAACCCAGATAACATTCAGGTGTCTTACTGTGTGCTCTCTTCTTTACAGATATAGATGAGTGCAGTGAGACACCTGGTATTTGTGGTAAACTAACTATATGCACTAATGTTGAGGGGACCTTCTATTGCTCTTGCCCTGATGGACTCTACCCTTCAACGGGACTCTTGTGGGAAGTTGGGGTCTCATTTTGTCAAAGTGAGCTTTGGATGCATCATCATGTTACAGTATATACAGTACAACTTAACCTGAAGTGCTGGTTGACTTCTCTGTGTTTTTCTTGTGTCATTTCTCCTACACTGACCTAACAGATCTTCAGGATATTTTGGATGAGATAAACCCCCCAGAGGTAAATATAACCTGCAAACTGGCACTATCAGGGAAAGTTAAAGGGGACATATTATGAAAAATCTACTACAGTGTTTTTGAACATGTATTTGGGTAACCTGAGTGTCTACCGACCCACAAATTGTGAAATAAACCCATCCAGTCCTTTGTTTGTGGTCTGCATAAGTCTGACAACACCAGAGCAAAATGCTCCGTTTCAAATCAGCTCTCCTTGTGACTTCTCTGAAAGGTGTTGCTGGCATGACATTTGAGTTGCCATATATAATCGACCAAAAACAATAACATTTTTCAATTTCAATGATTGATATGTTGTCTTTTTTGCTTTTTCAATCAAATATGGGGTTTTAATGTTTCAAAATGATCACATCCTGTATTTACATTTTACACAATGTATAATGTATAATTTTCCGTAGCGGGTTGAGTTTAATTACGATACGCAGTAACTGTTCATTCCAGCTTGTATCAGTAAGACAAGGTTATGTATTCACAGGGTCAGACAAAAGAAAGAGCTTTTCTTGGACACATGGACACACAGCTGAAAGACAAAGACTCCATTTTACCAGTACCGGTAAGAGGAACAAAGAGTAGTGGCCCACTGTAATGGTATTTGACTCCATTGTTGATGGTTGGATGTTCTCATACTTAAAACAGTCAATACAGGTGTGGTTGAAAAAGCCAACAAGGTGGCTGGTTTATATTTGTTGTTGTTGGTGCTTTCAAAGCTTCTTTTTTTTCACAAACCAGAAAATATCTCAGCTTCAATTGGAGTTTGATGTATATAACTGTATGAGTGGACAACATCTGAAATAATGTCACGTTACACATCTGACTTTTCTTTTTGCTTTCTCTGCAGACTGTGACAAACTGCTTCTCAGCAGCCATGGTAATTGACGTCCCTCAAATAACTCCTCTTACCTTGACTGCAGTCTTTTTGAGAATGCCATATCCCTGTTGAATCGTCATCAAGCAGGTCAGTTATTTTGATTTGTTAATTCTTGCAGGAAGTGTCAGGTGTTGGACCCCGCATCAAATTGAGTAATGTGAGTAGTGAAGGAGACGGGGAAACCGGCAGTTTTATCCTGAAACTCTCAGACAGTTTACTGTCTGCAGTAGTGGAGCAGGGTCAGAACCAAACAGAAAGAACTGTGACGACTCCTACCGTGGGTAAGACATGTCTATATTAGGTTCTTGTACACATGTATAATGTCAACAAGGTGGATAAAATGATACATTTTTTATTGCTTATCTGTGTCTTAGACTTAAGTGTCAGAACCATTCTGCCTGGAAGCCAAAATTCAGAGACCTCTGCTCTCTCAGCAAATGGAAACACCATGGAGATCAACCTGGAAGATATGGCCAAAAATAACAATGGTGAGAACAAATCATAATGAAAGTGTTGGTGGCAACTAGAAAAGCATCATATCACTAATTTGCATTGCTATTTGATACAATTTAGATATATTGCAAATGAGTCTTCAAATTTTTTCAAATGCAACTGGTTTTCATTTACTGCACAGAAGTGGATCACGCTACAAATACTTTTTTTTATTATTGTGGAAAGGTTAACTTGACTATTGACCCCACACACTAGGGAAACATACTTTAAAGTTGGAAGTGGGTTAGTGCTGTGGGAAATGGAAGGTTGACGAAATGGTAACTGGTTTGGAATTGAAAGGTGTTGTTAACCTTCACAATATGGACTTTTTATCAGGTTCTGCAGCAGCTGCCTTCATGATATTAAAGGGGATGGAGAGTCTCCTCAGTCATCAATACTTTGAAACAGAAAACTTGACAGAGATGAACTCGGATGTCATCACAGCAGTCCTGCCCTTTATGAATAACACCAACCTAACAGAGCCTGTCAACTTTACCATCTATCACAAGAAGGTGCTGCTTAGCTTTTCTATCCATCCCCTTTTTATGAAAACATGTACTGTTTATCGGCTTCCATCATTTTTAATAATATTTACTGCTTTGTTTTCAATAGATAGTACCAGAAAATGGTCTGGTGACCTGTGTGTACTGGGAGGACAAAACAGAGGAGAAGGAGGAAGGAAGAGAAGAAGGAGAGAAAAACAAGATGATGCGTTGGTCAGTGGAGGGCTGCCAGGTTGCGTACACAAGTGAAAACTACACAGTGTGCAGCTGCTCTCATCTCTCCACATTTGCCCTCATCATGCAGATAGGAGAGGTATTATGTGATTGTTTGTGGATTTGCATGAATCAGTATTTCAGGGTCTCACACCAAACTTCTGTTGGATCACACACTACATGTTTTCCCGTGTGTTTTGTTCTCTCAGCCTCCACCAGAGAATCCTTTCCTTGATTGGCTGAACCGGATTTGTGTGATTGTTGGACTTTTCTTCTTTGGTTTGGCTATCTTCACCTTCCTCTTGTGTAGCTGGAACCCCAAGATCAACAACACAGCCCGTCTTCACCTCTGCATCAACCTTGCCTTGTCTCACCTGCTGCTGCTGTGGAATGACAGATACACTGACCATGAGGTACAGTTGCAGATTGCTGTTTTACTTAAACAACCAATGAGATTTCTCTGCTGAGGGTGAAATTATTAAGATTCTTATCATTTCTCTCCACAGCTGGCCTGCACTGTCATGGCAGGCCTTCTCCACTTCTTAGTCGTTGCAAGTTTTGTGTGGATGCTGCTGGAAGCTCTGCAGCTTCACCTGTTGGTGCGAAGGCTCTCCAAGGTGCAGGTCATCCAGAGAGACGGCCTTCCTAAGCCCCTTCTCTACATGATTGGCTACGGAGTTCCGTTTGTGATTGTTGGTACTTCTGCACTGATATATTCTGATGGGTATGGTGCCACGGAGGCAGAAGTGTGAGTAAGACAAACAGTAACACATGCACCCATTCATTCTCAGGGTCATGGTGCTATGAATATCTGCGCCTAGGTTGAAATATTTCTGTTTTTTTATTCTGTTGCAGGTGCTGGCTTTCAAGAAAGCGCAGTTTCAACTGGGCTTTGACTGGCCCTGTGATTGCCGTCATTGGAGTGAGTCAATTAAATCTTACCATTTGCTCTAATTGATTTCTCTATCTGTAACTTGTCTGGACCAAGTTTTATCAAGCCAATATGTACTCTAAGATGAACTTTTGATACAATATAATTGCTTGCCATGTTAAATGTGAAACAAGTTTCTTTCTTAAGCTCTCACAATGCACTGCTTAATTCACGTGTGAATGTGGTGCAATCTTAAAACAAATAAGTCTCTAGTTGCTTTCACTTTGGTGTGAGTGATTTGGCTTTCAAAACCTTGTCTATCAGAGGACAACATTGACCTACTTTGACTTGAAAAAGGAAGGGATGGAAAATAATTAAGTATATGCAAAGGAGGCTGAATTTGCTTGGATGCTGCATGGTATTAAGCCTAGAAACTGATGACTGGAACAGCACTGCTTTTTTAAGACAGGAGGTGTTAATTCCTTTTTTGTTTGTGATTTGCCTTCAAGGTTTTACACAACAAAACAAGTGCTGCTTGGCACGGTGTTACCTAATAGATGGGAAAAAGTCTTCTTGACACAATGTTTCCAGACAAATAAGCGCACACACTTTAACAAGCAATGTTGCACGTGTTTTGCCTTCCCCCCATCTTCAGCATTTAATCATAACAAAGGAATTAAGTAGTCATGAAATATAAGAAAAGCTCCTAATGTATGTAATGTTTAAAATGCCAACATGGGGGGCGGCAGATAATGATTATGTCGTGCGCAAAAAAGTTCAGAGGCTCGACTCCGACCCTCAGCTGTTTATCGCATGACATTCCCCACTTACTCATCCCTGTCAACAACTCAAATCCGCTGTCGTCCTCTGTATTAAAGGCGTAAAAGCCAATAAAACATGGAATGCATTCATGACCATCCTATGGCTACAAATGCATGTTTTTAAACATTTTTTGGGGAAGGCCTTTTTGCCTAGACAGTTTTTGCTTTTTTTGCTTAGATAGTTGAACAAGAACAAGAAAAGTTTAGGAGGACAGAGTTGGGGGGATGACGATATCAGAGGCCCAAGGTCAAAATTGATCCACTGCAATGAGGATTATAGCCTCCATACCTGGTGAGGCAACATAACCGCTAGGCCATCTCGGTCCCCATGACACAGGCATTTTAAATGTAAACAAAAGGTACTGACTTGGATTTTTTCTTGTGTTTTCTGACTATTTGTAAGTAAGTCCAAAGAGCACTTCAAAGTAAAACTTTCTTAAATCTGGGTCGCACTTATTTCCATTTTTTGGATTAATGACATCACGTAAAAATGTATACTTTACATAAATAACAAGCGTTTGTATCAGGCCTCTCTGTATTCATCTCCACCTCTGTATTTCTTAACAACTAGTGTCGAAGAACTGGACTGAGGTTGTTAATGATTTATTTCTTGCTTTGCCAGTTTTTAAAATGTTCCTCACCACTCTTGCTCTTGCACCATGTCTTTCTTCCTTCAGCTTAATTGGATATTGTTCTGTGCTACTCTTTGGAGTCTGAAACCCACCTTGGTCAACATGAAAAGTGGTGTTTCTCAGTCCAAAGAAATCAGGTAAAAACCAGAAGTGCTCAAGGCAATCTATTATCAAATTGTTTGACTTGTTCATAAGAACTGCGTTATCGCAGGAGGTTACATGCAGTTAAACAATGCATCAAAGAATCACACAATGTTCATTTTAATGTACATAACACTGTTCAAAGGCAAAGAATATATACTTGCACATTTAAGGTATAAACATCTTAAAATAATACTTTTTTACAGGTTGGTTGTTTTCAAGATCTTGGCTCAGTTTGTCATATTGGGTTGCACGTGGATCCTGGGCCTGTACCAGACAAATCTTTTCTTCCAGGTCCTCTTCATATTTCTTAACTCCCAACAAGGCACCTTCCTCTTCATCGTCCACTGTGTGCTCAATAAAGAGGTACGACAAGTTTATTGTCTTTCTGATAAGCTTTGAATTCAAAGAGCACTACTTCTAACCCATAACGAAAATGAAAACAGCTCCTTTCTTTCTGACTGACTATACATTGAATTTCATTGTGTTTCTAGGTGAGAGAGGAATACATTAAATTTCTGACCTGCTCTTTCAATAAGCAAAGAGAAGAAGGTTCCAAGGTACGTTTAGATGTATTATTTATTTATTTATGTTTTATTTGATAGAGAAAGATACAATATACATAGACAAACTGAACACAGCAATCCAGGGCGAGTATCATCGTGTTTATAGCCAATGCTAATTGAAGAGCTTTTGTGTTATTAAATATGAAAACAGTTCGATAGGAAAGAGAGATTGATTAAACTGGATACAGAAAGATACTACAAAACACACATTTAGCTTCTCCAAACATATCATGTCATTTTTTCACTGTTCTATCTGAATACAATTCAGAAAATTCCAACAATTACATTTTCAAATTAGTTCAATGTTAACATATTGAAGTGACGTTGAAGCCCTAATTTTGCTATCCAGGCTATGATGATGGCAAATTTATGGTGAACAGACAAAACAGCCCTTTCACACTTTGTGTTGAAACCCTAGACTGTATAAAACATGGACGTAGTCTCAGTGATGTCAACCACTTTGTTCTGTACAAAAATTATAAAGCCCAAAAATGGCGGTTGCTATATTGGAAGGGTGACTCAAATGAACTTCTGGCTAATCTAGAAGCAGGCAAAGAGATGGACTTCAGACAAGCCAGACGAATATCTTAGTTCCTGAAACTCGCCCATCTATCTTATCTCGCTCATCATCTAGCTAGCATATTCCAAACGCTGAAAACGATACAAACAAAACCAACAGTTTAAAGTCAATTACAGGATTCAGCTAAAGTCAAGCCTAGCCTCCTGCAAAACAGCAACAATGCACTGACCTTTCAACAAAACCAGCAATGCCCCTTTTAAGAATAATTATGCAAAACTTTTATCCTTATCTCTTTTCCTAGTTAAAACAGAATTGTCATAAAATAATTCAGACCAAAAACAAGCTTTCTGCTGTAAAAAATAAGGCATTTAACATGTGCTCTAATGGTGACTACTTGGTTTTTAGAGTCACCCTCAAGTGGACACTCGAGGAACTGCAGTTTTTCTGTACATGTTTGAGTCTATGATTGAACCTATGAAAGGTTACAATCATAAACCCTTATTTGCTCCTGATCTTTTAATAATGTTCTTTGCATTTTTTTCTGACATTTTGAGTTGTATAATGTAACATCTTTTTCAACTCCAATCCAATGTTAGTAGACTAAAAAATGTTTTCTTCACAGAGAGAAGCATCCATGTCGGAGGACTTGGACAAGGCTGAAGAAAATAAGAAATGATGAAATAATGATGAAATAAGAACCAATCAGAAGAATGAAGTGTAGAAAAGGACAGAAGAGATCTTCTCTGATCCACTATTAATTTTATTTTATTTTAGTTATCAATCTATTTAGGGTATTTTTCACACCCAACCATGTTATATATAATCACAGTGACAAATGATAACCATTAATAATAAAGTAATTGTGTGTGCATTAAAAAATAGTTTAAAGTATTGCGTAGAAAAGAGCGAGCATCATTGATTTTTGTTTCATTGCTTCAAATCAATCAAAAGTGCTGAAATAAAACATATCTCACCACACTTTACAATCTTTTACTTTTTCTTTCTGAATGTTTCTTTTGCACAGTTTCTTGAACAGAATTTAGTTTGTGTTTTTCTTGAATGTTTATTTTTCAAACTTTTCGACAAATTAATTCCCGAGATTCATCTGCACTTTTCAAAGTTGTCTGAGCGTAAAATTTCATCAGGTCACGTTTTACTCTTAAAGGTCACATATTATCCTCCTCTTCAACCAGTTTAGTCTCAGAGCTCCTCAAAACATGTGTGTGAAGTTTCTTGTTCTAAATCCACTCTGATCCTGTATTTGATCATGCCTATGAAATTTCAGCCCTGCTCAGAACAGGCTTTTTCTGTGTCTGTACCTTTAAATGTAAGAGGAACACGGCTCCAATAAAGACTATGAGGGGGAGCAGAGCAGTGACTGGCTTTGTGCAGTACATTCACATAACTCTGAGAAATCAGAATATTTTCAGAAGTACAATATTATGTATATTATTACATACTAAAAAGTGCTAGGAACAACGTCATGTAGTTTCTGTGTTTCAGAAAATGCACCATAGTGTATTTTAAAGGTCACTTTTTTAATACACTAATTTATAAGAATCATAAAATACAATACTGCATAGACAGGTATATAAGAGAATTTTAGTAACCGTTAGTATCACACAAATGTTTGTTCAACAGTTAACTGAACTGGCTTTTTAAATAAATATCTGCAAGTTTAACACTGTTATAAATTTACTTTTCCAGTGTTGCTTTGGGCTTTAAGAATTTAAATGATCAGCATTTTAGGTTTAAGAAATAGTATACTGCAGTATGCTTACTTGTGCCATTTACTCTTACATTTCTGGTTCAAACCTTCCTTCATAAAGGGGCAAATTTTGGTTAATTATTTCCAAAGGAGTGGAGTCCTGCTATTGGTCAACGAGCAGCTAAGACTTAACGAGCAGGTTAACAAGCTCTCACATCATCTAAGGCCCTATGTGCATGCAACAGAGGAACAGAGGAGAGCAACAGGGCCAGTTCTAGGCACTCTTGAGTTTTCCGACCTTAGTGCTCAGGCTAAAGGAAAGTAAGTTTTTTTTATGTTCCCTTATAGTTGTTTGATAACATGTATTAAATGGACTGCTGCTTGTTTATTGTTATTAGCATGTTTTCTCTTAATTGGCTCTATGAAACAGTGACCTAATGCAACACTTGGTAGATAATTTCTTTCAGCTTTCTTCATATAACAATTTGCACACTCATTGGCTACTTTATTAGGTAAACCTAGCTAGTACCAGGTTGGACCCCTTTTGCCTACAGAACTGCTTTAATTCTTCATGGCATAGATTCAAAGGTGCTGGAGTCATTCCTCAGAGATTTTGATCCATCATGACATCATCACACAGTTGCTGCAGATTTTTTGGCTGCATCCATGCATCCATGAGATAAATCTCCCGTTCCACCACATCCCAAAGGTGCTCTATTGGATTGAGATCTGGTGACTGTGGAGGCCATTTGAGTACATTGAACCAATTGTCATGTTGAAGAAACCAGTTTGATATGATATGAGCTTTGGTGCGTTATCCTGCTTGAAGTAGCCATCAGAAGATGTGTTCACTGTGGTCATAAATGGATGGACATGGTCAGCAACAATACTGGAAGTGTTGTGCGTTCAGAGATGTTCGACTGTACACCACAGTTGTAACGAGTGGTTATTTGAGTTACTGTTGCCCTTCTTTCAGCACTAACCAGTCTGACCATTCTCCTCTGACCTCTAGCACCCTCAAGGCATTTTTACTCGGAGAACTGACGCCCACTGGATATTTTCTCTTTTTCTGACCAATCTCTGTAAACCCTTGAGATGGTTGTGCGTGATAATCCTAGTAGATTAGCAGTTGCTGAAATACTCAGACCAGCCCGTCTGGCATCAACAACCATGCCACGTTCAAAGTCACTTAAATCACCTTTCTTACCCATTCTGAGGCTCAGTTTGAACTTCAGCAGATCGTCTTGGCCATGTCTACATGCCTAAATGCATTGAGATGCTGCTATGTGATGATTAGATATTTGCATTTAGGAGCAGTTGAAACAGGGCGCTTGGTGGAGCAGTGGTTAGTGTGTGCGCGCCCCATGTATGGAGGCTGTAGTCCTCCAAGTGGGCGCCCCCGGTTCGAATCCAGCCTGTGGCTCCTTTCCCGCAAGTCATTTCCCACATTCTCTCTCCCTAATTTTCAACTATCCACTGTCCTGTCTCTCCATTAAAGGCATAAAAAGCCCAAAAATAAATCGTTGAACAACAGTATCTAACAAAGTGGCTGGTGAGTGTACAGCTTTGCATGGCATACAAAGAGTAATTCGAATGTTGCCTGTTTTCATATGAATTTCTCCATTCTCTGTTTGCCTGAGTTTGATAGTAGTGAGTGAAATTCACCCTAATTTGGACTCAAACAGTAATTGTTGTAAAGCATATCATCCTGAGTTTAAATGGTGTTTTTACATAAATATGCATTGTTGCTCTCCTTTTTAGATCACACACACACACTCTGACTCTTTTTGAAAGTGGCCCATGTTTGTCAGCTCGCTCACGAGAACTAAACCCCCCTGAGCTGTGGATCCCCTCTCCTGTCCTGATTCTCTGTGCAGAAACATTTCCATATCTGCCGATGCAACCCACACCAGTCGTCTGCTCAGCCTTCATTTCATCGCAGATGTTGTTAGCAGGTTATAATCTGTTTGAAACAAAGCCAATCTTTTGAGAGCTTAGAAACTGTAGTCTTACAATTTAGTTTGAGACAAGCTTACATGAAGTTGAGACTTGATTAGTTTTCACTGTCTGACATGTTTCTTCCCTCCACAACCTTCTGTTTCAATCTGTTTCAAGAGAGAATTTATGCAAATTCCTGCCTGAGATTCCCACTTTGAATTAAATACTTTGATGCCAATTTATATATATTTTGTATGGTAACCTTTTTCATCTTGTATTTTTGATCTTTCTTTTTGTGATTATTGTTGCATAAAATGTGTATCTGTTTTTATGTGTAGCTGTTGCTGCCCTTCTGAGTATGGACGAACACACGGCAGCAGAACATCCTGTGCCTGAGGAAATCAATCGAGATGAACAGGTACCATAAATGCATGCATTGTAACCAAAGGCTAAGCTTTTCTTTCAGACATTGGTATACAAATAGTTTAAAAAAAGGCATACAAATATTTATGTAAATTGCATCTAAATGACCAACTTTAGAATATCTGCCTGTGCTATCTGATTTTGATCATTTAAGGAAGCATTTGCAACATTTTACACATAAATAAATACTGCAGAAATCAAGTATATCCTGTGTGAATGTCTCTGTGTCATGACTGTCTACAATGAGTGAGAAGCTCGAGCCCCGCTGGCTGTGTTGTTGTCAGAGCCGTGTTTACATCATGTTTACATGGACGGGACGGTTTACTCCTCGCCTTGTGTAAAAAAGCTGTTTGAGTGAGGGACTAGAGAAAAAAAGAATAATATAGCCTGCCTACTCACTAAGTACGTATTTTTAGATCACGGTCATTTTGTGTAAATTTACATGCAATGTGAAGCTACGAGCTAACTAAAGAGCGCTATCATTAGCCTGATAACACAGCTCGAGACAAGTACAATTTTGTCCGCCCCTTACGCTTAATGGTGCTTAATTATGGTGCGTTCTAATTTATGACTCCAAACGTGAGGGGTTAGAGGTGTGTGGCTGTAGGAGAGTGGCGGGTTCAGTGTGGCGCAGGTGTCACCAAACAGCAGTTTGTTTTGGTTTCATACTGGTGCTCAATGGCGACATCTACTGGATTATAGAGTAGCAAGATGAGTGTATTAACATTTTTATCAACTCAGCAGGAGGAACTGTGTCTTCTCCAACCATCCGGCCTGGAGCTGCAAAGAGATGAATCTGAAGAGACAGGAAGAAATATGTATGCAAGGATAGAGGAGAGCAGGAAGGCAGAGACAGGAGGAGAAGAAGAGATGGAAAAACACATGAGACTGGACTCTACAGAGCCACAACATCATGTGAGTGTTACACTGTCAAGACCCTTGCAGACACAAACTGAGATTTTAAAGATCATTTTCAGGACATTCATGACCTTAAATATTATTGAACTGACTTTCAAAAACGTCCCAAACAGCTGGAGATTGTCAGTGTTGAAAGTGCTCTCACAACTCAGTATACTCAGTTTCACACCGAAACCCAACACTCTCTTAGTATTGTTGATCTACGTATTATTTCTGTAACTGAAATAAGTAGCAGTAATGTATATTATCTAAACTTCTGTGTCAGCACCACAGACCTGAGCATTCACACAGATATGTTACAACTCCTGGTGCTGCATTGACAGCTGTATAGCATTGCCCCTCTGTTTGTTTTACACACCTTTAACAGAACGGCAGGGCAGATCAGCAGCCTTACAGTGTTATCTTGAACAGGCTGCATGAGAGGAGCCTTTTTTGACCTCAGAAATGGTGACAAGAAAGGGTCAAAAGTGCTTCTGTAGAATGAAGGCATTGATCTTGCTACCTCTTGCATGCTAAGTGAGCGCGCTACCATTTGAGCTAATTCCCCTCCTCCTTCTTGACCCTTGAGCTTCTTAGATTTCGGCCACCAAGTTGCGTAATCCTCCCCCCTACTTTCCGCTCTCTTACCCCCCCTCTCTGCCCTCCTTTCTCATCCCCCTCCATGCTCCCGTGTCTGGTCTGTCAAGATATTTCTTTTTCTGAAGCGGGTGGGAACCTATGCTACTCTGCAGCCACACACACAAACACAGGAACGCACACACTCACACAAACAAATATACACATACACACAATGCAGTTATAGTAAACCAGCCAACCAGCCAGTCTTTTTAAATAAGATAGTGTTCAGGAGACAAACCTAGAATGACAATATTTTCAGACCTCAGACATTTTAATTTTACTGCAAACCAACATGTGTCGATCCACAGATCTGTGACCTGCACAGGTCACGTAAGGTGGTAGGCAAACATGCTGTCCTATGCCTCACTGAAGTAGATCAGTGAGTCATCAACAGTGCTAGATTCAGCCTGTAACCACCATTAATGTTTGTTTGTTTTAATACAGCTTTGTATGTCGGCATTTCCACCATGGGTGACTGAAAATGGACACCTGCAGTGTGTGCATAAAGCAGTATATTCATTGGCTGGTGATTTTTTTTGAAGGAAGCTGAAACTCTCCTGGAGCTCTTTGGAAAACGCTGACTTCCTTTTTGTTTTGACAGTTCGCAGCAGGTCCTGTTAAGATGTTAGCTCGGCTAGCTAAGCAACAGCAGCAACCCTGACATTGATTGACACATGTAGAGACAAATCAGTGTTGAGCTTGGACTCGTGGTGCATTAGTGATATTTTCACATTTGTGAAAACAGAAACAGCCTTGACAACAACATTGATTGGCACATATAGATATAAATCAGTGTTGCTTGCATGGTGTGTTGTTTTGGTTGGTTAGAATCGGGACTATTTCAAACCGGGACATATTAATGTTTTAAAGATATTTTTGTGGACTCGGGACACAGAGCTTGAAAACGGGACAGTTCCAGTCAAATCTGGACGTATCGTCACCCTACACAAACCAGATCACAATGCAGATTTCACTCATATTGTGCAATTGTCTGCTCGTCGAGATTGTAAGGAGTGACTCATTTTACTCTTATTAGAAGAGGGAGGAGTAAGTATGCTTCCAAACCACTGCCCGTAATTAATATACAAATATAAAACCTTTTCTGTACACTATGATGCATTTTTAGAGTTAAAACAACATCCTTTTCTAATCAAACTACCTGAAAAATATACTTCCTTACATTTTCATATATCTGCTTCTCATACATATTTCTCAATCTTCTGCACAGATGAAAGAAAATATGCAGCTCAACTTTGTACAGCGATCAGTAAAAAAGGGAAGTGCCTTTTTCTCTTTAAATCGGTCAGTTTGCTCAAGCACAAGCAGTTTAAAAGATCTCCAGGCAGACCTTCAGTTTCAGGCTTTCCACCCTCGACAAGAATCTCTCTAAAAACGTTCTCTATATCTTTTCACAGATAATTACTCTTCTTGTAAATCTAAATATGGAAATGTTAGAAGTGAAAATGGACACAGCAACAGGTTGTTGTTTCTTTAAGAACCTCTACCCCCTTCCTTGAGGCATTCCCCTCTCTAAGGGGCGGGGCTTTCCCTCTATTCATTCCCATTGGACAGAAGATAAGCTGTCTCTCTGCAGCTTTCCCTGTGATTGGCTTTGAGGAAGATTTCCTGTGTTGATTCAAAGGAAGGGGGAGAGAGGAGGAGAGGATGTGAAGTTTGTAACGGAGATGAGGCAGAAGAGAAGGAAAACATGGAAAGATGAATAAGTGAACGTTATTAAGAAAAGAGAATAGGTGGTGAGGTTTTCTGACTGTTAACAGATGGAGTTTAAGACGAGAGGGAGGGGGAGGGAGGACTTGAAGGATGTTACCCAGCAGCCTCGTGTGGTCCCTGGGGAGGCGGACTGTTAGACTGAACAGACTGCTGTGAGTACTCAAAAACAATCTGTGTCCAGTTTAAACTAACGATGAGCAGGTTTGGAGGTGGGGTCACTTTTAAAAGTGACAAAATGAAGTTTCAAGAAGGACTGATGGCTGTCAATATGCAGAGTCACTTCACTTATTTTATTATTGGGTGGAGATGGACATGTTGTCCCACAATGCACAGCAAAGGATGTAAAGCTCTCCTCTCATCAGAAAACATGATTTAGACTCAAACTGAAACGTCTTAACTTTTTAGAGTCTTCAGAATTTTAATTTTTGACCAAATACTTTCAGAACTAATGATGTTTACATCAGACTCAAATGTACTTTGTATTCACTTTTCTTGACGTAATGTCTGCATGTTAGCACATTAAACATTAGTATGATAACATTGTGGTTGTGAGAGTGTAACATGCTGACAGCCCCTCAAGTGCTGCTTGCAAAGACTGTTATTCTTCATCTCGTTGTTTTAGAAGTGGGAGTGAAAAAAGATGGAATTGCGAAACCTTTAATTAACTCAACATGATTCAAAGCTTGATCCAAAGTCAACTGGACTGGTTGAAAATCTTGAAGATGTTTCACCTCTCCTCCTCCGAAAGGCTGATGATCAAGGATAACTCATATCGTAATATGTCAAGATCTTCAACCAGTCCAGTTTCCTTTGGATCAAGCTTTGTATTTACCATGACTTGGAGGACTGAGAACCTACACAGATGACTTTTACTTGTTGCTCTGTTGACAGTGGTTTTGGCGACATCTTGAAGCAATCTGTTGTTTGTTTACATCATATTGCACAAATGTGAATGTTCCTTTTCTATCTCTAAAACAAAGACATACACTGGTGCAGAGATTTTTGGGGATAAAACATTGAGCCCCGCCACTTGTTTTAATCAAGCAAACAGCAAAGATTTTCTTTTTCAAATTTGATCATCGATCTAGAGACTTTCTGCTGATGAAGAATATGATTGAAAACAGAGAAATGTTTCATGGCTCCATAACTAGCGGACGACACTGTTTTAATCAGACTGCTTCCAGACAGAGATGTTGATCACTTGCCTGTTGTGAAAGATTTTGTGGAGTGGTGCGACCACCACTTTTTGAAGCTCAACATAAAAAAATAAAAAAAAGAGATGGCCATCAATTTTCGGATAACCTCCTATCAACCTCCCCAACCATGATCATAGGCACACCTGTTGAGAAATTTGACTGTTACAAGTACATGGCACAGTCAATGACAAAAACTTGAATCATGACATGCAATAACAAACAGTTATTATTAAAGTTGTTGAGACCAAATAACTGTTCATTTTCAGAGTAATCTGGTTTCTCCTTTGAGCACAAACTTATTCAGAAAGTACGTCTATTTAGTTTACTGAAATGTGTTTATGTGATTGTTTGAGGTTACCTTTGCTGCAGATACAGGAGTCACTTGACAGAAAAAGCAGAATGGGGGGAGGGTCAAGACGGGGGCAGGGACAGTGACAGGGTACTAGACTTCTGAGACCCAGCAGTCAGTCAAAGAGAAGGTGGGGAATTAGCTCAAATGGTAGAGCGCTCGCTTAGCATGCGAGAGGTAGCGGGATCGATGCCCGCATTCTCCAGAAAGTAAATTTTCCGCCCCCCTGCAGAGTGCATACTCAAACATGCAGCTGTAGAATTCATATAAGGAACTGAAGGTCTAGACACGGCCCTCTGAAAAGAGGGTGAAGTGAGGATAGCTTATAGTAAATATGCTTTATCTAGTGTCATAAACAAAGAAAAGATGTACAGTTCTAAGTTTCAATCTGAAGTCTTAATCGTAAGTGTGTTTGATAGTTAGCAGCAAGATTTTGAGTGGAATATTCCTTTAATATGCAGAGGAATAAACTAACTGTTAGAGGGCTCATTTAGCACGCTAGATGCTGCAGGTTTGAAGCCTGTATTCTCCGGGACACTTTGCCCTCTGCAAAAGAAAACAAACTGATTATGTCCACTGTGAAACATTTTATTTTTGGGCTTTTGTGCCTTTATTGGAGAGATAGGACAGTGGATAGAGACAGAAATTGGGGAGAGAGAGGGGAATGACTTGGGAATTTAGCCACAGGTTGGATTTGAGCCCGGCCCGGACGCCCGGAGGACCACAGCCTCCATGCATGGAGCAAGCACACTACCCACTGCGCCACCAGCGCACCTGTGAAACATATAGGGGGTTCAGTTTAACTTTACTACAGTGGAAACATGCGATTACGGAAGGGCAAGTTCAACATGCTGTCAAGATGTTTGTATGTTTCAGTGCTCCTTTTGGACATGAGCAGATGTATTTTGTGTACGTGGATCTGCTGGTTTTCACTCTGTTATCGAGAGACATGCTTCTCTCACACATAGGCCCAACACACACATGCACAAAGGGAGCTCACCAGAGCTGTCGGGGAGTATTGTCCCTTTCTCAAGGGCACCTCAACAGTACTCGGTAAGTGACCTGGCACCCCTCCAGCCACCAGACCAACTTGTGGTGTGGTTTTAAATCACAGTGAGTCCAATGACAGACTGAAGTATGAACAGATTGTTAAAGCTGCCACAGCCTGCTTAAACCGAAACTTCCTTATAAATGTTTATCTTATCAGTTTTAAGCTCTTTGTTTTGGTTCTGCAGCCTCAGCATACTTGTTGCTCTGCTCACACTCATACTCACTCACTGGAGACAAAGGGTTAAAAGTGCTCCTGGAGAATGCGGGCATCGATCCCGCTACCTCTCGCATGCTAAGCGAGCGCTCTACCATTTGAGCTAATTCCCCTTCTGTCTTCAGATGTTGCCTCTTGCGACCCCCTACACCCCCCCTTCTGTGGATCCTTCACTGCCTATCTCAAAGTGCTTTCACACTTGCAGAAAACTCCTGATAGTTGCAGGATGAGCTTTATCCAGACTTTTCATGATTGCCCAAGAAGTTGGGATGATTCGATCTGGAAATACAGCAGAAAGTATTCAGGAAAAATCACTGCAAGCGAGTAGACGGGGTGAAGATGTTTATATCCTGCAACTGATCACCTACCAAGCTCGATCCCACAACCTCTCACAGTTGTTTTGCCATTTAAAGGAAATCTTTTTTTTATATTATAATGATGTGTCTAGTTTAAACACCAGATCCTGAACCTGTTCTGATTGGTTGACATCTCTCTCTTAGGCCCGTGTGACCTTCATGTTGACTAGTTTGACTCATCTGTTGGTAATGATGAGTGGGAAGCCGGGTGAGGTCGAGGTTCGCCTTGACGACATGCTGTCACGCATAGCCATGGAGACGCAGGAGATCAAAGAGCTGGAGCAAGAGCTTACAGACGGTGAGGAGACTGCGGACCAATCACAGAATCCCATTCAAATGCGAGCCCTTTGATTGGCTGTCAGATTTTTTCAAGTATTTAAACTTCTGTTCTCTCCTCATGCACCAGGTCAGATATTGGCTAATGAAGCTCTTCAAAGAGACTTGGAAGAAATCATCTCAGGGCTTCAAGATTATCTGAGAGGACTCAGAGAGCAGGTAGAGCCTTATGCCCTGTTTACACCTGGCCTAGTGGTTAGGTCACAGACCCCATGTACATAAGCTGTAGTCCTCATAGCAGGTGGCCTGGGATCAACTCCTTCTTAGATCTTGTTCTTAGACCCCTTTTCCGCATGTCATTGCCCAAACGTTACCTGTAATTGTGTTTCAGGCTCGTCATGCTCAGCAACAGGCTCAAACTCTGCAGACTGAAAACAAGAGTCTGCATCTACACTTGGAGGTCACTCAAAGACACTGCAGTCGCCTAGAGGACAACGCAAAGTTGCACAAACAGGTGAGTGCATGCATTTTTCAGACATAAAACGGTACTGTAATATATTTGTCTGGTAAATACATATGGTTCTTTCTCTATCTGTTTATTTTTCTTCAGGACATGTCAATCCAGCTGGAGGAGCTGTCTCTGCTGCGGATGGAGGCCCAGACTCTGAGAGACAGACAGGTGCAGAACAGCAGGCAACAGGTGGCGCTAGAGGAGGAGCTCCAGCAGCTGAGGGTGGAGCTAAGCATACAGATCACACAGGCACAGGTGACACTGAATATCAAACATTGTTTAACATGAATTATTGCAACACTTTCTTAACTAATTTAGGAATATTAGCATGTATTCAGATAATAATACTTGTGCCGCCTTTTACTAGTGACTTTTTAAACACCCTGCACAAAACACTCCAAAGTCTCCAAAGTACAACAAACCACATCAGTCCACACAAGGATGTTTTCAAACCTTCATAGAAGATCTGTTGAATTAAAAAAAGACAGCGGCAGACTTTCATCCAGTTGACAGACATGAGGACAGATAGTTTATGGTGCTCACATCTGTGCATTGTGTGTTTGTAGTTGCAGCGTGACGCTCTGCAGGTAGCTGTTGACAAGGAGAAACAGACCAGAGAGATCAGAGAGTTTCAGCTACAGTCATCCATCACCACCCTGCAGGTCAGTTCACACACATGCGAGCTAGGGTGTTCAAAAGTATCCAGACTTTCTTCTTAAATGGTATAATAATCCCCTGGACACATTAAACACACATAAAGGATTGTGCATGGTTAGATTTATGTCACTACTAAGATCTGTCTGTCTGTCGGTCTGCAGGACGAGAAATCATCTCTTCAGCATGTAGTAGAAAGACTTCAAGCCCAACTAGACCAGACCAAAGTCCAGTTACACCAGACCACAACCCAGTATAGAGACACGAGGATCCAACTAGATCAGACCAGAATCCATCTCGACCAGATTACAACATCCTTGTTGGATCATCAGGAGGTTCAGAGTGAGCCAGAAGAGCTAGATGAGGACAAATACAGGTACCAGTATTGCAATACTTCTGCTTTCTTCTCCTTCCTATTTCATTTTCATAACCTGACTGAGGCGAAACTAGGGTCAGATTAATCACTTATAATAACTTCAACTGACTGAGGAGAGAGGGTACAAGGTTCTTTAGAAACACTAATCTACATGGCCAAAAGGGCACAGCCTAAACACGTTCTCAGGTGCACATGGTTGCAGGAACAAACCAGGAAAATGAAATCAAAAGTCTGTGGCACACTGAAGATAACTTTACTGTATTTTATTGTGCACTAACCAACTAATCTACATGACTTGGAACAAGCAATTACGACAAAGAAGAGGCGGGATTTTGATAACCCAGAAATAAAGCAATGACACTGTTTGAGGAGGTGTCTGACTTTGGTGACAGATGAGTCAAGAGCGGTTTAAACATGCAGCTCATGGTTCACATACACGCCCAACATGTAAAAATCTGACTCACTCTCTCTCTCTCTCTCTCTCTCTCTCTCTTTCATATAAAAGGTTGGAAAATATACTTGGGCAGCTGTTAATATACCTGGGCGCACCGGCCGAGTATTGTCTTTGTGTGGGAAACACTGTTGTGCATTTATTTTAAAGAGTCTGCCTAACAGCATTAATGTATAAAACTTGTTATACGAGTGACATAAAATAATGGTTATGTAAAGTTTCTGTTTCCCTGAGAGTGAAGGGAGTTTGTCCCAAAGCTTGCCCCTGTATTCATACCTTTCACTTTAATCAAGCTAATGTCAGTCAGCTGAGAGTGTGAGTGTGGACAGACCAGTTTGAGAGGGTTTTGTACACACAAAACCACAGTTCCCGACGAGGATGGGATTCGAACCCACGCGTGCAGAGCACAATGGATTAGCAGTCCATCGCCTTAACCACTCGGCCACCTCGTCATGTTGAAACCCACCAATCTCACACAAGCTAAAATGGTCGGTTGACATGCCACATGCTTTGTTAGTTTTGTTTTTACCAAGTGCAGCAGTTAACTACTATAATTACAACATTTGTTCTATATTCAGTGATAATGCAGCCTGGGACTTTGATCCTATCAGTGAGGCAAGGAGCTGAGCAGAGCGAGAAATAAAATGTGACCTTTGGAAGTAGAGTGACAAATTGAGTGCATGACTCGGTTGTTTTTAGCACTATTAGCTTGTTCAGTGTGTCAGAAGCTGTGGGATTTCTCGCTGTGACTCCAGAGGTCACACTCCAGAGGTCACACAAGTGTGTACAGGAAACAAAGTTCTGAATCATTAAACAGTTTTGATTTCTACACACTGTGAGGCCCTGCTCTGACGTCAGATGGCGGAAGAGGGGAGGGTGGAAAACTATGTGGAGAATGCAGCGTTGATCCAGCTACACCCCCCCCACCCATTCTAAGATAGCCCTCTACCATTTGAGATCACTTCCCTGGTGTTTTAAAGGAGCAGTCTGGTAAACATTTGGTTTTCCAAATCTCAAACAATATTACTCATCTCTCTTCTCACCCTATCTGAAAAACAACAACATAGTCCTCAGTGATGTAACACTAAACCTGCACTAATATATATTCTGATAACATTAATTCCACTTCATCTCACTAAATGCAAGATGTGTACTTCTGTTGCATTTTGATTCGTAAATTTGTAGGTAGATGTATTGACTAACTGTGCAGATCATATGCTGAGACAGGATTGACTAACTGTGCAGATCATATGCTGAGACAGGAGAGGGGGAAAGGAAAAGATCCCTCTGGAGAATGCGGGCATCGATCCCGCTACCTCTCGCATGCTAAGCGAGCGCTCTACCATTTGAGCTAATTCCCCTATGTAGTAGGAATTGTTCACTAAAAAATAGCAACTCTCAAGCAATAGTAGTGCCCTACCAACATCTATTTCAGTTTGTTTGTGCTTTAATAATTGTAAATTCCTCTTGCACTACTGACTACATACTGAGACTGATGGCACACCTCTCAGGCAGTGTATAGGAACACCTTGGATACAGTTCAATTCAAAAGTGCTTTATTAGCATGAGAAACATACGTTCACATTGCCAAGCTAAAATACAAAATGATGTACAGTTAAAGAATAGCAAAAATTAGAAATTAAAGTATAGAGCCGTGTAGGTTTACAGTTTTAAATACGGTCTTTAAACATAAAAACAGTTTGTATTGAAATAAAAGTTGAAAGTGTAATTTTGCTGTTTTTATATATATGATGACTACATCCTCGATACATTAATCCTCCTTCACTTGTAGTTTGGGCTGTTAGAGTTGAATCCTGATCTTGTCACAGGTATTGTTGAACTTTTCTATTTCAAAACGGGGAAGGTCCGACGAGGATGGGATTCGAACCCACGCGTGCAGAGCACAATGGATTAGCAGTCCATCGCCTTAACCACTCGGCCACCTCGTCACGGTTTATCAGTGTTATATCAGGATTTTTTTCGCACACAGCTAACAAAGGCGTAAAAGGCATCAGATTTAAGTCTTCAGAAAGTTCTAGATGGGGTCAAAACAAGCGCTCTATACCGATGTTAGAATGGTGTCAAAGTTTTTTTTTTTGTGTCACAGATGTTCCAGATCTCATTTGATACCCTGAAGTTTCTTGCTGTTGGAAATAGTAAAACTGCATTTTCTAGTTGAGGTGGTTTTGGTATCTAAATAGGATGCCTCTCTGGACGCCTTCCTTTGGAGCTTGTCCAGGCACACCCAACCGGGAGGAGAACCTGGGTAGAGGCGGAGCAGCTAGTTAGTAGGGATAGCTTTTTTTCAGTAAATATTCTTAAACAGTCTCTAAAAACAGTGTGTCTGTCTGTTTGACCTGTCTCCCTTCAGTTCCGTCAGTCCTGAAGACATGTGGTCCAGTAGTGTGAAGCAGCAATACCATGCAATCCAACAAACCAGGAACAGCAGAGAGAAACTTCAACGAGACCACAGCCACAGCCAAGAACAGATCGCCAGCTTACAGGCCCAGCAAGTCCACGATCAGGATCAGAAAGCCCAGCTGGAAGCCCAGGTGATCTCTGGTGTGGAGCAGGACCAGGAGTCTGATTGGAGGCTAAAAGAGGTGAAGGATCTGAGGGTCAGACTGAAGAGGTCTCAGAGCAGAAACAGCCACATTCAACACGAACTGGTGAGTCTCTGTTTAGTCTGCAACAGTCCAGAGCAGAAATTAATCCTGAAGTTTAAGTCCTCTAATAACTCTCTTTGGATAAAAGCGTCTGCTAAGTGAATTGTAGAATTGTAGAATTGTAGAACTTCTGATATTCACAAACATGTTGTTGGTGTGCAGTGACATCAGTCTGAAGCATCTTTCAAATATCTACTCATGAAAATTTCTACAAAATGTCAGGACAGGCAGGGAGGGGGGTCTCAGGAGCAGTACGTCACATGATGTAAAAATGACATGTGGCAAATGTCGGATAACAACAAAGTCTGACAGTGATGATAGTTTTACCTATATATTAATCCGTTGTGTTATTGAACATATTCACAGTATCAATAAACGAGTAGTGAAGAACAAACTTGCAAGCAGAAAAGAGTATAAGTAGATTTACTTCATGAACAACGATTTGAATGGATGAATAAAACCGGTGTGGAAAAAATTAGCTGCATGTACATGTGTATCTCACCCATTTTCACACCATGACTAACGGTGAATTCCTCCTTAAATGTGGATATGTGTTTATGTTGTGCAGGAGGCGGAGCTGCAGCAGAGTCGTGTACAGCTTCAGGATGTTCAACAGGAGAGAGACACGCTGTTAGAGCAGGTCAGAGGACAAAGGGTCTCATACTGTACTTTATTCTCATGTATATGCTATATCAACTTTTTAAAAGTCATAAATTCAAGTGAAAAATCATTAGGGCTCTTTAGTTTCACTGCATGTTAAACTGTTTCACTCGTTGACCTCTGTTTCTCTTTTAAAACTAAAATGTCTCAGTGTGATACAGAACATGTTTTGCAGGGCTGCAGGTGTAAATAATCACAGCAGCCGAGCAGCTTGAGCTGCAGTGAAAGCTGAGACTGACTGTTCCTTCATGCGCTTCAGCTGCGTTCACAGAGCGACGAGCACCAGAGGAGCCTCCACCATCTGAACAGGAAAATACTGCAGCTCAGCAGGTCCATGTGCGACTCTGATCAGCTGACTGCAGAACAGCTCAAGTCAACAATTGAACAACTGAGAGATCTGAACCACACCGTGGAGCTGCTGCACACTCACTCTGAACAGGTACATTTGACTGCAGTTCTGAAAACATAAAGTTCAGCTGTTTCATTTCCTGTTTTTCAGTTTTCCGCCAATCCTCTGCAACAAAACACGTCAACAATGAGGAAAATGCTGACTCTTCAAAACATTTGATCACAGCAAACCACTGGCCCGGTTTTGTCTTTTATCAATTTGACCCTTTTCACACCCAGTATTGATATGTGGTCTATAACATTTTACAAAAAATTGAGGCAGCAATAGACCAGCACTCGTATTTTCTTCTCACAGTGTGGGAACTCAGCTGTGACTTCTAAACTGACAGCACATTTGTCTTTCTCTTCCCTGCACTTGAAAACATTACATCAACAATGTGTGTCTTTAACTCTTTCATTTTACTCGTACTGTTTCTCTCTAAAGTTACATCTGTACTTTTAGGAGACTTCTTTGTGTCACTTGGAACTGAAGTCAAACAAGTACCAATCACACACTGCCACCTTGTGGTCTGTATAAGTCAATGTTCACAATAACATAAATTAACTGAAGTGATGTCACTTATGATGTTTCTTTTACAAATGAATCTAATTAATATGAATTACTGCATCACTGAAATAAAGATACAACAGTTACAAGAGACATTTCTTAGTTGTTTTTACAAACAAAAAAGAAAATCCATAGTTGTCCATATCAGTTTTGAGAGCTCAAATTGTGTATTTTCTTACACATTAGAAAATCCTTTAAGAACATTGAAATAAAAAAGGTCAGCAGTTGTTGCACAGAGGGTTGCATACATTTTTAAAATATGTAATCTGTAATAAAATGTTATATGATATCTTAGCTGTACTATTGAAACTATATCCAAATCTATAACCTTTAAAAAAATGTCTGGAATGAACCACAATGGCGCTTTAAATTCCCTTTTACACTGTATTCCTGTTTCTGTTTTTTTCCTGACAGAACTCTGTGGACGAGCTGGATGGCAGCGAACACACAACTACGCTGCACTCTGAACACACACAGACACTGGAGGATCTGAGGGCTGAGCTGGCCAAAGCTCAGAGACACACACAAAAACTGAGACAGAAGCTGGACCGGACCAGGGCCAGGAACAGGACCAGAAACCGGACCATGCCTAGAGATGGAGGACAGTGGTGCTTCATACCTCCTGGACACAGTGTGAGGCTTTTCAGCTTCCATCTTACAAATACACTGTTGGACTATTTACCTCTTAGGGTCAAGCCTTGGATAAACCTAGACAGATTTGACCCCTGATTATAATCGCAGTTGTCATGTCAAACTAATATTTTTTGGGAGAACAAGGAAGTGTTATTGTTGTCATGATCACTGGAAAGTAGGAGGAAGACACCCCTTATAAAGACTTTGTGACAGTTATCACCGACTCTCTGCACATAGTCATATTTTCACTCTGACTGTGCACGGCTGTTTGTGAATTAGACGCTTTTTTGATTAAAAATACAGCGACAATCTGGGGCTAAGTTTCCAAGTAGCAAGGCAACGTTTATCTGCAAGAAATTTCAGTAGTTTTGAAGACAGTAACTTTGATGACCCTCATTCTCTCTAACCAATGTTCCTGTTTCTCAGGCTCCTAGTCTGGGCTCTCAGGGGACTCAGGACTCTGGCTTGGGGCTGAAGTATTTCAGCTCTCCTGAAAGGGGACGACATCAGGACTTACCGCCCACAGGAGGAGGGTACTGGGTCTATATTCCCCCGACACACAGTGGCTCAGGCACAGGTATAGGTACATATTTTATACATTTTTAAGCTGTTAAAATGTGAGTGAAGATGTCTCATGAGCTGCAAACTTGTATCCAGTAGCAGCAGAATTTAGGGACAGCGGAGGAGACAGTGATGCTGACAGGAGCCCCAGAAGACAAACACCTCCCCCCCCTCCTGCTGCCTTAGCTGGGCTCTCTGACAGTCAGACTCCCCTGATAGAACCTGCCTGGCTGCTCTGTGGTTCACCTGCAGCTGTCGTCTACAGTCATCCAACGGGAGGCGCTGTGCTGCACCGTAACATCCCAGAGCACCGACACACGGTTAGTCTCAGCGTCTTCAGGCTTTTAAACTATCAACATTTATTCCATTTGGATTATGGTAACTATGAAGGCCAAATCATGCACACATAAATATAAAGAAATATTAAACAACCAGATATTTATTTAATAACATTAGGCAGTCCTATGGGGATAACAACAACCAACAAATTGACCACACAGAAACACCTTAAACGGTTATAATAAGTTAATTTTTATTGTGTGTTGTGTGTGTGTGTGTGTGTGTGTCAGGAGGTAGACAGGTGTGTGTGTGAGTGTGTGCACAAGGAAGCAGAGAGGCTGGTGGAAGAGAAAAATAAACTACGAATGGAAATCAAACAGCTGAGACACTCACTGAGACGAAACAGGTACACACACACACACACACACACACACACACACACACACACACACACACACACACACACACACAGTTTATTACCTTTTTAGTTCAATTCATTCTAACTGTCTTTGTTTGTTTGTTGTTTTTATCAGTTTATTTACAATGTTTTTCTTTCTGCACTGATAAAACTTTCCAAAGACGGGTCCAGATGTGGATCACTGTGATATATGTATTTTCTAAATCATAAATTAATATGTTATGATTTAACCTATGTTGCTGTGTCCTTGTGTATATGTTTTTGCCTTATTTAATCTTATTTTGTCTTTTATTACCTTGTTTGGTGTATAAAGGAAAATGTATTCCACTGTGCTTGCAGCTGCTGCGACTACATGTAACACAGAACCTTGAATCTTTAACATTAAACAAAACTGAGGATAAAGGTTTTCCTTTTTATAATTATTGGGGATTATTTGTAGCAGATTGAACTATGTATACCATGTGATATGGATGATTTGTTTTTGTAAAATAAAAATTGAAAGTCATAAAAAAATTAGATAATTGAGAAGTTATGATAGTGCAGAAATAATAATAAATAACTTGACCTGTGAGAAATCAACCAATAGTTTCACATTCAGGTGTGGAAAATGTGTATGTTTTGTCCTTTTTACCTTTTGTGATCAAGTGCTAAGACTTAAAGGGGTTTAAGTTATAATCTGCTTCCTGTTGGGGATTATTGGAGGGACTTTGTCAATGAGGCCTCTCACAGTGTGTGCGTATGTGTTTGTGTGTGCAGGAGCGTGATGCAGGTGTGTGATGAGGTGGAGTGTGTGGAGAAAACTCTTCTGAAAAGACGAGCTGAACTCCGGCAGGCTGACAGGCTGCTGCTGGAGGCTCAGAGCTCCATTCACAACACCAGAGACACGGTACCCCCCCCACCACACACACACACACACACATATTTATACATAATTTCACTATGCCTGCACTCGACCACTTAACTGATCCAGTCTGTCCTCGTGTCCCCTCCAGGCCAGCTCAGCTCAGCAAGAGGCCGACATGTTACTGGAAACAGCTCAGGAAAGCGCCACCTGTCTTCTGCAGGCCACGCAACAAATCAGGTAAACTCCTCAGCTTGACTTCTGAACACAAAACTCAGATAACAACATGTGATTCTTCTTCATCATCATATTTACTTCTCTCCAGAGACATCCAGGAGGAGATGGAGGAGCTGAGGAGGAGGAGGCACAAGGAGCAGTACTCTCTGAGGGAAGTGAAGGAGGAGCTGAGGAGCAGAGAAGAGGAGTTCCAACAGCTCTGCACAAAAATTAACTCGGCTTCAGAGAGGTATGCAAATGACATACACGCTGATGAAGTTGTGGAAAGAATTGATGTGATGTGATGTGAGAAAATGAAAGCAACATACAAAGATACACATTCAACACATTTAACACCAAACAGAGGATTTCAAGGCACTTCAAAGTTATTTTTTTGGGGGGCTTTTTGTGCCTTTATTGGAGAGATAGGACAGTGAATAGAGTCGTAAATCAATGTCATAGTCAGTATTTCCAGGTTTATGCCATGACGAAAGCAATGATTTGTGTATTTTTGTTTAGACTATCAGGTGTGCTGTCAGAACTTCAAGAGTCTGAGAAGCGTCTACACTCGCTCAACCGTCAGGTAAACTCCCAACTTCATCTTTTTTAAGGTTTATTTTCGGGCCTTTTTGTCTTTATTGGATAAGACATCTGAAGAGACATAGAGATGCTGAGATGAGAGAGAAGGGGATGACATGCAGCAAAGGGCCGAGGTCAGATTCAAACCCACAGCCACTGCAACAAGGACTATAGCCTCCATACATGGGGCACGTGACATAACCGCTACATCGCTGCGGAAGTAGGAAGAGGGTCGTTGTTGACGTTTCAGAAATAACAGAAAGATCCACAGTCAGCAGGATGGATTCAGCCTGCAAGGGTTGCCATGGCTGCTTCTTCTTAAGTGGTTTATGTTGACTGAAATTTTGGGAAATTAGAGTGTTTAATGAATGTTATGCCATAAAACCCGACTCTCGATCAGTGAGCATGGCCGAGTTTCAGAAAACAACATGTTAACACTTTGATCCTTTGATCCTCCCTGCAGGTGGAGCAGCAGGAGCAGAAGCTGGTTCAGAGGAGGGAGGAGCATCAAACAGCTGTGAACAGAGAGGAGGAGGTCAGAGAGGAGGAGCAACGACTGCAGGACAGAGTCAAGGTGAGCAGAGGAGAGCAGGAGGGAGAAAAGGAGGAGGTTATTGTCTTTTTCCACAGCAGAAACATGAGCTGTATTATATCGTGGTTTCTTAGTTTGATATGAACGCCAATTTTGGAAATTAATGCCTCAGGGAGGATGCTAAATCAGACATTCAGGGACTTATATCCAGCCTATAGAGGTATACTGGTTGTCTATAACAAGAGACGGGGTGAACTTGCAGCCAGGCAGTGAAACTAAATGATATCAGGGACGATGTAGATACTTCACATCGAAGTATTTTCGCTATAAAAGCTGATTACTGTAAATTATTCCACTATTTACATAGATGCTAACTGAAGATATTCATTTGTCTCCAAGAAGTGATTTTAAATTGATGATGTCCTCTACAAAAATCCTTTAGATCACAGTGTTGCGTCTATGATAAATTAAGCTCTGCGTTTTTTTTTTAAATTGTTTTTTGTAGAAGTTTGTAAAGTCTGTTAATTGTGAAGTAAGAAAATCACTGTCACTGGTTTTTAAGATTCTAAACTCAAAAGACTTATAGAGAGAATATATTCTTAAATTTAAGTTTAGAAGACTAGAAGTAAATCCATGTTTTTAAGCTGCTTTGTCTGCGTCTGTGTAGGAGCTGTTGGAGCAGCAGGAGGCGCTGCTGAGCGAGCAGAGGTCCACAGTCTCTGCTCTGAGAGAGGAGGAGCAGAGACTGATCACAGTGCAGACTGGGCTCATCACACACCGAGCAGGTAACATCACACACAGAGCAGGTAACAACACACACAGAGCAGGTAACATCACACACAGAGCAGGTAACAACACACACAGAGCAGGTAACATCACACACAGAGCAGGTAACAACACACACAGAGCAGGTAACAACACACACAGAGCAGGTAACAACACACACAGAGCAGGTAACAACACACACAGAGCAGGTAACAACACACACCGAGCAGGTAACATCACACACAGAGCAGGTAACAACACACACAGAGCAGGTAACATCACACACAGAGCAGGTAACATCACACACAGAGCAAGTAACAACACACACAGAGCAGGTAACAGGTAACAACACACACAGAGCAGGTAACAACACACACCGAGCAGGTAACATCACACACAGAGCAGGTAACATCACACACAGAGCAAGTAACAACACACACAGAGCAGGTAACAGGTAACAACACACACAGAGCAGGTAACAACACACACAGAGCAGGTAACAGGTAACAACACACACAGAGCAGGTAACAACACACACCGAGCAGGTAACAACACACACAGAGCTGGTAACATCACACACACAGCAGGAAGTCCCATTAAGGAGTTTTTTTAAGCCTGAAGCTCCTGAGGAACTTTAGGTCGGCGTGGACAAAGGTTATAAGAGTTAGGGATTTTTAAAACGCTAACCCTATTTTCTTTTGACTTTTTATTTTCAATTTAAGGTTAGTTTGTCATATTCAGGAAACATAAGGAACTGGACCCAGTTGCAGTTACCAGAAACTTTAATTATTAAACAAAAAGGCAAACATATCTCTCAGTTTCTCGGGAACAAAAGGCTGTTTGGCAGAGTGCTGTAACTCTGTTCATCTGATACCTCCCAGGCAGCTCTGGTGACGAATATTGAAAACTACAACACAGAAATAATCAGTCTTGTCAGTGATGGTCTGGTTTGTTTTTGTAGCTCATGGAGGCATCTTTGCGCTCTGTTTAATAACCTGCTAAAAACTCCTCAAAAGAGGGTTTGAAGGGATGCAGATTACAACTTTGCCTGAAGCACTTTACCATTTTGCTAATAATTACAGGCACCAAATCCCTGACGTCATATTCTGTACAATGTGGGACACTTTCTATCAAAACCTATTTTCAAAAATGTTGGAAAAACAGCTGTTTACTTCTTTTAAAAATAATTTCTGCTTTGTTAATACAGGCTCATCTGTGATTTAATGGTCTATAGTCAAATGTAAATGTGTGTATGTGTTTACAGAGCTAAAAGAGGTCCGACAGGAGATACTTGCAGAGCAGCAGGCATTGGAGGAAGTGAAAATCAAACGCACTCGGCGTGTCCAGCGACTGAAGAAGAAGCAGGATCAGCTGGACAGACTTCAGGACGAGGTGGAGAGGACGCAGAAGGAACTGGTCAGGAGTAATGATGACCTACACAGGACGAAGGATGAACTAGACACAGAGCAGACTGAACTGAATCAAAGAAGAGACGAGATGGTCGAGATAAATGATGAAGTTTACAAGAAAAAGGAGGAGCTGGAAAAGAAGCGAGAGGAGGTGGACCGGAGGAAGAACGAATTGGACAAACTGCAGGAGGAAGAGGACACGAAAAGGGAAGAGCTGATCAAACTGCAAGAAGAAGTTAAGTCCCGCAGAAAGGAGGCGGAAAAACATTTGAAAGAGATAAAACTACAGCAAACTGAAGAGCAGGTTGGTGAACAATATTGAACTTACAGCTTATTTAACTAATATTTTCATATTGCTTTAACTGCATTACTCATTTAAAAAGTGACAAAGTCTATCTAAACTTGTGTCTTAAGTGCCCTGTAGACTAATTTTAATGTCTTAAAAGGCTGTAGCTTGGTATGAAATTCAAACAAAAAGAAGGGGATGTGCTGATTAACTGACACTTTTAAAGGCCATATATTTTGTAAAATACACTTCACCATGTTTTCTAACAATAATATGTGTCTCTAGTCTGTCTACAAACCCCCATTGATGAGAAAAGTCCATCCTCTCCGTCTTTTGCCTGCTCCACTTTTCAGAAAATGTGTGCTCAAACAGGCCATTTGGAGATTTTCCCTTCATGACATCACAAAGGGCAGTAACCCCTCCCCCAGGTGGGTGACACTCCCACAGCTAGGTGTTAGTTCTGTCCTCTGAGTCTGCCTTCTCACCGTAAACAATAGGAAATGGAGCGAGAAAGCCCGAGACACCCAAGCCCTTCCAGAGAAGGGGCGTGGTCAGACACAGCTCATATACATTTAAAGGTACAGACACAGAAACAGTCTGTTCTGAGCAGGGCTGAAAGAGAGGGGTTTATAGACAGGATCAAATACAGGATCAGAGTGGATTTAGAACAAGAAACTTCACAGACATGTTTTGAGGAGCTCTGAGACTTATTTAAACTGGTTGAAGAGGAGGAGAATATTAAAGGCGTATAAAACTAGCATCTTATTTTAATTTCTAAAGGCACCTAAAAATGTTACCATTGTCAAAAGAGTAAGAGGTTGTCATGTATTTTGGTAAAAAAAAAAAAGATTCAAAAAAGATGATACAACTTTGTAAGAATCAGTAGAAAAATTAGAACTGATATAATTATATAAAATTATGCTGTAAATTCACAATACTTAAAATCAACCCAGTGTCTCTTAAAACAATAAAAGTCTCTGTTACTAGATCAACTTTAAGCTATTGTTACTGATTACTTTCTCTATCTCCCTTTTTCAATTAATCAATAAATATTAGACTTCTAGTGATTATTAGTATCCAACCAAGCTGCATTTTCAGGTTGTTGAAAACCCTTTTGAACCTGATGAATATCAAATTAAAAGCAGGACAGGAAACAAAAAGTTGAGTCCATTATGTTAAATGTGCAGGGGTTGCAGGAGGAGCTGAGCAGGAGGAGGGAGGAGAGGAGCAGCATACAGGAGCAGTGTAAACACCTGGAGGCCAGACGCCGGCACGCCGACAGGTACTCACACTTTATTGTTTCGATCAGCTTCATTGTTTTCTTACTACATTTCTACAAAATAAAGGTTAATCACTGGAGTTTTTGCCATTTAAAAGTTAAAACAATAATTGAAAACATCAGAAAAGTTCATAAAGACTTTTGTCAGTGGAAAACGTATTAATGTTTTACCAGCATGAGATAATGAGAGTGACGATGGATTCATTAAGTGTGTGATTATGTGTCGTGTTAATCACTCCGGTTTCTGTTTGTGTGTGTGTGTGTGTGTGTGTGTGTGTGTGTGTGTGTGTGTTTCAGGAGTTTGTCAGCCGTTGAGGCAGAGCTCTCCAAACAGAGGGAGGAGCTCAGCCATCTCAAAGAAGAGTTGGTCAGAGAAACAGCAGCCGCTCAGGAGCAGCTCAACGGTATGACATCATCTCTCACAATTCAGATTCTCTTGCTGCTGATTTGCCCTGTTAGTGTTATGCTGAGCTTTGACACCGGGGACTGTCTTTGTTGAGTATGAAACAGAAACACTTTGAATCCGTCAACATTGTCCTGTTTGTGTTTCAGAGAACTCTGAGCTGCTGTCTTTGCTCAGTGAACGAGTGGAGGAGAGGAAGAAGCAGCTACAGAATCTCGAACAGGTGACCACACACACACACACACACACACACACACACACACACACACACACACACACACACACACACAGTCTGTACTATGGGGCTGTGCATCAATATAAATACCTGGGTATGATCATTTACAATAAACAACAATAGTCTTTAATTTCTGTAGCAGTTCTCACATAGAGAATTTCAGGAGGACTGCTCCTAAAATTCTCCTGACCTGGTTGTTCAGATAAGCTCCTCACAGCGGGACTATCCCGTTCAGACAGGAGGTGGGGTTGGGTGTCTCCTGAATCAAGATGTGATGTAATAAAAAAAGAGGAAGCAACAGAGTCTGCTATATGACGTTATAATGAGAATAATGCCTTTTTATATCAATGCTACATTTAGTCTAACAGAATCACAATATCAACTAAAGAGCGGAGAAGAACAAAGAAGAGCAAATTGAAAATGCAATGCAGCCGTTTAGTAATGTGCTGCGTTCTCACATCAGCTCACTCAGACCTACTGCAAAAAAAATACTAGCGGTCTGGCAGGAGGAACTCCGAGTGAAGTCCAATTGAAAAATGTGTCCTCCTGCAAATATCAGGAGTTTTTCAGGAGTTTTCTGCAAGTGAAAAAGTGTTGGATGTTTGTATATTTTACTGCTGACTGCAAAACAAATTGTCCTCTCACAGGGATAATAAAGACAGCCTTGAAAATGTATTTCTGTTGTGCAGGAGGTGAATGTGTTCAGTCAGCAGCAGCAGCAGAGAGAAGATCAACTGAAGGAGCTGGACAGACAGATACAACACAAACAGGTACACATTTAAAGTTAACAGTTTTAATTTATTATGGACTAATTACATGTGAAAAAAGAGTTCCTCACATTAAGATAAGTAAAGAAACGTATTATTGAAATTACAGGACAATAGAAATTAATTAATAACACTTTGAGATCCATCCATCCCTCGCTTATCCGAGGTCAGGTCGCAATGACAGCAATCACAGTAAATCAACCCAGAGTCACCTTTCAGACATTTTACCAGGACAGACAGACAGCACTCTGGGGCCCTTTCCGAATAGTCACAGTTCAGTATGCAGTACGTACTATTCAGTATGGAGTTTCAGTATACTGAACTTTTGTGGTCATTCAGTATGCATTTTTTTGGGTCCACCTCAGTATACTGAACATTTCAGTATGCATAATAACTTCCGGGTTTTATGCAGTATGGATCGGATGCGTGCTTTCAGGAAATGAATTGTATTTTACCACCCACAATGCTGTGCGAAATTAAACGAAAATCAAAACAAACGAGCGTGGATTAATTTAATCAATTTTTCATCTTAATTTAAAGTCCCGTCTGAAATCATTACTTTTAATTAACAACAGACAATATAACAAATATCTGCATTATTATAAAACCTTTCCCCCCTCTATTTAAATAATGATTTAACTATTTAAATGCGTCTTTATTGGTTTATTTTATATTCTGTATATTACTGTCTTTCATTTGTACTTTTCTTTATGTACTGTATGTTATTTAGTTATTTAATCTGTCTTTTACTTGATTTACTTGTGATATTGTTTTTTGTTTACCTGACTGTATATGCGCATTACTCTTCTTAAATAAAGCTAAAAAAAAAAAAAAAAAAACGGGTGAATGCGGCCGGTTCAGGAAACGTAAATGCCGTCAGAAGAAGTAGGAACAAATATCTGCCTACTGTGTGTGCATACTGAATAGTAGGTACTAACAGTATGCAGCACGGATAGTACGTACTGCCTACTGCCTACTGAAAGATTGAGTATGTACTTGGCAATTCGGATACGGCCTGGGTCTACCCTGGAGTCTACTCCCAATTGGGCGTGTCGGGAAAACCTCCAAAGGGAGGCGTCCAGGAGGATCCTGATCAGATGCCTGAACCCCCTCAACTGGTTCCCTTTTAATAAGAAGCAGTAGTGGCTCTACTCCGAGCTCCTCCCCCTATCTCTAACTCTGAGCCCAGTCACCCTCATGAGGAAACTCATTTCGGCCGCTTGTATCTGCGATTTTATTCTTTCGGTGACTAGCCATAGCTCATGACCACAGGTGAGGGATGGAACGAAGGTCGACCGGTCAATCGAGAGCTTTGCCTTCAGACTCAGCTCCCTCTACACCTCAACGGTCCGGCACTACGCCCGCATTTTTTTTACTGCGCCGCTGACACTTTGACATGTTTTGTATTTAAGCAATCGTTCATTGGTACGAGCAAAAAGCATCAGTTCTCAAGACTGTAGAAGATTGTCTTTTTCTCATAGATTGTTTATTCTCTCCCTCCATGTTTCTGCCTCTCTCAGGGGCTGTGCGTTGGACTGGAGGAGGTCAAAGCTGCAGTGGGCCAGTTAGAAGATAGGGGGCGCCACCTCAACCAGCTCGGTCAGTCAACATTCTCTCATTAATGTATTTATACTTTTTGATAAATACTCCGTCCATGATTTAAGATCTCTTTTTTTGAGTGAGGCATGTAAATGAATTTATATTTAAAAAATGTGTGTGTGTGGTTGGATTATTGTGACGGATTAGAGGAGGAGCTATGCGAGAAGGAGAAGCGACTAAGTAACAAGGAGGAGGAGCTACGACGAGAGAAGGAGCTACAGCGTAAAGAGGGGGGTCTTGTTCAGATGGAGGAGGGGCTTCATGGGAAAGAAGAGGTAAAGCATAAACTCAATGAACACCCTAGAGTAGCTTAGTAGACCTTTTGTTTTGAATACAATACTTTTAGTAAATCTGCAGTGGCTTCCTTTAACACACTCTGAATGTATGTTTTATGTGTCTGTGAAGGATTACAGCAGGGAGGAGGAGGAGGAGACTTTCTACCTGTCTACATCTGGACTGAGATCAGACCTCAGCACTGAGGTGAGTTCAGAACCTGAATAACACAAAAAATTCATCATTTAAACGTCGAATAAATAATGTCTGTGCATCCCATTTCTTAAAGGAGCAGTATGTAACTCTGACACTGTGTGTGTGTGTGTGTGTGTGTGTGTGTGTGTGTGTGTGTGTGTGTGTGTGTGTTTTCAGGAGGAGAGGTGGGAGGTGGAGCTGAAGAGAGAAAAACTGAGACAACAAGAGGATCGACTGAAAGTAAACAAGATTTTATTATAAACTTGAACAAGAAACAAGAAAAGCTGTTTTAAAAAAATCATAAAATAATTCAGTGTGGAGGCAGAAACCAGAGAATGATAGTTTATCTTCATTAAAGAAATGTCTTTACTGATCAACGACTTTACCAAAGTTGATCTTATCACCATTTACTAGCAGTGTCTCCCCATGCTTCCAGTCTTTGTGCTAAGATAATCCAAGCTAATGGTAACATGTGCTCCACCTGTGTGATATCTATCCAGAACGATTTGCTCAGCAGGAAACAGAACGAGAGGATTAACCTCGATGTGTTTGTGGATGTGTAGAGATCATTGTCATGAGTTAAACCTGCCCATGTCGTTTGTTGTTGAGGCTCGTCTGCGCTGCAGTTTGTGGAATCAGCAGGAGAACCTGAAGGTGAAGCGACTGGAGACAGAGGAGAGTTTACTGGGACTGAAGCACAAACTGGACCAGCTGGACTCTCTGCTCACACACACTCCGTAACACACACACACACACACACTAATGTCACAGAGACTGTGCCGTGTCTTTACAGGGTAAAGTTAACTTCTATGTACCAGAAAACCAAATAACACGTATAACATGTGTCAGGGTGAAGGGTAACATGATTTACTGGAACCAGAAATAGCTGTTACACTGCTCTCTATCCAAACACACCAGACTCCATTCACAGAAACAGTCATTTTACCGTGTCGGCCATGGTCGTTGCTTTCTATTGCTGCCTCAATTGGTTAAATATTTTGAGTATTTGTGTTACATCCAAACGGACAATCAAAACACCAAAGAAAAACAAAAGACAAAGTCTTCGATTAAGGCAGCAGTTGAACAGTTAGTTCACCGTTCTGCAAAATTGAATAACTGTCAATGGAGCGACCACAAAAAGCCTGTCCCTCTAGGGATCTCTTCTGTTACGTTGTCAGCCACTGAAAATAACAACCTGGCAAAAAGAATAACTTTGAGTGAACTTGTAGTACACTGATTGGAAGCCATTTGTCTCCAATGATTACACTGCAGCCATGACAGCCTATTTTGCGTTTTCCAACTGAATCAATCTCTGAAAGCTATTCCAAAATATGTAAAGATATGGACCAGAATCCCCCTTTAAAGGTCACATATTCTCCTCCTCTTCAACCAGTTTAAATAAGTCTCAGAGCTCCTCAAAACATGTCTGTGAAG